TCCAGGTGAGTGGCTGCGCTGGTTTCTGTGGTGACCAGGCTGGCAGCCTCATAGGTGGTTTTGGCTACAATCACACCTCGTCACTTCTTGCAGAATTGTACTTAAGGCATAGGGTCAGCTGGAGACACCATCCTGAAAACTTGGCACAGATGGTTTTTACTTGGGTACCTCACAGCCACGGGTTTCACTAAGTGTAGGCCAGGGGAAACTGAGGCAGGGTGCACGAAACAACTTGTCCAAGCTCATACAGAGCTCTACCATGACCAGGTCCTCCCCTACCCCCAAGTGATAGTGACTTAGAAGTGGGTTTGGGGCAGGGCTGTCACACAGCCAGTTCTCAGGACCCACAGGAGGACTCTGCACAGCTGCCCCACTGGCAAGAGGATGAAGTGAAGCCCTTCTGGAACGTTGTAGCAGCCAGGCTCTGTCACCTGCACCAGGTCACACCCTCACTCTAACCTCTCCAGAGCAGTCTGCTGCTGTCCCACAGCTATGTGTCCCTGTGTCCTCTCTCTCTGTCTCGAGCAGGCGTCCCGAGCTGTGAGGGTGATGTGAGTGACTAACAGACACACCTATTCTTAGGCCTGCCACACCAGCAGCTCAGAATTTCACAGCGTGACTTTGAGATGTGTAAAACTGCTTCTGCTAAATCAGGAGAGGTTCACAAAGTGCTGTTCCAAGGTTTCTGCCCCCTGAACATGGAGCTCTCGGGACCCAGAGGCCCTGCTGGTGCCTCTAAGTTAGTTTCAGGAAGTGCAGGTGATGTGCCACCCCAGCCTGTTTCCTGCCTTGGGCTGGCTTGTGAGGCAAGCACTGGTACCCTGGCCAGAGGCTGCAAGGGCGTGCAGCTCTCCTCCCTGCCTTCCTCGAAGTGCCTGGAGAGTCATGCCACTGTCCCCGTGCACACCCTCAGGACATACTCTAGGCCTGGTACCATGGCCAACTGAGAGCCTTCTGGAAAATTAGAAAGTGCACATCCTCCTGGGCCATCTCCACCCCTTCTCAGGGACCCTGTGAGCTTTTTGTGACTGAGACAAAGCTCTGTCTCTACCCCACCCAACACAAAGGGCCCAGCAAGAGGAAGATGGAGCCCATAGGCTCTCCAGAGCTCTGCCCCCAGGGCCTAGCGTGGTGCCCCGTCTCAGTTCACCATTCCTGCCCATGTGGAAGCCTGGAACAGGTGTGGGAGTGACAAGGTGGGACATGGTTGCTGCCCTTCAGGGCCCAGGCAAAGAGAGAGCCAAGGCCATGCAGGGCAGAACAGGTGGGGCCTCTTGATGTCCCATTGTGACCACTCTGAGTTACATGCTGGCCCCCTAGCCAGCCTCCCCAGCAGGGCCTGGCACATGTCAAGCACCTGAGCCTTGTCTTCCTGGAAGCATAGGCCAGCCTGATCCAGCAGGCACTATGCCACCAAGGCCTGTCAGCCCAAACTCTGTAGGCTGCGGCAGCAGGCATGCGTGTTCAAGACCAGCTGGGACAAATCAGTGACTTGTGGGGACCCTGTCTCAAAAGTTTTAAAAAATTGTAGAAGGGCTGGGGATTTACCTCATTGTGAAGGTCCTGGGTTCCATCCAGTAAAAAGAACAGCAAAATGCTCAGATGGCCTGCCACTCTGCCATCACACGCCCCATCCCTGCCCAGCTCTGTGATATCCTGAGTCCCACAGGTCATGCCCAATCTCCTCCTCGGGAGGCCAGAAAGGGCAAGGGTCTTCCCAGGACTCAGGAGTGAGGAGTGGCCTGGGGGAACCCTGAAGCACAGCCTCAGGAAGGGCAGGCCCTTGGGGAGCTGGTGAAGAGGGTCTGAAACAAGCAGGGTTGTGGCTGTGGCAGGGCTGGGTGGGCACCCATCCCCAGACAAAGGCATATGTCCAGCCTATTGTGCCACACATCCCATGAGTGGAGGATTTCAAATTTCACAATTTTCAACCTCTAGTGCATATTTATTTCTTTAACTTCAAAATAAAAAAAAATTTAAGTGCCTCATTATGTAGTTCAAGCTGACCTTGAATTCACTGTGTAGCACAGGCAATCTTCCTGCCTCAGCCTCCTGAGTGCTGCACAGCTAGGTTCAAAAGCAAATTGTTGAAAGATTGCCTCCACACTTTTTCTAAACTGAGGTGGGGTGCTCCCTAACATGCCAGGCATAGTCACCCTGCTAGTGGCCCCATGCCACTCCAGGCTCTTCAGAGGGCAGCATGGTCACTCCACGGCCCTTCGGCAGGGACAGTGACCACACTCTGGCTCCCCTCGTGCCCCTTCTAGCAGCCCCGGGGACAGTCCTAGTGACAGTGGGTGACCCTGGGCAGCGGGACCCCTCCATAGCCCTACATTCACCTGGCTGGGACCCACCTCCAGGTAATGCCTGCCACTTCCAGGCTGACTGCCCAGATTCATGATGAGCTGCTGTTTGAAGTGGAGGACTCACAGGTGCCAGAGTTTGCAGGTGAGCTGGGGGGCTCAGGGCCTTTCTCTTCCAGATTGAAGCCCCCCTATACCCTCTCTTCATGTTCCCTGTGGCATACAGAAGCACCAACTCAGACTGGGGTCCTTGAAAGGCCCCAATGGGTGCTCAGGCTACACCTCCTCTGGACCACAGGCAGGAGGTCTAGAGAGACATGGCCCAGTTCCCTGAGACCAGCAGACACCCTGGAGCGGCCTCGGGCACGACAGGCATGCTAGAGTCACCAGATCTCCCCCTGATAGTCACAGGGGTCTTGACCTGTGTCCCAGCTGCCCTGGCCAGGGCGGACAACCTGGCACCTCCTCCCGGCCCCAGAGCCCAATGGCCTAAGCCTGACGCCTGCCCGCCCCAGCCATGGAGACTTGAGACTGAGGGCAGGCTGCAGGGGTAGAAAGCCACATCCTGGGGACTTCAGGCAGCACCCTGGAATGTGAACAGGGTGCTGCATTGTGGGGGAGGCCCAGGGCAGAGGGCATGGATGACCACCTGGGGACCAGCCAGGTTGCCCAAAGCAGCAGTTTCCTGTTGCAGTGCTCGTCAGGGATACCATGGAGTCCTTACAGCACCACTGGAGCCCAGAGCTGCAGCTGCAGGTGAGGCCCTCATGCCCCAAGAGATCATAGACTCTGCTTTCCTAGAGCAGGAGCTTTTGGAAACAGGCACTGTGGGGCAGGAGCTACAGCTAGAGCAGCCGCTCCTGTCCAGAAGGAACTGCAGAGCTTCACCTACAACCTGGGGCAAGGCCCGCTGGAAATCAGGGCTGGCCCAGCCAGCAGTCTCTGGGGCTGCTGAGAACAGAAGGCCCAGGACACCATGCACCTAAGGGTACCTCACCTGGCAGCCCTGCAGGCCTGCTGGTGGCACAGGGCCAGCTGGGGGGCTGGCAGTGGGGCAGTGCGAATCTTTCCTTGGGCAAATATGGTGTACCCACGTCTGTCTGCAGCCAGGCTGTGTCCATTTGCATCCATGGTAAGTGTACAGCTGTGCTTAGAGCCTGCGGCCCACACGCAAGCCTGGGCGGGGGCTGGGCACAGTGGGCCAGGCCCAGGACTCTTACTTGACTGCTTTCCACAGGTGCCCCTGAAGGTAAGCCTGAGTACTGGCCGCTCATGGGGGTGCCTGGCCCCACTGCAATAGCTCCGGACCCAGGCTCCGATGAGTCACATGCGTCTGAGTCTCCTGGCAACGCCTGCCTTGCACCGGGCTCCTCAGCACCTACCCCCGAGTGTGCATTTTTCCCCTTCATTTTGTCTGTAGCCCCAGGTAACAGTGGGAGGACAGAACTGGTTTCCACCAGCCCATTGTGTGGCCGTTCCAAGGTCACCAGTGGGCAGTGTGGGAGCCCCAGGTGGGGACAGGGGGCTGGTCAGCCTCTGAGTAAACACCTCATGCAACACCATCCTCCTGGTCTGAGTGGATCCTTGAGGAGGGCCATGTCCACAGCCCCTGCCACTGGGCCGAAGCTGAGCACCCTGTCTGGGGGTCCAGCCCTTCATGGGTGTCCGGTCAGGCCAGTCTCTGTGTGCCACACACAGCACCACAGGAAAGGAGCTGCCCTCCAGGCAGGAGGTGACAGCCTGCTTCACTCCAGGCCCAGGCGCCCAGGCAGTGGTTCTGAGCCATCTTGCTGAGCTTGCTGTTTGTCACCTGAGCCCTGATGAGGGAGGACTCCCTCAGCTGAGTGGCAGCCTCTGACCCTGGTGCAAGAAGTGGCCAGGAAGAAATGTGCTGGTCCAATTCCTCCAGGTGCTGTCAGGAGGAGGGCAAGACAGGGAGGCAGAGGGCAGACCCCATGATGGGGGGTACTGAGAGCCCCCCAACTCCTGGGATCCCACTGCCACCAGGCTGGCATCCAGCACCAGGATGTGCAGGGGAGGGGTCTATGCCCGCCCCAGTCCCCACACCCTCCACACCCCAGGTCATTTGCCCTTCTACTGACATGTGGCTCCTTCCCCACCCCCATCTGCTTGGATCCAGACCTCGCACAGCCTCCAGCACAGCCTGCCCCTTCTCTGGGCAGGCAAAAGCCCCACCCTGAGAGTGCCAACATCACTGGAACTAGGAACCCAGACCTGGAGGCCTTGCCTGGTGAGGGCTGCAGGCCTGGGAGAGGGGCCAAAGCCCCAGCAACACTCACTCCCAGGCTCTGCAAGTACCCACCCCCAAGCCCAGGTCTTGGCCTTGATGCACCTCAGCCCCAGGGCCAAGGCAGAGCAGTATGGCCTGGCACTGGGTTCCCCTGGTAGGGGCGAAGCTGTCTCTCAGCAGTGTCAGCAGGTGAGGCGCCCAGAACCTGGGGGGAGCCAGAGCCCTTGGGCAGCTGCTCAGGAATTCACTGGGCCTGAGCCAAGCTTCCACTAGCCCCAGCTCCCCACCAGGCTGCCACACTCAGGTGTAGGCTGGGTACAGCCACCACTGCAGGCAGAGTGGCCAGCACTGCTCCCCAGATGCACCTGCTCCACAGAGCCACCTGCTCCAGAGCAGGCTCAGCCCAGCTGCTGGGGGAGGGGATCTCAGTAAAGCACAGAGCCCAGTTCCTTCAACTCTGATTTTATTGAAAAACAGCAGCATTGGGGGCCACGAAGGCCGGCACACGCCCACTGGGGCCCAGCCTGCCTCCTTGGGAGCTGGCTCATCACCCGGCCCTCAGGGTTGCTTTGGCACATCCCGGGGCCACAGGACATCCACCCTGTCCTGGGCTCACAGTACAGCTTCGGGAACACAAGACAGCAGTGAGACCCACCACCATGACGACCCTCTGCCCCTGGCCAATGCCGGCCAGTCTGTCCGAGGGGTCTCCCGCCCCTACCCTGCCACAGCCAAGAGGGAGGTGGACGGGGTTGGCCAAAGTCAGGAGGGCCTGGGGTACACCTGCATGGAGCCAGCCCAGCCCAAGAGCCCAGGGCCTTGCTTTTCACCACAGGGTGTCTCCCAGAGCAGGAAGCCCTCCTCTGGCTCTCCCCATCACACATCTGTGCAAACACACACACACACACATACCCATGTTCACAGCCACATGCACAAACATGCACACCCACACTGGGCATGTGCAGCACATGCGTAGTTGCACATATATGTGCACACACGCATGCATGCACATGGGCACAGATGCTCATACACACGTACATCCAGATGCTCACATAGGTGCACTCACAGGCACACGAATGCACATGTACACACTCCTGGGTACACCCCTTCCTTAAAATGGCTAATTATTGCTGTTTTAAAAAAATACATCCAATGATGGTAAGTCAGGGCTCAGCCTCCACCCAGGCCTGGGCAGCTCTGACCAGGTGTGCTGCCCCTGCTCCGCAGATGCCACACCACAAGGCAGTTCATTCCAGGGCCAGCCCCACACCCTGCCAGGCCACTCAACTCCAGCAGCCTGAGCCCAAGGCCAGGCCAGGCACACACACCGGAGCTTGCAGACAGCAAACAGACCAGCACATACTCACCAAATGGGCAAGCAGCAGCCCCTTGGCTCAGGCTTCACTCTCTATGGCTAACCCTAGGGCACCAACAGGAGGTGGCCCTAGGGGATGCCGATATATCCCCCAGCCAAGCTGGGAGCCACCTATAGCCAAAGGAGCCCATACTCCAGAAAGCCCAGACACAGCTCAGGCCACATGCCCAGCCCTGGAAGCCAGCTCCAGGGAGGAATGCGGCTGGACAGGTGGGGCAGGCAACACAAGGATCGAGCCTCTCAACACCCAGCCCTCAGCTCAGAACACCCTATGTCCTGGTGGTGGCCTGGAAGCTCCACCCTCTTAGGCTTGGCTAGAATGGGCTGCCCATGGCCCTACATTCTCTGTGCTGCTGTCTGCTTCCTTTGAGGCCAGCTATCCACTCCCTCAGCCCACCATCTGCAGACATCTTGGCCACTGGACATGGCAGTAGCCCTAGGATGGGGAAGAGGCTGCCACGGTCACAAGGGGTCAACCTTCCTGTTCTCAGGCCAACCACACATGGCCTCAGCACAGGTGTGCCAACCTCCTGGCCACTTACTGTAGGGCTGACCATCTGCACAGACACAGGCCCAGCAGGGATGCTGCTGGGGACACCCAGCAACTGCTCCCTAGGCTGCACCATAGGCTCAGCAAACACTGATGATCTGGACACTACCCCAGTGTCCACCCTCTCCACTCCACAAAAAGAGGCCTGCAAACAACAAATCTTGGGGTCCCAGGCTGGCCCCCCTGGACCTTGCCAGACCACCATGGGGGCAGAGACCCAGGAAGGTGGCAGTGCGCTGGCAGACTCAGAGGAACCACACTGGACACCGGGCAGCGAGCCCAAAAGGGCCTCCATAGAGGTAGAAGACACAGCAGAATTTCCACAAACAAATAAAATTCACGTCAGTGCACAACTGCAGAGCAATCAGTGCTCAAGCTGGAGGGACGTGGAAGGCCTGGAGTGAGCAGGGGCACCAGGGGACCCAGCCTGCAATTCTAGGGGCAGGAGGCCTGCCCACCAGCCTGTAAAGGCTGAAGTCCACCCTTCCACCCTGCTCCTGGCATCTTGGCTAAACCCCAGCAGCAATGGAAGAGTGGCCAAGGATCACGAAGAGCCGGGAGGCATCCCTCCATAGACCCATGGGGCCACGTGGCTGTGAAGATTCCCTGGGACAGAGAGACCACAGCAGGCCCGGAGGGCTACCTGCACACCCTAGGTCCCTCTGAACCCAGTAGTGGGTTTTCCATGAGCCAGCCTTGTGTCAATTTAAGGGCACTGGCACCCAGGCTCTGCCCCCATCCCATACCCCCACCCTCAGCCACTGCAGGCTCCGAAGGCAAAGGGAGATAAGCCTCACTGGCCAGAGCTGTCCACCAACCAGCCACTGCCACCTACAGCAGCCTTGCCCCTGCCCTGGGCCTCAGACTGGTCAGCAGCCCCAATGGCCCCTGGCAACCGAAACCAGCCCAAGCCAACACCAAACCAAACAGAAAAAGAAGGCACAGCTGATTGTTTTCCATTTTGCTACAACACTTTACGTCTGTCTGTATAATCCAGATTAACAAAAATCTGAGAGCTGCAAGAAAATAGGGTGCCAATTTCTGTACAGTCTACAAAACTCCCACTCCCAAGGGGATCGGGGTCCACCAGGGAGGAAGGTACAGGGGATAGCGGGGTCTGTACACTGCTCTGCAAGTGCCTCAACTGCTAACAGGACAAAAAGGCCCTGGAGTGCTGGAGTAGGCTGCCAATCTCAAGCCTAAGAATGTGGCCTTAGTGCCAAGGACCCAGCGCTGACACTCCCCCTAGGCAAGCCCCACACAAAGGGGTCTGGGTGGCTCATCCATTTAGGGCCAGGTATAGGCTCCAGTGGTCAGTGGCCACTACCATACCTGTCCTCCTCTCCCTGCCCAGCCACCTTCAAGTCAGTCGAGCTGGCCACGAGGGACAGCAGGTCCTACTCCCCTACCTTGGCTCAGCCCAGCTCCCCTCAGGGCTGCAGGACTCACCCTGTTCCCTTAGTCCTGCAGACCAGGGCTGGAAGGGGCAGCCTGGAGCTTCCTCACCATCCAGGAATGTTCTTTGGGGGGATTACACTAAGTCAGAGTCTCCCTCCAGACTTCACTGTGAAGCCCTCCACCCCCACCCAGGCCACCCACCCTCATCAAACTGCCAGTGCATCCGCTAGCACCACACGCATGTGTGTGTCTCAAGGTACAAACTACCATTCTGTCCCAAGAATTAAAGTCATGCAGAATGCTATTCTGTCTAAGTAACTTATTAGAAAATGGGTCGGTTTCAGGCTGGGAAAAGCTGTGACTGGGTGTTGCCGGCAGCAGCCTGGGCAAGTAAGATTTATAGGGTGGACCCTGGCAGACAGCTGAGGCGGGGGGCCACAGGCAGCTGGAAGGGGACACCCCATCTAGCAGGTGCTGAGGAACAGGTGTGCCCTGGAGCTCTGCCACAATAGGAGACAGGTGTCCCCTGGGGGCTCTCACCACAATATAAGACAGGTCGCTACGGGACCCACACCTGGGTGCTGCACCAAGTCAGCCAAGCCCAGGCACAGGACGCAGGGACCTGTGAGAGAGGTGACATGGAATCAAAGCAAAGCGGGAGTGGTGGGGCAGGGCTGTCGGGCCCACTAGAGAGCAAGCGGGTGTGCCCAGGCCAGGCCAGTGCCCACAGGCCTGGGTTCCAACCAGACAGGGCAACAGGGTGGGGGCTGTGGCATGCGGCATGCGGCAGCCTGGCCACGTCCTCAGCATGCACAGAGCAGCATGGAGCCTGTGGCCAGCTGGGTCTCCCTCAGGACAGCAGGCAGCCAGCCTTGGCCACGCTTCAGGGACGACAGCCTAGCCACAGCCTGGCCAGGGTGCCAGAGTCTGCTCCCCTGAGGGTTTGGGCAGAGCTCTTGTGCTTAATGGGAGAGGTGAAGCCTTCCAGACAAAGGCAGGCGGCAGCTGGGTGGGTAGCCTGGGGGTCCACAGCTCCATTTCCCAAGGCTGGGCAGGCGGAGGGCCAGGGCTGCAGATCCCAACCCACCACCATGTCACAGGTGAGCAACAACCCTACACCCCCAAGAACAGCCAAGTAACCGTGTGATGTTGAAGGAGGAAACCCAACACAAACGCTAAGGTGAGCGTCTGGAAGCAAGGCCGCGCAGGGCGGCGGGCAGGCAGGTGGGCGCAGGTGGAGGGGGTGGATGGGACGGCAGGCGGGCAATGGCCCTCACTCCTCACGCAGCTGCAGGCGGTAGCGGTGGTAGCGGACCTGGAAGAAGAGGCGCTCGGCCAGCGAGAGGGTCATGCCAGGCAACACGTAGTGGTCACTCGCTCCCATGTGTCTGAAACCCAGTGACTCGTAGAGCTTGTGGGCAGCCACCTTGACAGCCGTGGTGCCCAACACCACTGCGGAGTAGTTGTGCACCACCGCAAACTCCAGCACCTTCCGGCCCAGCGCCTTGGCAATGCCCTTGCCACGGAAGCGGGAGTCCACAGACATGCGCAGCAGCTCCACTGCGTTGTCCTCCTCATGGGCACGCGCAGCCACGATGCCCACCACGTTGCCGTCCAGCACAGCCACCCAGAAGCAGGAGCCTGTTGAGACAGCACAGTCAGGGACACACAGCAGGCAGGCCCCTGCCCAAGACAGAACACAAAAATGGCTCCAGATGACCATGGCCAGGCCCCAGGTACAGCAACCTGCACCAGCTCCCTGCCCAGCCTACCACTCTCATGCCTGCCCATTCTGGGAACTAAGGGCACCCACCAGGAGGACATGCTGTTTTGCCACAGGGCACAGGGACAGCTGTAACACCTGGAGCCTCACAGACCCAGCCTTTCCTCTCAGGGCAGTTCTGCCCACCCACTGGCAGCCCAAGCCAGCCGCAGTTCAGGCAGAGGGCCAAGAGAAGACTGGGAGGACACAGGGCACCCAGTATAAAACCTGGCCCTGTCTGATGCTCCAAGGTGGACGAGACGTCTCTTGGGGCCAGAGGCAGCAAGCACAAGGCAGGGCTGACCAGTCGGGAGCATCCACTCTTTGGAACTGGCAGCACTCCTTGCCCCATACAGCCCTCCCTCGCCTCCCTTGAGGGTTAGGTCTCCCCTGAAGGGTCTGTGCTGAACCCATGAAGGGAGCACCATCTCTAGCGCTGGACCGGAGCAGCTAAGGGGGTCACCAAAGGCCTTGACATCCATGTCCACCAGCAGCAGAGGCAGCTGCAGAGTCCCCAAAGCCTTAGGGTGACTCCCTAGGCCAGTCCCCTCCCCTCAGCCAGCCTCTTTTTGGCCGGCCACCTAAGCTAGACCAGAGACCAGGCTGTCCCAGTACAGAATGGCCTTATGCATACCTTGCTTCTCCCTCCCCAGGCCTCTGTTTCTCCATTTGCATGAGCAACTCACACAAACCTACACAGCTGAGAGACTGGACACAGATGTCCCAAGGAGAGCACACAGATCCCCCTAGGAACCATGAGCCCCAAGAGGCCTGGCTGCACTCCACCACTGCTCCTACACGGTCTATCTCCTCCCTGCAGAGCCAGGTTTGGGGCAAAACTCAAGGATAAAGGCTCCTCAAGGAGTATGGGTGGGGGCACAGGACAGCACCTGTGGACAGTGAACCAGAGCATGGAGTCAATTCCTGCTGTCCCGCCTGCTCAGCCAGGCAACCCAGCACCTGACAGACACCCCAAAGGGCCAAGGTTCCTCTCTCCAACTCCAGGCCTGGGTCCCCTCAGACCAGGGTCCCAGTCCCTCACTCTACAAAACCACAGAGCTGAGATGTCTTCTGGTTCAGAGTGGTCTGGACACCAGGCCGGAAGTACAGGCCAAGATTAAGACCAGGACCGCTGCCCAAGGTTCTGCTCCTGGGATGTCCTCTCTCCTCTCCTCTCCCCATGGCCCCAAATCCAGCAAGGTAGTACAGTCAAGGCCCAGAAGGCTGCCCTGCCCAAAGAAAGGTCGAAGGGTGGGGAGAGGAACAGCGGCAGCCTCCACGCACCAGGCGGCCTCATGTAGTACTGCTCGATGTCGGCCATGTCCGTGTGCAGCGCGCAGTCCAGGTAGGCCAGGATCACCTTGCGGCTGTAGTAGTAGCGCAGGGCCAGCAGCCCCACAGGCACCAGGCAGGTCAGCAGCAGCGAGCGTGTCACGGCAAAGCACAGAGCTGCGGGCAAGGGGCATAGTGAGCAGAACAGTTGGCACTACGCTCTAGAGGCAGAGTGGCAAGAGGGACCCTGGCCCGGCAAAGCCCTGAGCCACCTCGGTGGAGCAGTGCTCAGGGGCATGCGCGGCAGACTTTCCTCCAAGCAGGAGCAGAGTCATGGTCCGCGTCTCTTTCCTACGCATCCCTATTTTGAAACTTCCTGCCACAAAGACATGCCACTTTCCTAACCTGAACTAAAGTGCGAACATAGTGGGTGAGGCTGCCCTGAACTGCTACTCCCTGGACTATCTCTGCCCGCCACTGGGGTGGCCCCCAGCCCCTACCCACCTAACCTGACCTGGAGCACCTCCACGAAGCAGGACGGAGCCCCCAGGGCAGAGGGGGCACGGGCCAGGCGAGCTCCACACCAACACCAGCCTCTCTCAGACTGCGGAGGCGGAGGCGCTGGGTGAAGGTCGCCTCCCCAGTGACCTTGGGAGGGTGGCTCCTAGGTCCCCGTCTGCAATGGGAAGACAGCCCTGCTCTGCGGGGCCTGATGAACAGACGCCGGCCGGCACAGCTTCTCCCGCCCGCGGGATATACATAGGCCCCACGCCCAAGTCCAGCCACTAGCCCCATCACGTGGCCCCCACTGGGGTGCCGGGGCAGGGACTGCGACGCGACAAGGACGGATAGTGGGAAAGCGGTGAACACCCGTGCCTCAGCCCTGTCCACGCCGCGCTTCCCCACGTCCCGCCAGGCGACCCCGCGGATCCTGCTCCCCGCCCCACGCGCAGAAGCGGGGTCTGCAGAGGCGGGGGAAGGGGAGGCGCTCGCGGGCCCCGCCCCCGCCCCGGACTGCGGCACCGGGTCCCGTGCGCACTGACCGACCAGCAGGGCGTAGAGCAGTTGCGTGCGCGGGTGCTGCCGCAGGCCCCGGAAGGCAGTGTTGGGGATGCGCTCCAGGATGCCGTCGTAGAAGATGCGGCGCGCCGCCTCCTGCTCGGCAGTGCGGAACTCGCGGATGCACACGCCGCGCCCCCCCGGCGGCTCCGCGCCCCCTGCACCGCCGCGAGCCAGGGGTCCTTGTTCGGGGGGCGCGGCGGCCGGGCCGGGGGCAGCGGGCAGCGGGGGCCACATGGCGCCGGCGGCGGCGAGCAGCGCGTCCTTCTTGGTCCCCGGCAGCGCCGCATGGTCCTCCGCGGCCACGATCTTCGTCTCGCAGACCATGTCGGGAGACCCACAATGCATGCACCCGGCCAGGCGGCGCTGCGCGGGGACGCGGCCGGCGGTGGGCACAGCCCGGGCCCAGCGCGAGGGCGCGGCGGCAGCGGCGGCTCAGGGGCGCGGGGCGGAGGCGGCGGGCGGCCGGGGCGCGCGCAGGGAGCTGCGCCGCATTTTGGAGAAGTATTTATAATGCAGTGGCGCCGGTGCAGTCGCGGCGCCTGGGGTCCCGCAGGGTCCTAGCGTCCACTGTATTGGCTGCCGAGGGTCACCATGTGATCTCGGGGGTGGGTGCGACGCCGCCTCCGCGCCGCCCGTGGCACATGCTAGCGCGGCGGGCGGACGGCGAGAGCACGGGGCCCGGGCGGTGGGCGCGCGGGGCGGGGGCGGCGGGGGCAAGAGCGCAGTAGCGCGGCCCGAGTTTCGACCCGGAGACGCAGCGGGGGCTCCGAGGCGGGTGGGGAGCGCGTGATGGGCGCCTCCCGCCACGCCCGCACGTGCCGCCGCCGCCGAACGCAGTTACGGGAGCGTCCGCATCTCCCGCCCCTTTGTCTGAGCACGGCGCTGGTCGGGGCCTTTGGACTCGTTCCGCAGGAGCTCTGCGCACCGGCTGAGCGGCGAAGGCTCCAGGGCCCACGACGCGCACGCCCCCGCCGCTTCGCAGCCCAGCGTAGCGCCTCACATCCGGACCAGCTCTGATCCCTGGCTGGCGCGGTGCAAAGAACACAGGACCCTCGGCTCCCGCCCTCCGCGGCAGGCGCATGCGCTCCGCCGCCACGGTGCGGGTGCTGGGGGCTCGCGGTGCGCAGCCGCGTCCTCTCCATCCCTGCGCATCGGCCCCGCGGACTCGGCAGGTTGGGAGTAGACTTGGGCAGCCACAGACCCCATCCTCGATGTTGCACGTGCCTAGGACCCTGCTGCTCTGCGCCCCTCCCACCCCACGCGAAGGACAGTGGGGCAGCGGGGGAGGGAGGGGCCTTAGACGAGGCTTGGGGAGTCTGAGGTCCCTCAACCTGCATAGAACAGGGACCCGCGGAGGGACCGAGATCACCAAGTGTTTGGGAGGGGGACAGCTTGGGCTGATAGTGCAAACCCCTGGGGAAGGGGTTGGAGCTGAGACCCTTCCTTCACCTTGCACATTTCCGAGAGAGCAGAGGATGATCTAGGCCTGGCCACAGCCTCGACCTTCCAGGACGCGAAGCAGTCACTGAGTGACCCGGAGGCCTCCGATCCGTGCAGCACCCACCTCTGTGCAAATGTGGACTGAGGGCCAGGATGTGCCCAGTTTCTGCCATGTGTCCGTGGCCAGCCAGACGTAAAAAAGTCTTCACTTGTGTGCAAGGGGCCAGCCAAGAAAGTAGAGGGACAGTGGGGTCGCACTGTCACACTCCTGGTGGGGGGCCAAGAAAAGGGGAGGCAAAAATCCACTGCCCAGGACAGAGTCAGAGACAGGCCTGGAGTGGATGTCAGTGGCCCTCATGTGACCTCAGCAATGGTCTAACCTACAGGCTCTGCTGGCTCCTACCCATCCCCACCCCCAGCTCCAGGACTGAAGCAGGTTCTGGTCTCAACCAACCTCCATTGTGGGGCCCTCCCTCCAGCATGCTCAGGCTTCAGGCCCCCGTGACCCTCATCTTGGGTGCTACGATGAAGCTCCTAGATCACTTTGGGAGTGCCAAAGGGCCAGCCGACCCCCTCAGCCTCCAAGATGGGCATGGAGGCCTGGACATGCGCCTAGGTGGGGGAGGTGGGATTTCACAGGCTATAGGATAATTGGCATCGCCCCCGCCACGGCCTGTTTCTGCTTAGGTGAAGCAGGAAGCAGGCACACATCCACAGCCCACAGCCCCAAAACTGGGTTAGAGACCCTGCATCCTCACTGGCTCTGCTTCCCCAAACTTGGGGCAGGGGTAGCAGGAACCTGCCTAGACCTGAGAGGCTGGGCTGCCTTGCAGGGAGAACGTCTCCTTCAGAGGAAGTGCCCCAGCACGGGCGCTGAGAATGTGGTGGGAGGTCACGTCCATCCCCATGGATGGCAGGGGGAGAAAGTTCAAGGTGCCAGAGCCCTGAGAAAGGAACCTGAACAGAAGTAGGCAGAGGGCTTAGGGGAAAGCCAGAGCCCACAAGACAAAACAGGGAAGAGAATCGGGGCTGGTCCAGAAGGCCCAGGGTGCCATAACACAGAGGATTATGACAGACTAGACTCAGGGTGAAAGTACTCTGCACCTTCAAAATGCAGCCCTGGCCCTCCCCTAAGGCAGAGTCCTTAAACCACCGCAGCCTCTACAAAAGGGTGGAGGGAGAATGGACCGGAGGCTGGGCAGGCAGGAGATCAGGAGGAGAGGGCCCAACACAGCCTGGTTAGCAGCAGAGGTGCAGGGGACAACCAACTTGGCCAGACAGCCTGCAGTAGAATGAAGGGCGTGTGGGGACTAGGCCATATGGCTCCTGGCCAGAAGCACTGAGGATAGGGACTCAGCAGTGGGCACACAGGGACCAGCAGGAGCCCTGCTATTGAGTTGGCTGTCACTGTCCATGACAGGCTGAAGGCCAGTAGCCTTGAGCATAGGGAAGCGAGGTGCACTGGCTCCCTTGCTCAGCCCAGGCTGCTAGACCTCCTCACTTCTGCCTGAGTCTTCAGCATCAGTCAGGGTCCCAGATGGAGTCTGCCTGGCCTGGGCAGCACACATCACCCGCCCCACCAGGACCCAGGACACCTCGCTCATCTCTCTTCCTGGCCCCAGGTCCCAGGCATGGCCCGCCAGCCTTCTCTCCCAGGTCCCTTCTTTGCCCAGGTACCCCATCCAGTGGCCTTGCTGACTTGCACCCCATCCCACAGGCTCTGTTCCCAAACACATCTGGAACCCATCTGCTGCCCTCTGCCCTGCTGATGTGTGTCTTTACAGAGCCCGCTGTCCACCAAGCCAGGGCATCCTGTCCAGGCCTAACCTCTGCTTGCTCCAAACCTCAAACGTAGCCAGGCCTGATGCCTTTCATCCCAACCCTGGGAGGCTGAGACAGGAGGATCATAACTCAAGTCCAGCCTGGACAGCTTAGTGACTTATTGAGACTGTCTCAAATACTTAAAAAATAATAAAAAGAACTGAAGATGTAGCCCAGTGTGAAGCCCCTGGGTATGGCCAGAAAACAAAAGAAAAAATTCCACTCTCCTCCCTCCTGACCTAGCTCCCTGTGGCCTATGGGCCCCCGCAGGTGGACAGGAACAGCCTTTGGTGTCACCCCATGTCAGCCTGGCTGGCATCCACTCCAACCAGAGGAGGCCCTGAGATTCTCTCCCCAAAGTCCTGTTCTTTATAGTTGACTGGCCACTGGATAAACAGTAACTTTCAGTCTAGGCCTGTTCCAAATACTGCACGGGGAGTGCTTACACTGAAAACATTCCTGTGTGCATCTGTTGTGTCTGGGATATACGCCTGGAACAGTCTACCTCTTGCCTCCCTGTGACGGAATCTGCCTTGGGTTCCTCCCACATGTGACTGTAGGTCACCCACAGCCTGGGCAGCGCAGAGAGACCCTGCATCAGAAGCAAAGCGAGCCAGTGTGGCTCATGCTCCCAGGTTCAATCCCGTCTCTCGGCCAGATAGGCACGGGCAACCCCAGAAGCAGGGTCTTTGAGCACCAGAACAGGACTCCTGTGGGCAGTGCACAGCAGACCCACCTGGGACCACAGCACAGAAGCCCCGTGTTTGAGCTAATGCCTGGGCTGAGTCTGTTACCACAGCCTTGCCCTCCTGAGTGCTGAGTTTGTCTCTAGTCTTGTGTGTGCCTTCCTTCGACAAAAGCTGCCAACTTCATTTCCAAAAGGAGTTATGGGACAAATAACAGAGAAGGAACTGTCCTTGCTTCACCTGGAGCTCACCTGGGTGCAAATGGGCATAGGGACCTCCAACTCACAGCCAGCTGTCCCAGCTACTGACCACCTGCCCTGCCAAGTCACCCTCTGTCTTCCCAGAGCCCAAGGCTCCAGGTCTCCAGGAAGCCCCATTGCAGCTGTCGCTACCCCAATGCTGAGGAATCTTGGGGGGCCTGGGACATCTGGCCAGTGCCTGCAGAGGACAAGCAGGCCAGGGCAGGACTGAAAGGGCTGTGTCCAGTGCCTGCAGAAGCAAGGCCACCTCCTGCATGGACAAGGGCACACAATGGATGGTGATACTGGTGCACCCCTCCACCTGGGCAGCTGGGGAAAACAGGGCCTAGAGACTCACACCCAGGGACTCCTGGGGTATGCAGGAACCCTGGTGGCTGGACCAGGGAGACAGAACACACTGTGAGTGGAGTTTATTGACAGAAGACAGCACTGGCTGGAGTGGTTAGCGACCAGCTGGCCAGCAAGCACACAGGGCCCGACGCTCCGCCTGCAGCAGGAGGGTCTCGGTCTGCAAAGCAAGGAGAAGCACGTGGGTGGCACAGCCCTGGGCACCGGCTCCAACCACTCCACCCATCCAAGCCTCTGTTCCCTCTCCTACCCTGCAGACATGCTTCCCCCATCCCCCACGCCACCCAGACCCACACCCCAGCTCTCCACAGGTCTGCCAACCCAAGTGTGTGCTCGCCAGCACCGCCCACAAGAAGGCACAGGGCTCCTGAGGGAGGGTCCTTTCTACTTCCAGGAAATCCCTGTCACTAACAGAGGAGGGTCCGCGGGTCCCTGCCCATCACCTTGGAAGAGGCGCTAACCTACCCCCTAACTTGGACAGCCTGACATCTCATCCTCCACACGGGCCACACCCTCTTTCCAGGTCGGTCCTCTGTGCCCTGGCCTCATCCCCTCCTCGGGCATCCTGAACTGGGACTGACAACCTGTCCCTCTGCCACAGCAGTTGGGACAATGCCCCAGTGCGCTTGACACTTAGGAGCGTGATGGTGTGAGACCCGCACCCAGAACCCCAACGGTAACCACAGGCGGCAGAAGTGCAAAGAAAGCAAGGATTTGGGAGGGGGCTTCCGCTCACCCGCGCATCCAGGCTGTAGGCCGTCTTCCGCAGGTCCTGCAGCGCGCGCTGCATGAACTCGAACGCGTGGCAGTCCACGCACGGGCGGCCTGCGGGAGCGGGCAGCGTCACCCCGAGACCCGCCGAGACGTCCCCCCCTCCCGCCCGCCCATCAGTCCCGTGTCCCGCGTTCCCAGGAACAAAGGCGGGCGGCATCCGTCACACTCACTCTGCGCAGGGATGGCGCTCCCGGCCGGGGGCTCGGCGCGCGCGCCCAGCAGGGCCACGCTCAGCAGCAGGAGCAGCAGCGGCGGCGGCGGCGGCGGCAGCAGGGCCCGGCGCGCGAGCGAGGGGGCCATGGCCGAGGAGGGACCCGGGCCGCCCTGCGGCGAACCGGGTCAGCGCCGCGCGCGCGATTCGGCCCCGCCCCGCCCCCTCTCTGTCGCGGACCTGGCACGCCCACCCCGGCCGCGATTCCGGCGGCCCACTCGCGAGCCTGGAGCCCGCGCCACCCCGCGCCGGCTCCGCGCCCGCCTGTCCCGGCAACCCGGGCCCGCTCACCCCTGTGCGGCCCACCTCGGGCCTGGACCCTGTGTCCCGCCCAGCCCCGGTCCCGACCCCGGCCCAGCCGCTGCCTGCGGCCTGGACCACAGCGCCCACCCTCACCGCGGCTCAGCTACCCCGCGAGCAGCAGCCCGGCGACTCAGATGACGCACCACAACGGCGCATGCGCACGCGCCCCGCTCAACCACACCAGTGCCCCCTCTGTCGTTATGGCAACCCGGGTCCCTACTGGCCGGGATCACCAGAGTGCGGCGCCGACACGGGACAAAGCCGAAGGAGTGGGTCAGACGGGATCCCTGCGCTCGGAGTTCAGCGCGCAGCTTCATCCTTCTTGCCCCCGTGTGACCTGGGTGTCACCCGGCCTGTCAGTGTCCCCTGCGAACACTGGGCGGTCCGTGGGTACCGACGAGTAGAATCCTGCATCCTGCGGGCCCGTGCACGTGGGAGCCCCTGCCCTGCCCGCCGTCGGGCCACCCGCGACCCCAGAGCGACTCCCACAGGGGGCGCCCCGGGCCCGCGGGTCCCGAGCCCTCTTCCCTCTCCCCGCGTCCCATGACCCTGACGCGCGTGGGGCCGTGGTGACTCGGAAGCCCCACCCACTCGGGTCCGAATGCTCGGGCCGGGCCTATCGACATTCATGCGTGGAGTTACGGGGCCAGACGGCGGAATCAGGCGCGGGCTCTGCCCCAGGTTGCCTGGGCGTGTGACCCGCCCCAGTCAACTGGGCCACTGCTGCGCAGAGCAGCCCAGCGCGCAGGAAGCCGCAGCCTCCAGATCCAGGGGGGCTGGATTTTGGGCGTCAGGCGTGGAGTTCCCGGAGTCTGAGTGCCCTCCTGATGCCCAGTGCAACCCTCAGCCCGCAGAGATGACACACAGGGCGACAGGGGGATCTCTGAATGACCTGTATGGGGCTGGTACTGGAGAGGAGTGGGCCATGGGGTGTAGGGGAAAGGCTTCCCCTAGGTTCCCGAGATGGCACCAGCTTCGCTGTTGGGCTGCGAGTGGTGTCCGCACAAATACTGTGGACAGAGACGCCAGGGGGCTCCCCAGGGGTATCCTGCTACCCTCACCAAGGCCCTGACCTCTCAGGAAGGGAATGACAAGGGCCTCAGCTCTCCGGGACCTCGTAGAAGTCAGGGCCACTGTTTTCTAGGTCCAAGGACTGAGGACCTGTTTTCCAGGCATACACACCCACAGACCCTCCAGCCCTGAACCCCCTTCCCAGAAGGGGGTTGATATTTCAATCCAGGAGAAGGAAGAGGCGACTCTGGTGCCAGGAGGGCAAGGAACTGGGAGGCGGGCCTGGGTCAGGGATCTAGTTCATAGCTCAGCCTCAGGGTTGCCCACCCTGCAGCCATCTCCACACATGGAACAGGGGAAATGGAAAGAAAACCCAGCTCCTCTCCCCCAACACTGGCTAGGAGCTGGTTCAGGATATTGAGGAGGTTAGGATGGAGAGCCCACCTCTGCAGGCTCACAACAAGAACTGTGCAGTGTGGATTTGCAACCCGAGAATGTAAAGGGAAAATTGTCATTAATGGTTCCACACTAGTTGATGCCCATGGCAACCAGCAGAAGAAATCCAGATGAGCCCCACAGGAAACCCAAGAAGTGATCTCCACAGCAGTCAGTACCAAGGGTAAACCCCAACACCAGGAGCCCAGCACCACGCATGGAGGATGCACAACAACTACAAGCCAGCAAAAATGATCAGTGGATTCCATGTGGATCTTAAATCAAGTGTACTTAAGGTTTAAAAAATTGAAAATATAAAGAAACTGGAAAACCAGGAAAAGTTTGAAAAATAACCAGCTAGAAATTCTAGAGCTTAAAAGTAAGTCCCAAAACGCAGTTTGGCTGCGCAGTGGGCAGGAAGCTGCAGCGGAAGGACAAAGTCAGAACAAACAAGGCAGAAGGGGTTTTTTGAAAGCATGGAAGGGATGTGGAGAAGCAGGGAGAAGGCTGAGCTCTGTCAGTGGGGTGTGGAGAACAATTATGAGCAACTGGGGTGCAGCAAGGCTCTAAGCATGACTAGGAAGCTTCCAGAAGCCAACTCGCACATTCACAGACCTCAGTCAGTGCCAAGGAACAGAAAGGAGAAATTGGCAGGAGCCCACATCCAAAACTACAACCAGGAAGCAAAAAGGCAGAACTCTATAATCTGCTTCCCCTCCCCCATGCCAGGTGACCCTCAGAGCACAGGCAGTTGGGGTGACAGCTGGTGTGGCCACAGAACTTTGGGAGACAAAGGGAATGGCCACTCATCCCTAATCAGCAACAGATTTCCACAGTGATATGAAGGGGGGGCAGAAGCACTGCCTGTCATCCCACAAACAATTGGTCATCCCAGCTCCCCTTTGATTTCTGTTTGTCTTTACTCTTTCTCACCATGCTCTGTAACACCTCCTGGGAGCTGGAGATGCACCTCAGGGCTCCCCAGTGAAAGGTTCTTGCTTCAGTATGAATTACTGTACAGTTATGGAAGTAGTCTAACGTGGCGGAAGGCCAAAGCGGGAATACTTGTCACTTCCTGCTGCTTCTTCAGCCCTAATTACGGCTCCCCTCCCTGTGTGCACACACACAGAGTTCCAGTCGGTTCCTCAAACGTCACCAGTATCCCCCCATGCACCACTTTAATATAACCCTCTGCCTCTCTGAACCTGGTCGAAGGAGACAGCGCAGCCACTATGGGTTGTGTGCTCCTTTCCACGTCCTCAACTCAATAAACCTGTTCATTTTGTACTTTTGCTTCTCTATTGTGCCAGAACACTCTTTAACACCCAATAGTGCAGGACACTGCAGTGGGATCTGGGCCCTGGCTGGACTCTTTGGGTCTCTGGTGTGTGGACAGATCTCCTACACTCTGCTGCATTTCACTCCCCATAGGGGAGTATTATAAAATTGTCCTATGAATTATGTGTCCTGTATTAAATCTATCCCCTTGAAAACCTGGACTGCAACAGAATGGAAAAACATAGTGAATACTTCATTTTTTAAGAAATTTAGTACATAGTAAAAGACATTGGCATTAATCCCTCCTCACTTTAAGCATGCGTTTGCCATGGTTCTTGCCACTTTTTGAAGCCATTCGGGAAGTTCTCTTGCACAGATGTCTTTAGCCGTGCTGTCATGTCTGCCTCGATGTCCTAAATTAATTCAAACATTTCCCTTTCACGGTCATTTTGACCTTGGGGGAAAGCTGGAAGCACAGTGTCAGAGATAGGAATGAGGACACAAAGTCACGGTTTTTTTGAGCCGGTGATACTTAATGGAAGCAGTCACTGGTTTTTGCTGCCACCTTGTAAAGACACTCAGGAAAGAGAACTTCTGAGAACTGCTTCAGAAAGTGCCAAGAGCAATGGGATGCATGTGTTTGAAGTGAGGGGGGGATGTGGGTATTTTGAGAGATTAATGGCAATGTGCCTTTACTGTAATAACTTTTTACATCAACATTCACTGTATATTTTATCACATCTTGTAAACTGCATATATTAAAACTACGCGGGCCAATGGGAATGGGCACCCCCGCCCTGAGCCTGCCACCGAAGGACTGCAGGGGAAGCTATGCCCGAGGCCCCAACACCATGGGGGAGTATGGAGGAGCTACCGTCCCGCACCTCTCTGCCAGAACCTCAGATCAGAGGAGCCCAGGTGCACCTCGGGACAGATGGCCAGTGCAGGAAGCACCCTGGACTTGCAGCTGGCTGATTCTGAGGGACAAGGACATGTCAAGACGAAGGAGCAGGCCACAGTCTCAGCCCTCCAGCCCACCCAGAACAAGTCCGGGAAACCTGGACACAAAAGAAATTAGAAGCCACACACCTAAAATTCCCGAAATGATAGCAACTGAAGTAAAGAAACAATTTAGTGTTTATATTGTTTGATTAATTTGCATGCCTGTATCTGGTAGTCTGAACATGTACTCAGAGGATAACAATGTGCAATGTAATAACTGTTATTGAATGCCTACTGTCTTGTTTTAGAAATCCAATATCATTGTCACTGTTTTGTTTTATTCTCTTTTAAAAAAAAGCTGCACAATTTTTTTTCAGCACTAGGGACCAACCCAGGGCCGCATGAGTTTCATGGAAGAGCTCTACCACTGAGTTACACCCGGGGTTACTGACCCTTTCTGCCGGCTGTGTACACTGGCACAGCATCCCCACTGCCCACATGACAGATGTTTGCCATGCTCCATGTTTCCTCCCCCTCACAGGGCCCCTCCTCTTCTCTTTCCATGGATTGGTGGCTCATTCCTGCCTCCTAGTGGGAAAGGATCCGCCTAGGGGATAAACCACTGTTTCTTTATGCATTTATTTGTTGATGGATCTTCTGGTGGTTTGCAGCTCTCAGCTGTTACAGAGAAAGCAGCCCTAGCGGGTCATGGACATGTGCTTTCTTCCCACTTGGTGACCTTGGTGTCCACAAGGTGGGCTCACCTTGAGCTGGGGTGGTGGATCATCAGGTAGGTACATGTTTCACTTTTGAAGAAACTGCCAGATTTTCCCCATGTGGTTATAAACTCTGTCTTAATTACTTTTTACTTGTTGCTGAGACAAAACACCCAACACCCAGAGTTAAAGGGGGAAGGACTGATTTAACTATTTTAACTGTTCAGAGAATTCAGTCTATAATTGCCTGGCTCCGAGGCAGGGTGGACTGGCAGAGGAGCCCCTGTTTGTGGCTTGTGAAAGGTAGCAAAGCAAGCAAGGAACTTTCACAGAACCTCTCTTGCATATTTTAGCTAATTTACTGGGATTAGGGTGGTGACAAACTAACCCAGGGACACCCCCATAATCCCAGCACCACATACTCCACCTATGAAAAAGCCCCATCTCTGACTGCTTTAGGCTTTGGGGGGATACCCAGGCACAAGCCATAGCAAATTCCTACAGGTCCACTGGCAGCATCTGAGAGCTTCAGTTCCCCTGCATTCCTTCCCATCTATATTATGGTCACACTTCTACATCTGAATCACTCTGTTAAGTGTAGCATCACAAACTCACTCACAGACACAGCTTTAGTTTTACAGCTCATTTTCCTAACAACCAATTTTGAGCACCTTTTAAATAATCCACCCAAATATATTCTTTGGTGAAGTTCATATCTTGGGCCCATTTTTTTTCTCCCACTATCCCATTGGTAGACCAAATATTGTTACTATGATCACTTTAGGTTATTTGCAATCTGGTCTTTGTGCAGTAAAGACATGTTTGGTCATCTATGATGGCACACACCACAGCTCTAGGCTGAGGCAGGTGAACATCAAGTTGATGGCATCCTGGCATCCTGCCTCTAAATAAAAAGGGGGAGTGATGTAACTCAGTATGGAGCTGTGATCCTGGGTTCCATCCCCAGGACTGAAAAAAAAAAAGCATTGAGGTATAATTTAGCACCATAAATTCACCCTTGAAAGTGTGTGATTCAGAGGACTTAAGCATATTTACAAAATTGTGCATATATCAGCCCTAACTAATTTCAGAACATTTTCATCATCCCCACAAGAAGTCCTACACCCACCATAGTCACCCTGCCCCTGCTCCAGACCCTGATAACCTTCTGCCCTACCGCCTTTACCCACTCCAGATGGTCCCCACCAACAGGGACAACGTGTCAGCCCCATACTGCGTCCTCATCTGCTTCCTGTAGCCCAGAGCCCCAAGGAGGGGCTGGAAAGTCACAGAGCACACTGCTGTCTGGGCTCCAACTCTCCCTGGGCTTCAGCAGCACTGTGCCCACGTCTGTCCAGGGGCTGGGGTGTCTGACGTAGCTGTAGGGCCAGAGGAGTCGTCGGTGGGACTCACTCCTGACTAATGAGCGAGGCAGACCATGCTGAGTTCTAAGGAAATCACTAAAAGAATACCAAGAGAGTGAGTATCTTTTAGACTACAACACATATGTGTGATAAGTGGCTGCTAATCCAAAAAAAGATGAGGGAGAACAAAAATATCTTTGATTTTTTCCAGTGCTGGGGACTGAACTTCACTCAGACCTCCTGTGTGCTACACAAGGATGCACCCCAGCTCCATCCCATCAGACCAGGGATTTCCATTTGGTGCTCAGGTACAAAACACTTGGTTACAAGGTGGTCGTGCCAAATATAAAGCCAAAACCAGGTGTATGCTGTAAGACCCAAATACATTATGGGCTTACAAAAAATTTGAAAATTTTTAAAATGGAGAAAACATATATTGAGTTAACACAGTAAGAAGATCCAGGTCACCACCTAACACCAGAAAAATGGATTTTAGGAAAGAGGAGCAAAGCTGGGTGGCCTCACTTCTGTTATGGTTTGGGTCCTGTGGCCCCCAGGAGCTCAGGCAGCTAGTCCGGGCTTTGGAAAGAGATGGAGTCAGGGGGCTCACAGCAGGGTACAGTCTGGAAGAGCTCATCTCCTCCCGCCCTGATGTGGTCTGGGTGGCTCCTCTAGGGCTCACCCCGCTGCCACTGCCAAGCTGTTTCTTCAGGGCTGGCTGACCGAGAACTAGAATGGGAACTAAACATCTCCTGCTCTGAGTTTTGGGTGCTGGGTGTTCATCCCAGTAACAAGGAAAGTGAGACAGCGTCTTCTTTTGTGTGTGTGACAAGGTCTCTGTCGTAGTCAGGGATTGGGAGGAGAACAATTACATACAGGACACAGAATTTATACTATCTTATGATGCTCACTCAGAGTTAAACACAGAAAGTACAGGAAATCTGTCCACAATACTAAACACCTAGAATATTCAGCCAAGGGCCCGGCTCCCACAGCAGTGCTCTGCATGAGTCCGGATGAAGACCTAGAGCTCACGACAATGCCTCCCATGTGTCTAACTGGAGGCCCAGAGCCCTCGAGAACTCATACCAGTCTGTTTTATGGATCTGCGCTGGGAAGGCCCAAAGGTCAGTGGTGGAAGCTAGAAAGGGTATGCCAGCGGGGAACAGTGCTAAGCTGTAAGTCTGAAATCTTTCCTCTTACACAACTGAAGAACAAGTTATGATCTCTTCAGCAAAGTGGTGATAGATGATTATCCTGGGTCTTCTCTTCGTGGACCCAGAGGCGGAGAAGGCCATGGGGACTGCAATCAGACCGTCTGGATGACAGGGCCATTTGTACCCCCAGACTGGGACCAGACTTCAAGGAGGGCAGGCACCATGGTCGCCAGTCAAAAAGCGTGTCCCTGGGGCTGGGGACGGATTCCAGGGATGGAGCAAAAAGAAACATGTTCCTCAGCAGCACACTCAGTTTGCGATGTTAATTAAAACTCAGCCAGAGATGCCATACTTCTAGGAAGACTAGGAAAATGTGAAAATTTATTTTCTGATGCTTGGGTCTAAGGAGGCTCATGATCTACACTGGGACTAGGAATGATTCTGTTTTAAATTTGAAGTTTGCATGATGTAAGGTTCTTTAAGATAAAATGGAGTTTGCTATGTTATATAGCTTTACTCTAAATTAGGAAATGTCTGACAACCGGGTTTTTTTTTTCTGTGTTGAATTCTAACCTCTAAAGGTAACCTCCAATCTTCCTAAATATTTGGTACAAAAGCTGAGGTGTCAGAGGACCCTCTCCACTTTTGTGCTTTACTTTCAGGAAATGATGCAGGGCATGAGTTCTGCCAAGCACATTTTGCAAAACATGTAATGTTTTTGCCGTAAGCTGAAAAGGAAAAAGTCTAACACGGAGATATTCAAAGAATTTATTTTGCATTTATAAAGCAATTAGATGATTTCTTATGCATGAGTATAATGTTTCCTAATTAGAAAAAAATACAAAACGTTTTCATCTAGCAACGGAGTATCTTCCAACATCCAGTAGTCTGGGAGCATTGGGCTGGAGCCCTCCACCGTGAACACCCTTCATGTTAGAATAAAGTGTGGGTTTTCTCATTCAATTCCAAACTAGTTGTTGGAGTTTTTTTTTTTTTTTAATGTTAACAGTTGTGAAGTTGGAAGAAACCAGTTAAAAACATTTAATGAGGATACACCATATATTTGTAAATATTTGTTTTTATTCTGTAGTTTGAATTAATGTAATTTATATTTTTCTGTAATAAGATATGTTAGATTTCTAACAGCCTTGAAACCAAAGATGCTGGCTCTAATTTAAATGGTCTTTTGTAACAGACTACAGTGAAGTTGGACCAACTTATTGGAAGAAAGAAAGAAGAAAGGAATATACAAGTGGCCCTGGCTTCCTCCTGCAATCACAGCATGCACCCTCTGCCCACAGCCACGTCCTCTGGTCCCTGGGGAGCACAAGGTCCAGGCTGGGCCACCCTCCTCCCATTGTACAGGCCTCATATCCGCTGTCCACGGCATGCTGTTGGGGCCCATTGGCATTGTCTCTGGACGACTTGAACAAAATGACCTAGCTTGTTTGCCCGTGGGGCGGCCTGTGGCACAAACTTCCGACAGACTGCGCCATCATGGGCCCACAGCAAGGTAGATAGATGGCACTTAGCCTGATGTCAGAGTCAGCTCAGGCTGCAGCCAACAGTGCTGCAAGAGTCTGTCCTTCTCTTCCCCACTGGGCAGCTCCCGTGCTGGGCGGCTGTCCCCCTCGGGGGACACTGACTGGGGAATTCCCTGCAGTCTGAACTTGTGTTTTTGTCATGGGGACATGGCCTCCTACCAGCAACTTCTACTCCTCACCCCCGTTTCTTGATGTTTGTTTGGGGTCAGATGTGCCCTTGCTGTCTGCCTCTCCAGCGCTGTGTGACAGTCACCACGGCCCCCCGCAGTCGGGCTCTGTGGCTGTTCCACGTTCGCTGCACTTTACAGTAACTGCACTACTCGGCTTCTGAGATGAGTGTGACCACTGGCCCTCCCCCTCCAGCATCTTCCCATCCACGAACCCAAGAACCTTAGTCCTTAGCCCCTGCCTCCCTTCTTTGCGGAGCACAGGGCTGAGTCCTCCCGGCTAAGGCCCCCTCCACCATCGGCCAGAGCAAGGAGGCCAGGCAGCTCCCAGGAGAGGCATCCCAAAGCCAGCATGAGGGGCGCTGGACGGCAGGACGACAGCTGCAGCCACACAAACACAAGAAGTGGGGAGCTCAACCCTCAGATAGAGGCTTCTGACAGCAGAACTGAATCTCGGCGGCAAGAGCCGGACTCCATGCTGGAATTCTCTCCTCACCGTCCTAGTCAGCCTGAGTGGCTCTAATAAAGTTCTTGTGAGTTCTTGTGCCCGGGCACTTGATAAAGAGCAGGGACACGCTTCTCACAGACCTGGAGGCTTGGAAGCGCGAGGGCAAGGCACCCACTTCTCGCGTAGCAAGAATGTGCTTCCAAGGTGGCGCTGTGCGCACTCGGTCCTCTGGAGGGAGCAGCGGGGCTTCCCCACCGGCAGACCGCAGACGGCGGAGGCGCACAGCGCGAGAGTCCTCAGCAAGCCCTGCTGGGAGTGCACCTGAGCCTCGGAACCGCCCACAGAAATCACCACCCAGAGGCCACACCCCTAGTATTCCGAATGGAGAGCCAATTTCTTTTCTGCTTTCTTTTTTTTTTTTTTTTGTCTTTTTTCCTTTTTATCGGTACCGGGGATCCAACTCACGACCCCCTGCTTGCAAGGCAGGTGCTTATGGTGCTGAGCTAAATCCCCAGCCCCTAGAGCTAAATCCCTAGCCCCGAGAGCCAATTTCAACATGAATTTTTTTAAAATTTAATCTTAATTTTTTTGTTTTTGGAGACAAGATCTTTTGGGGGGAGAGTGAGACAGGGTCTTCTTTTTCTTCTTGGTTTTTTGAAACAGGGTCTTGTCGTATAGTTCAGGCTGGCCTTGAACTCACTATGTAGCCTAGGTAGCCTCAAACTCAGCAGTCCCTCTACCTCTGCCTCCTGAGTGCTGGAATTACAGGTGTGACCACCACACCTAACTTCTGAGGGGACACAATATTGAAACCATAGGAGCTACACAGGGAGTGCTATCGTTTGCTTCTTAAATGTCTCCTAAATGGCCAAGTATGAAAGCCTCTGTCCCTTGCTCGGTCCTGTCTAGAAGGGATGAACCTTCAGGACAAGGGCCCTAGAGGGAAGTCTTTGGAGGTGTGGTCTTGAGGGGAAGTGTGGAACCCTGTCCCCTCCTCATTCATGTCCCACCCTACAGGCTCAAAAGCAATGCTTCAGCAGACCAGACTGAGGCCTCCAAAACCGACAGCCAAAAATAACCCTTCCCTTCTTTCTCTTTGCAGTGCTAGCACCAAGCTCGGCTCTGTGCATGCCATGCCATTCCTCTGCCACAGAACCACAGCCTCTCCTTGGCTGTTTGTCTTTACAAGGTGATTACTTCAGGCATTTTATTACAGTCATGGAACCCTAACACTGGGAAGTTTTACTTTGTTAGCTGGAAAGAGAAAGAAACAGCTTTCTTAGCAGGTACTCTTCTAATTTTGGAACCATTTCTGTCAAACAGATATTTAAAAACGATACCAGGAGGCCAGGGATTTAGCTCAGTGGCACAGTGCCTGCTTGGCAAGTGTGAGGTCCTGAATTTGATTCCCGACATTTCCCCAATAAATAAAAATAAAAACATACTGGAATTGTCATCTTACAGTGCTGGCTGTCCCACAGGACTCTCCAACAAAAACTATCAGGAAGCTGGAAATGGTTGTACATATCTGTAACCCCAGTGCTCTGGGAGCCTGAGGCACAGGGATTGTAAGCTTAAACCCAAGTTGGGGAAGTTAGTGAGAGCTTCTCTCAAAATTTTAAAAAAATTCTCAGATGAGAAGGGCAGAAAAGAAACAAAAATTAATGGTTGAAAAAAAATTAATGGTTGGAGATGTAGCTAAAATTAATTTTAAAAACTTGAGGAAACATCAGAATTGCAATAAAGACAATATCAGTGTCACTGAGGCTTCTACTTTGCTCCAGCTCTAATGGCTTGGCGTGGCACTATTCCTGCTCCTGTCTTTAAATTTTCACTTTTTCTCGGATTACAGGTGTGTGTCAATGTGCCCAGTGTGGCATTAATTTTGAAATAAAAAATGTGTTAAAATATCATCCATAGAGATGACTGAGTTTTTTGTATTTCCTGACACCTCACATGCCTCTCTCCGCTTCCCAAGACCTTGAAAGAGACTACATCTTGCCTAACTAGGGCTTCTTTGAGGAATGCAGAGATGGCTTAACCTCCAAAATTCGGCCAACCATCCCAGTGGCACATGCCTGTAATCTCAGCACCCGAGAGGCTGAGGCAGGAGGATCATCACAAGTTCGAGGCCAGCCTGGACTATAGAGCAAGACCCTGAGGGGAACAGTTGAGCCATGGCTGTGACAGAGTGTGGTAAATTCCTTGGAACTAGAGGGTTTATTTGCTGTCAGTTTGGCATCAGCAGTTCTCATTGTTGCTCTCTGGGAAGTCAGAACCAGCAACTCTCCAGAGCTCTGCAAAACTCTCTCTTTCTCCACCACTCTCTGCTGATAAGGCCCTGGCCAAGGACCACTGATCCCCTGCTCAGGGCTATGATGACAGAATAAAACAGGGGCAAGGAACATGTATTTCAGCTCAAAGGGGAACTGGGACAGTTAGGGCCTAAAGAAGGACAAAGACCATGAGGCTTGGTGTCCCTGGCCTTTTTTAGGTGCACAGCTTGAGGAGGGCATGTGGTGGACTGCAGGAAGAGACAAGAGTAAACCGCTGATGCAGGCAAGGCTCAAGGATGCGAAGAACATAGTATTTTTGGAAAAGCACACGGGAACAGATCACGGTTAACCAGTGACCTGGTATCTGCTGAGACTACTGAGCTAAAAGGAATCTGAGTGAGTCAAAGTTCCCAGCTGTCAGGGCCAGGACTTCACAGGCTGCCTGCTGGTTTGGGTCCTGGCCTTTGGCCTGGGGGTTAATTTCATTCCCATGCCCATCATAGGCCTCCCACAAGTCTCTTAGGCCTGGGAAAGACTCTCTATTCAACTTACTTTTATGTCAGTTTATTAATGACATAAAACCAAGCACCACCTGCTCTGCACTGCATCAAGCTGATCCTCAGCACTCTGCCATTCTTCAGCCACCCTCAAGTGATCCCAGCTCTGGCCACTCTCAGTGACAGCGGCCCTTAGTGTAACCAACTCAGGGTATCCAAGTCAGCCAGCTCCACCGTGATAGAGATCAGGAAGAGGCAAAGTAAATGCTCTCTGGAAGACCCATTATTAGAACTCATGCTGCAGCATAAGGGCGAGGGAAGCACAGCCTGAGCCAGAGGGAAAGGCTGTTTCTACAGACAAGAAGGCGGGCTCGAACATGCGTGTCCTGCTGTTAACCACAGACGGTCCACCTCATCGTGGGTAGGAAGGGACTCCAAGGGCCAGGCTGGAGACAGCTTTGCGGAGCTGACTCAGTCACAGGGATCGGTCAGAGAGGCCATGGGACAGTCATCTGGGGCAGACCTGAGATGGAAGCTGTCACATCCAAGTCTCCCTGAGCAGGTGTGGGGTGTGTTCGTGAAGCCACAGCCTACCACAAGGGTGTGCAGAGCAGCTGGGACTCTCAGGGCACAAGGGTCCCATTCTTCTGTCTTAACTATATAACGATGTCAGTGCTAACTTAACGTGCAAACTCAATGCAAATCCAATGCCTGTGATCTGAGCACTTGAGAGGCTGAGGCAGAATGACTGCCACAAGTTCAAGAATAGTTTGGGCTACACCGTGAGTTCAAGGCTAGAGAGCCCCTGCCTCAAAACACGCACGTGCACATGTACACACAAACCTCAATGCAATCTAATCAAAATCCCACCAGAGCCGAGGATTTAGCTCAGCAGTATAAGCACCTATGTGGCGAGCATGAGCTCTTGAGTTTGATCCCCGGTATAAAAAAAAAAATCCCACCAGTTTTGTTTTAAAGAAATTTATTCTAAAATATATAGAAAATAAAGTACCAAAATTTATTGCTTTTAAAGTAAGTAAAAATGGAGGCTCTTTATGTTGCAAAATCAGGCAAACAGATCAAAGGCTAGATAAAGCTATATTTGCAATTAGTTAAGGCCTGCACATATCTGATCACATATACTTTGTCTTCCAGGAAGAGCCTCCAGGTCTTTCACTAAGATTTATTACTGTACAGAACCAGCTTTTCAAGCACAAACATGAGCAAAAGAAGCCAGACTTTTGTCAAAGATGTTACAGCTCAAAATCCCTCACACAGAACATACCTCCCTTCAAACAGAGATGTGTAACCTGTGAGGACACAGTCAGCCAACAAACATCTCCCACAAACTCCTCACTTACACTGATCGGGAAGCAGATTTGAGCTTATACCTCCAGACCTCCTTTGCAGTTGGCCACTCAGTAAAGCTTTGTCTTTTTGCAGGGCTGGTGCTACAGATCAGTGGCACAGTGCCTGTCTGGCAAGCACGAAGTCAAGAGTCTGATTCCTGGTACTAAACAAACAAACAAACAAACAAAGCTCATTACCAAGGTATTGCTTCCATGTATGTCAGAGAGCAAGTGCTTGCTAACAACATATTCACAGACTCTATGAACATCTTTGTAGTAAACTAACAGAATTCACAAAAAAGCTACTAGAACAATTAAACTTGGTTAGCAAGGCTGCATGATACAAAATCAATATATACATGTCAATGGTACTGCAATATGCTAGTAACAAACAACTGCAAGTTAAAAATTATAAAATTGCAATAACAACGAAATACACGGAGCACTTGGAGAGAAACAAAAGGTGTACAAGACCTGTACTGAAAACTGCTGAGTGCTGCTGAGAATTTAAAGGAACCCAAAGAAATGCAAACATGTAGCATGTTCAGAAGTCAGTTATCATGTAACCCCAGTAGTCTGTATATATCCTCGGGTCTTTTGCATTCATTTTTTCTTTCTGCTCCTCAGGCCTGATAATTCCCATTCTCCTATCACTGACTTTTCTGCCTGCTCAAATCTGCTTCTGAGCCAGGTGTGGTGGTGCACATCTGTAATCCCAGTACACAGGAGCCTGAGGCAGGAGGACCACTGCAAGTTCAAGGCCAGTCTACTAGGCTACAAAGTGAGCTCAAGGCCAGCTTGAACTATAAAATGAGACTCTGTCTCAAAAAAGACAAAAAAAAAAAAAAAAAAAAAAAAAAAAAGCTCTTCTCCCTAAATTGACCCATAGATAGAATACAGTACCAGTCAAAATGCCCTGTTTTGTTCTAGGTTTGTTTTTGTGGTAAAAACTGGCAATTCTAAAATTTATACAAAAATGCGGAGGTCCTAACATAGCCAAAATAAACTTTGCAAAAGAACAAAATTGGAGAAGTAACAGTGCCTGAATTCAAGACTTAATAGAAAGCTACTGTAATCAAGGCAGTGTAGAATCGGCAGAAAGCTTGATGGATAAATCAGAAGATTTCAGAATTGAACCCACACACATATTGGCAACAGACTGTTAACGGATAGGATAGTCTTTTCAACAAGTAGTATTAGAACCATAACATACCCATTTTTTAAAAAGACCTTTGACTTTCTAATTTTGCAACATGATGGAGAGATACACAGCAATTAATTCCCTTAAAATAGTCTCACACTGGCCACACTTATTCTATTGGTTTTGCCACTTCCTGAAGCAGTTCTGGGAATCCTGTTTCCACGTACGGTAATAAACATGAAGTTTAATTTTTAACATCTGTACTTCAGCTCATATCATTCCTGAGGTCAGGGTGGGTTCCTGCAAACGCGTTAAGAGGCAGCTCCAACCCCAGCTAGGCACCAGCGCGAACCCTGCATAAGCTTTTGGAGCCGCGTATAGCATCACCTGCGTGGCGCCCAGCCCAGGACTCCACTCGAGACCATGTCCAGTCCCCAAAAGACCGTGCCCATCCGGGTGGGTGTAGACCCCAGACAGTCTCGCCGCCAGGTGGGCATGAGAACAACATATTCTGTCTAGGGGGATCTGGCTGGACCCGGCGTCTGATAGGCCTCTGCGAGGAAGAGGCGGAGCCTGGCACTGGAACCGTGTGCCGGGGAAACTGGACCGAGAGCTCCACTTGCAGGTCCAGGCTGGACTCCCGACGAAGGCCGTGACGTCATTCGAACACGACTTCGTCTCGCGTGACGTCATATTCCGACGCTGTGCGGACACCGACATGATGAGCTACGGAAGCCGAAAGGCCACCTGCCGCACGACGTCGCTCCAGCTCCCGGGCGTAAGCACAAAGCCGTCAGTAGGTCGCGCGGCCGCCCTCCACAGCAAGAGACCAGCCGCCCGAGGCTCCTCCCCGCGCCCGTGGGCGCCGCCATGTTGGGGGTCCTTAGCGGGGGCTCGTAGGCGTCCGCACAAGGTGCCTGCCCGCACGTGCCGCGGCTCCCAAGATGGCGTCCATGCGGGAGAGCGACACGGGCCTGTGGCTGCACAACAAGCTGGGCGCCACGGACGAGCTGTGGGCGCCGCCCAGCATCGCGTCCCTCCTCACAGCCGCCGTCATCGACAACATCCGCCTCTGCTTCCACCGCCTCTCGTCGGCGGTGAAGCTCAAGCTCCTGCTCGGGACCCTACATCTCCCGCGCCGTGCAGTGGACGAGGTGAGGCGGCGCCCTGCTGCCCACCGGGCCTTTGCGGCCCGGAACCCCCCCCAACCCTCTCCCCCTGCCCCCCGGCTGTCGGGCCGGGTCCGAGTCGAGAGCCGGAGAGCACAGCAAGGCGCGGTGCGGCGCGGCGGGCGGTGCAGAGTGCGGCCCCGCCAGCCGGGTGGGCTCCAGCGTCGCTTTCCGGGTGGCCGCCGACCTGGACGGTGGTGGCCTTGCTTCGCTCAGAGCCCGGCTCTGAGCTCGCTCAAAAATCTCTAACAGGATGGTTTTTCGTGGTTCTCGTTAGCATGATGTTAGATTGGTTTTTTCCTTAGAGGTTACGTCGCATCGTTCCGTGCGAAATGAATTTTGAGTTTTGTGAAACACCGCAGTCTTTTAAGCGTTCCCAGCTGCTGTCGTATTGTACGTCTTTATACAGTTGTGATTGTTTTCCATTGATTCATAGAGCGCATGCAGCAGTGCATGGTTCTCTTCGGAGAAGCGTAAAGCAGAGCGACTTGTTGCTGTAATCCCCACGGGGTAGAGAAGTCGGGGATCGCTTTCTCCCGCCGCCGTCAACCCCGTCCTCCTGTGAGGCACCAGGCGTTGCTGGACCGCAGTGCTGGGGTTGGCCGAATGAAGTCGAGGCCTTTTTGTGTATGGTAGTGTGTCTCTTGGGGCGCTTTGACAGACTAATCCTGGTTGCAGTGGAAGAGGTTTAATTTTCTCTGCTGTGTGATGCTTCTTTCTCTGAGCACCATTCTGGCGTCGGGAGACATTCAGGTGATAGCTGGCTTTGTCACTGTTGTGAATAATGCTTTTTGTCATGCGTGTGTTTTGATGCTTGTAAGCATGCGTTTTTTAGGGTAGAACACCTGGGGGTGGAATTATAGGGATGTTGGAATTATGCTAAATTGTTTTTCAAAGTTGTCATTATACCCACCAAAATGTCGGGCCAGTGAGTGTATAAACTAAGAGGTTTTAACTTGTACGGGCCTTGTTGCTGTTGTGGACTAACATCTTTTCGTGTGTTTATTTGCTTTTGGTGACTTCTCTGTTGAAACCTGCGCAGGTTTTCCCTGATTGTTGGTGTCTTCCTTCCTAGGAGCAGGGAGGGGAGAGGTCTTCTCTTTGAACGCGGGTTGTGTCTCCAGGCTGTGGCCTTTCTTTGGGAGCTGTGTTTTGGGTTGGCAGGTTTAGCTTCGCCTCTTGCTTTAGGAAATGTTGGCCGGGTCCTGTGCTGCATTCTCTGGGCAGAGCTTTGCGGTTCACACTTGGACCTTGAGTCGCACTAGAAAGAATGGTCATTTGAGAGTGGGAAGGGACTTCTGTAGCCCAGCCTGCTGTGGGTCTATACCATCACTGCCACTGAGGAGCAGTGTCTGGCACCTGTTCTTTCAAGCCATTCCTAAGGTACGGTGCCGGCCCTGGGCTGGGTCAGGTGCTGTGTGGAAAGCGAAGGGCCGACTGGTTCGCGGCAGGGTTCAGAACTGACTGCTGGCCCTGTGCACCTCCTCATGTATTTTGTATTCACTTCTCAGGTTCTATGCACCCTGCTGGGATCTGAGATATTTATGAAGGCATAGTGGCATCTTCTTCCTCACAGGGGCTCCATATGATACAGCCTGTCCGTGCAAATCCACTATAGTTTTATTGTATTTATTTATTTTTGGCACTTGGAATCGAACTCAGGACAACCTCCTCCTCCTCCTCCTCCTCCTCCTCTTTTGACATGGCATGTTTCAGGCACCTGCTGCTTCAGCCTCATCCCCTCTGTAGCCTGGGTCAGCGCATCACTCTTTCCGTGCTGCGTGGTTCCATCTGTCCAGTCAGGGGCTAATAGGCTGTGTCCGTTCGTTCCCAAGGCTGCTGTGAACATTCATGTGCAAGGCATACTCAGTGTTCTTGGTGTACAATGAGGAGGGCGTGTGTGGGGGTGATGTGAACTGTAACGTGTCTGCCAGCAGCGTTGGAAGTGTTATCCTACCGTTAGAAGAGGAGTTGTAGCCTGTTTTGCTCCTCTTTAAAAATTGTGTTTAATGAGAGAATTATTTCTTCACAAATAGTAAGCCTTGGTGTAAAGTCTATGACCTGGGATTTTGTTTATAGGAAGACTTTTAAGCATTGATATCTTGGTTTTACATTTGTAAATTTAAGTTTTCACTTTATTTTTATAGGAATTTGTCCATTTCTAATAATTTTCAGTGTATTAGCAGTAAGTGGCTAATGACCCTTCTATTAACATCAGAGCATAGGTAGTGATATTCCTTCCCCTTTTCCTGCTTCCTGTTCTTGATCTGTCTCACCAGATGTTTGTCATTGGTTAAGACTTTTAACCATAACCCCAACTTTGGCTTCATTGATGTTCTTTGTTTCCCTAATTTTTATATATTTTGTTTCTTTTTCCTAAACTTTTAAGATGGATACAGACTTCATTTTTTAAGCCTTCTCTCCTTTTTTCCCTCATAGTATTGGCGATTGAGCCCAGGCCTTGGCATATGCTAGCTAGACAAGTGCTCTACCACTGAGCCATGAAAATTTGAGAGATGGGGCTTCAGCACATGGCTTGGTCTGGGTTTGAATTTGTGATCTTTCTCCCTCAGCATTCCAGATGCTGGGATTGCAGCTGTGTGCACTGAACCCAGCTCTTTTTTAATATTTGCATATGAGGCCACAAATGTTCTGATTACAGCTTTAGCTGCATCCTGCAAGTTTGACACTTGGGGTCAAGTTTCATTATCTCCAATTTCTGTGATACTTTTTATTGACCACTGTGTAATTCAAAAAATTAATTTCCACACAAAGGGAAGAGGTTTTAGTGTTTGTTTTTAATGATTTTTACCTGTGTGGAGCTCTTGTCAGAGAATATAGGCTAAATTATTTCCTGTGCTTGAAATTTAGGGTTTGCTTGATGAGAGATCCATGGTTCGTTTTTGCAAATGTGAGCAACCCTGGTGAGCAGGTGTGCTCCCCAGACAGGAGCCCTATGCTCGTGTGTGGAATTAGTAAGTGACCTTCACTCAGCTGAGCTGTGCAGGGGTGCTTGATGTCTGTTGAGTGGCTGGCAGTTAGTCACTGCCACATGGTGATGAGTGTGAGTTAGTCTCTCTTTTCTTTCTTTTTTTTTTGGGGGGGGCGGGTACGGGCAACCAAACTCAGGGCCTCATGCTTGCCAGGCAGGCACTGTGCTGCTGAGCTAATCCCCAGCTCTGTCTGCTTTTTAATCAGCTGCTGCCTCATACATTACGAGGCTATGCTGGTAGGTGCACACAGGTTGACTGTTTGCTCCTGGTGTGGAGATCTGCACATGTGGTGCGTTCATAGCCTTCTGCCGCTTTTCTCTAGCAGTCATGCAGTCTCCTCCAGCACCACCTCAGTGCATGTCAGAAGGACATTTGCCCAGATTCCTGTGCACCTAGGCTGCTCAGGTGAACAGAACTAGTGTAAGGCGTTGTGGCACCTGCTGTGGCTTATGTCTGTTACTCGAGTTCACTTGTTCTAGGATGACTTCTCTGGCCCTGGACACTGTGCTCAGAGGCTCGTCGCCTCTGCTCAGTGAGTTGACCCCATGCAGCATGGTTCTTCTTAAAAGCTGTGCAGCCACAGTTCTTAGCCAAAGCCCTCGAAGTACAGGAGAGTGGGCAGTGATGTCACATTGCAGGTGACTCGTTTAGGGTGCTGAGTGGCTTGGGGCCCACCTCCTCCAGGCCTCCTGCCTGGCGTAGTGAATGGGGTGCCGTCTACAGTGCATCCTAGGAGGCTGCAGTGGGTGTCAGGGACCTGGCGGAGACCCAGACAGGGAAACTGTGGGGGCGCAGAGGACGGGAAGCCCCAAGGGCGGTGCGGGTGTGTGGTGCTCAGCGTGTCCTCACTTGCAGATGAAGGGTGCCCTCCTGGAGATCATCCAGCTCGCCTCCCTGGACTCGGACCCCTGGGTATTCATGGTTGCTGACATCTTGAAGTCCTTTCCTGACACTGGGTCGCTGAACCTAGACCTTGAGGAGCAGAACCCCAACGTCCAGGATATTCTGGGAGAACTTAGAGAAAAGGGTATGTGCCGGCTCTCCTAACTTGACCCAGGCCCGGAAGCAGTGTGGAGAGCGTGGGGCTGGGACACGGGGGCCCCTCTGGCGACCCTCAGAGAGTACCCCCCTGCTGGTCCCGCCCCTTGGCTTGTGCCTCTGCGCCAGGCAGTGGCGTCACTTGTTCCAGCAGCAGTGCCTGGCCTGGTGCCATCCTGCCCTGAGTGTCTGTGTGCTGCCATGCGGCCAGGCCCAACCCCATCTCCACCTCCATCTCCGTCACAGTGAGTGAGTGCGAGGCATCGGCCATGCTGCCGCTGGAGTGCCAGTACCTGAACAAGAACGCCCTGACCACACTAGCTGGGCCGCTCACGCCGCCTGTGAAGCACTTCCAGCTCAAGCGCAAGCCCAAGAGTGCCACACTGCGCGCCGAGCTGCTGCAGAAGTGTGAGTGCCCGCACCACCACTGCTGGGTGCCTTCTGGATTCGTTTAGTACCTTGGCACTCTTTAAGGGAGAATCAGGGCCGGTCATTGCAGTGTGTGCTTGGAACCCCCCAACTCTCCACTTCCTGGAGGCCGAGGCAGGAGGGTGACTCACACCCAGGAGCTTGAGGCCAGGCTGAGTAGGCATTGAGACCCTGTCTCAGAAGCAGGCATAGATTTAATAGCTGTCACAGAACAGACATGTGAGGCGGCATGGCATGTGCATGTATACATGTGTACAGTGCAAGAAGGGTGGCACAGAGCGGGCCTGGGTGTGTGTTGGTGGTGCCGGAATGACACACATGTGCCCTGCAGTCAGGCACTGAGGGGGCCTTGGAGGCCCTCCTCTACCAGGCTCAGGACCAGCTCAGGAAGCCCCTTTGGGGAAGGGGGCCAGGGCCCCCTCACCCAGCCCCTTACCTCTCAGCCTGTGCACCTGTGAGGGGACCTGGGCTGAGTGCTGCAGGGAGTCTTCAGGCACCACCCCCACGGTGCAGCCCTGAGCTCTCGAGTGGTGTTCCCAACAGGGTGTCAGCACTCGCACCTGATGCTCTACAGCTGCTCAGGCTGCAGGGGCCCCTCTGGGGCACTTGTGATGGGGGAGGCATGGACACGCTGACACTTGTGACACCCCCCCCCACCAGCCACAGAGACCGCGCAGCAACTGAAGAGGAGCACGGGGGTCCCGTTCCATGCCAAGGGCCGAGGGCTGCTGCGCAAGATGGACACGACAAGTGAGACCTGGGGTGGGGTGTGTGCCTGCCCCCAGAATCTGGGGTTCAGGCTGGGCCAAGAAAATTGGGTCCCTGGGCAGACACAGGCCTTGGCCCGATGCCCCTGACCCCTCACCGCCTGCCCCCTCCACTGCAGCACCGCTCAAAGGCATCCCGAAGCAGGCACCTTTCCGGAGCCCCACGGCGCCCAGCGTCTTCAGCCCCGCTGGGAACCGGACCCCAATCCCACCATCCAGGACCCCACTGCAAAAGGAGAGGGGCGTGAAGGTGGGCATAGCCTCGCACTGCCCCCCAGGTGGGCTGGCCCGCGTGCACCCTAAGTGTGGCTGTTTCATTGCAGCTCCTGGATATCTCTGAGCTGGGTATAGTGGGCGCCGGCCGTGAGGCCAAGCGGCGGAGGAAGACGCTTGGTGCGTGGCTGGGGTTGGGGAGGCTAGGGGGCTGGGGGCTCCTCCTGGACCCGTGGCCCGTTCCGTGCTGGGCCCCAGTGAGAGTGAGCGCTTGCACACAGATGCAGAAGTGGTGGAGAAGCCGGCCAAGGAGGAGACGGTTGTGGAGAATGCGACCCCAGACTATGCGGCTGGCCTGGTGTCCACGCAGGTAGGTCCCGCTGCAGGGCATCCACCCACGGCTGCCACCCTCCCACAACTGCAGGTCCTGGGATGGTGGCTACACAGAAAGCGTGTGCACATGTGAAGCAGCACGGCATGTGTGTGTATACATATGTACCAGTGCAAGAAGGGTGGCGCAGAGCAGGCCTGGGTGTGTGTCAGTGGTGCCAGGCAGCGAGCAGTGTGTAGTGCCAGCCCCCAGGCTGCGGTGCTCCTCCAGGCCCCGCCATGTGAGGAGGTAGTGCTGGGCCCTCCCTCCTTGTGGCTGCTTGGGGGCCACTCCTCTGAGGATCCCAGGTGTAGGGCACAGGGCAGAGCTCTTGCTGCTGCACTGGCACCTGGGCCTCTTCCGGAGCAAGCATGGCCTCTCGTCTTCCAGAAACTTGGGTCTCTGAGCAGCGAGGCTGCACTGCCATCCACCAGCTACCTGCCCTCCACGCCCAGCGTGGTCCCTGCATCATCCTATGCCCCCAGTGCCGAGGTACCCTCAGGTGAGTGGCCATGGGCCAAGGTTCCCATCTCCTTGCCATCAGGACCTCTATCCCTCATTGGTGTCCTTAGCCCTGGGGGGTCGGAAATGACTCAGGAGCTTGCTGGGTGGGCTCTGAGCCCTTCAGGTCCTTGGGTTCCAGAGGAACCGACCACAGGCAGGGGTCAGCTGGCCTCACGCTGGCCCAAAGCCCTGGGGATGCTGCCGCCCTCCACCTCATCACCAGTGTTGACCCGGAGCTAAGTGGATGCCAGAGGCCTGGTTTGTGGGGTTGGAGCCTCCCTGGGTGGGCCAGAGCTGGAGGGCTACAGACACTCTTGTCCCCTTAGCCCCATCAGCACGAGAATCCAGCCTACAGGCCGGCCGGCCGCCCGAGGAGCCCGGCACCCCAAGCCCCACGCTGCCCACACAGTTCAAGCAGAGGGCTCCCATGTACAACTGCGGACTGGGCCCAGCTGCGCCGGCGCCTGCAGCCCCCACCTCACCCTTGACGCCCAGCACGCCACCAGCCACGGCTCCTGCCGCCCAGACACCTCCTGTGGCCATGGTGGCCCCGCAGACCCAGCCCCCTGCCCAGCCCCAGCCTAAGAAGAACCTGTCTCTCACGGTAGGTACCCTGGGCCCCCCCGCATGCGCATGCAGGGCTTGCTGGGTGTCTGCTGGGCGACCTGGCACCCACACCCTCTCCCTCCCCTCTTCCCAGCGAGAGCAGATGTTCGCCGCGCAGGAGATGTTCAAGACAGCCAACAAGGTCACACGGCCCGAAAAGGCCCTCATCCTGGGCTTCATGGCAGGCTCCAGAGGTTCAGCCTGCGGTGGGGGGCAGGGTCTGGGGCGGGGGCAGGGGCCTTGGCCCCATGCCTGGCCCAACTTTCCCTGTCCCTGCAGAGAACCCGTGCCAGGAGCAGGGAGATGTGATCCAGATCAAGCTCAGCGAGCACACAGAAGACCTGCCCAAGGCTGACGGCCAGGGCAGCACCACCATGCTGGTGGACACGGTGTTTGAGATGAACTACGCCACGGGCCAGTGGACTCGCTTCAAGAAGTACAAGCCCATGACCAACGTGTCCTGAGGCCCTGCTGCCTTCCAGCCCCAAGGGACAGCAAGTGGCCACCCATGCCCTGCTGGCTCTGGCCTATTTAAGTCTTAGATTGTTTCTCTGGGGTGTTTGGGGATTATTTTTATATTTTACTATGGGTTACTTTTGTGTGATCAGGATACTTTTTTGGATTCAATATTACATTTTTGAATGTTAAAGTTAAGCAAAAAAGGTAGTGCCTGTTAGACTTTTACCTTTCTAATTTTTTCTTAAACGCATTCTACTGACTGTGAGCAAGGGCTTTTCTTGCTGCTTTTGCTGCCTTCCTCATGAGACTGAGGGAACCAGAGGTGGCACCTGGTTAATGCCAGTGCCTGCCAGTTTGGTATTCGTCTTTTGTTCCGTAGTGCACACGCGTGCCCTGTCTCTGGGGACCTACCCCCATGTGATTAAAGTGGAGCTGTTCTACAGGAAGCTGCAAGGCTGTGTTTTAGGCCAGGCAACCAGCCCTTGTATCTCTTCCTGGGTGATTGCGGGAAGCCAGGGGGATGGAGGGAGGGAGGGTCACCAGCTACAGGGTAGGAACACAGCCCCCTTGACCCATTTCGCCTCCAGTGGGAACCTGGGAAACCGTTGCAGTACTGGGAATTGAGCCTAGAGAGCAACAAGCTTCATCCACAGACTAATTTCATCTTGGTTTGGTTGTCCAGGCTGGCCTCAAATTTGGTGATTCTCTTGCCTCAGCCTCCCAAGTATTTGGGATTACAAACATGTGCCACCACCCCCAGCCACACTAGTTTTGAAGGGAAAAAAGCATTCTCCCAAAACTAGCACCCCACTGTATTTGCTGCATATATTACACTTCCCAAGGCAGGGACTCAGGAAAAGGATGGGAACCCTCCTCCCACCCCAAGCCTGGTTCCTGGGAATTCAGAGCCCTCAGGAAATGGGGAGATCAGAGCACAGCCCTGTATGAAATAAGTCTTAACAAAAAGGCCTTTAAAATGCTTTTAATACAAAAATACTCATACACAATCTTCCAAACACAAATTTCCACTTTAAATGCTATTTCCCCTCAACTGGCAATTCTCGAATCTATTTCAGTATATCCCCCCTCCCCCAAAAAGGTGAATTTCAAGTTTTAAAATCTAACTATGAGACCTGGTGATAGCACCCAGTGTTCCGGAAGGAACCTGACCTTCTGTCCTGTGGGACTGGGACACAGCAAGCACACTGAACATGTTGGGTTTCTGAGGGTGTGGTGACACAGCACATGCAGCACCACTCCTGACAGTCACCAGGACACTGCTCAGAATGCAGCTGGCGGTGGCTCGTGGTATCTATAATTCCTAAAAATCAGGTAGTTCTGCAGGCAGGCACTGTGCACTTAGGCATGGTTCACTGGAAATGCCAGCCTGAGTGTGCCTGGGATGTGGAGGTGCTGGGCAGCAGCCCAGGCAGAGCAGGAGGGCTGGGCCCTATCCCCTGCTCCCACCAGAGGCCCTCCACGGAGACCATGTGCCAGCCACTGTGGCATGGTCAGTGACTCAGCCCTTCAGCCCTGATGCAGAGTCCTGGGGTGCTGGGCAGCTGGCATGGCTTTGCTTCACAGTAATGACAAGGACCAAAGCTGGTATCCAGTCACCAGACACACCCCCCCACCCCGCGCAGCCTCCCAGGCACTCAGAGCCCTGGCCCGGCCACCACCCCAAGCTGGTGCCCCCACCCCCAGCGGGAAAGGCCCTTGTACCTTGGACACCCAAGGCCTTGGACTCAAGATTTCCAAACTGGTCTAATAAAGATTTTCAAAGTTAGTGTTATTTGCTCATTAATAGCCTTTGGAAAGGGATTTCACTTAAATTTTTTGCAATATTTCCTTCAGAAAGATAAAATAATTTGGAAATAATATCAAAGTGACTCAAAACTCATAAGATCTTACTACTGTCAAATACAAAAATAAGTTAATCTGCGCCCCAAAGTGCACTGCAAAACTGATCTGACACTGACTTTTGCAGAAGTCGTTCAGCTGCTGGGAAGGGATCTGCAGGATGAGGGATGTGCTGCCACATCCGTGAAGAGCTGGGCCATGGGCTCTACCAGCCAGGGGCCCTGCCCAGCCTGTCACTGAGGCAGAAGCAGCAAACCCCTGTGACACAGTCCAGGACTTTCCAAGCATGGACGGAGCGGGGCTGGGCAGGCCCAGCTGCCTTGTGGCAGGTCAGTCGTTTCCAGAGGTGACTGAGACTGGGCAGCCAGCCAGTTGGGGTGCTGCTGGTTCCTTTGGGTCCCTTCATGGACCACGACCGAGTCGGGTGCTGGTTCCCCGGTGCTTAGCAGGTCCTTCCCCTGAGCCAAAACATGAGCACCCTGCAGGCAGAGGCGTGGGTCTGCCAGATGAGGGGCAGTAGAACAGTTTGGGTGACCCCATGGCTTCCTGAGGACAGTGGTGGCTCTGCAGTGGCTGTGCTGAGCAGCACCCAAGGTGTGTGTGCCCCTTTTCTTGGAATTGGATGATCAGATCTTTGAGGGGCTCCTCGCTGGCTATTGAGCCAGGCCTTTCACTGCCCAAGGGGCGGAAATCTTGGAGATGGGTGGGTGGAGCCTGGGATAGACCAGCCTAGGGCTGCCTGCAGACATCCCCAGGGGCACTGGGACTCACTGGTGTAGACAGGCAGGTCCCAGTTTGCTGCTGCTGTTGCAGGAGCACTCAGGACACATCAGGGAATGACATGTTTTGTCAGTGGTAATTTGTGAGACAGATTTAGCAAAAATATATTTAAAATAAAAGCCAGAAACTGGTAAAGAAAAGCCAAATTTAAAAAATATACAAAGCTTCCCCTGAATGTGTGTTCTTAAACCGGGGAGCAGCAATGCTGCTGAGGCAGGTGGGGCCAAATCCAGAGGGAGAAGGTGGCAGGAGCCACTAGCTCAGCCTCGGGGGGAAGCCAAGCGTTTGGAGAAAAATTCACATTAGTACAGAAAACGTACAACTGTTTCAAGAAAAGGGAAAGAAGGTCAAAGTCCAGGACTGTGGGACTCCGGGGAGGCTACGCCCAGCCTTGGAAACTACTCTACACATTCAGGCCCAGTCTCTGGAGGACAGCAACAGCGGCTGCCCAGCTGCTCTGCCCTAGTCCCCGGCAGAAGCCCAGCGGTGGCATCAGTGGCAGCATCAGTGCAGGCGCAGCCAGCTCTGTGATGGCTCAGTGGGGGCACCCCATCCTGGATGCCCATACATCTGTCACGTGGGCCTGGGCGGGGCCTGCACCCCTGGACCAGACCAAGTGGCTCCTGGCACTATTTGCCCTCCGTCACCCGCCGCCAGCACCGCCTTTTCCTCCTCTTCCCCTTGGACTTGGCCAGCTCCGGAAGAGGCTTCTCAGCCTTGGCTTTGCGCAGGCTGGCCTGTGCCCCCGAGTCATGCTCGCAGCAGTAAGACCTCCCGTCCTGCGTGGTACGCAGCACCGCCCCGTCCTGGTGCTCCTTACACAGTGAATTCGGGCAGAGGTGGCAAAACGCCGCAGACGGTTTGCCACACACATCGCAGTGATGCCACGGGCACTCCCACTTCCCTGCAACAGAGCTCAGCATCAGTGCCAAAGCCACGGTCCCCAGGGCTGACACCCCAGTTGCTCTCACGCTACTGCTTCAGAAGACTGCAGGGCGTGGTGACACAGGCCTGTGCTCCTGGAACTTTGGGAAGCTAAGGCAGGAGGACCAAGTTCAAGACTGGTCTGGGCAACTTAGCAAGATCTTGTCTCAAAAAATAAGAAAGGCTGGGGGTATACCTCCATGGTAGAGTACAGCAGACTGGGGTTCAGTCCTCAATGCCATTAACGCCCCCCCACAAACTATCTAGTCAAATGAATGCAAATCAATGCAAACTGCTTTGTATTCACTGTCAAACAGATGCTAAACTTGGGCTAAGGTGTAGCTCAAGTGCTGAGCTCTTTCCTTCCCAAGTACCCGGAAACAGAAAAGAATGGGATAGGGGCAGATAGTGCTCAAGGGCCCAGTGGGCCTGTGCGCATGGCTGGGCCCACTCACTGCAGGGCAGAGGGCGCCGTGCGTGAGAAGCAACCATACCACCCTCTGGAAACATTCTGTCACTCATTAATTTCGGTTTGTTACCTTCTGCCATACAAAAAAATGTATTTTAAGGAAGAGTCTCAAACACTGGACTCTTCTGCCCCGTGTTTCTGCTCAGAGCCTTCTCGACTCCCCCAAGGGCAGGCACAATGGTCACTGGTGCTTCACCCAGCACTGCCACAAGGAGGCAGCCGGAGTCCAGCTCCTTGAGTAACTTAGCAACTCAGGAGACCCCATCTTAAAAAATAAAAAGGTCTGGGGTCCTGGGTTGAATTTCCAAAAACACGAAATAAGTAAATGAAGAAGCCTCTTCTGAAGTCAGTCACCACTTCTCTCCTGGCGTGGTGCAGGAGCCCCACGTGTCCCTCCCCCTCCCCGCACTCCCCCCCTAGGCCTGGGCGCGGGCGGCAGACACCTACCAAAGGGCCGCTTGCGTAGGCCCAGGCAGGACAGGTGGTAGGCCTTGGTGCAGAGCTTGCGGTCACACAGCACCAGCTGCCCGCCGTCGCCACAGCGGAAACACTCGTCCTCTGATTGCCTCTTCCACTCCCCCCTGGCTCTGCGCCTTCTGGTTTTCTTCTTGGTCTTTTTACCCTTTTCCTCTGAAGAAAGGGATGCTGAGGTCTGGAATGAGGGTTAAGCAGCCATGGGGCAGAGTTACAACATGGCCGTTGAGGCACAGCAAGGATGGCGAGCCCCTGACAGCGGCAGCCCTGGAGGCAGTGGCATCGAGGCCCTGCTACCAAGCAGCCCCTCAGGACCAGGAGCACCAGGACAGCCACAGCTCAGGTGGCCTGCCACAGCCTGGGGTGCTCGACCCAGGTTCTCAACTGCACAGACCAGTGACAGCACCAGGATTCCTGGGACCTTGAAATGAGCTCTTACTTAGAAACAGAGCTGGGTGTGGTGGTGCGTCTTTATCCCAGCACTAGGGAGACTAAGGCAAGAGGATCATTGTGAGTTCAAGGCCAGCTGAACTGAATAGCAAGTCCCTGTCCCAAAAAACCAAAAAACAGAAAGTTACTGCAGACATAGCCAGACAAGGGTGAGCGAGATCGGTGGCCTTTGGAAGGAGGTTCCCTAAGAACTGCAGGACGCTGCCAGGGGCAGGGAGGCCCCATGCCTGACTCCTGCTGAAGCTACAGTGCCCGGCAGGTGCTGTCTAGAAGCCACAAGGAGTGAGCCTGGGAGGAACGCAACAGCCAGCCATGCTCTGAGTGCCTGCCTATGGCAGCAGCATGTCTGCACAGAAGAGGCCACCGTCCCTGGAGGACACAGCTTCTCGATTTCTGGAAGGCCGCCGGCAGCTGCGACATGCACAGGCCCTTGTGGAGAGTTGTATGGAGGAGACATTACCTTTGGCCTGTCCCCAAGGAATCCACTGCAGTTGGAGGCTCCGCACCGACAGACCGTTTTCTCATTGCCCAAACAATCAAGGTTGTAATTAAAAGTCAGCTCTGTCCCTGGGGAAAGAGGAGACAAACCCCTCACCAGAAACTGTCACCTCTTCAGCACCACATGGGCCCTCAGCCAGCCTCCTCACCCACCTGGCTGCCCCGCTCTGAAAACCACCCCAGGAACCTCCAGTCCCCTGAGCCTCCCGGCCTGGTGCTAGTCCCCGGCCCCCATGCTGCACCTGCAGGAATGTCACACACAGCGAACAGGCCTACGCGGGTGTCCCCATTCACTGTCCACTTGAGTGTCTCACAGTTGGGTTGGCAGCTGTGGTTCATAAACCGGGAGTAGTTTCCTTTGGGCCCAGCATCGATTATCCGGTCCTGTAGGGAGGGGTCAAGTTGCCCTTACCGCTCCACTCCGAGCAGTGGCACACAGCAGGCAAACAGTTACAGGAGATGGGCAGTGGCCTGCGGAAGTCTGTGTCCCACACGCACGGAGACAGCACACCCCCAGCCCAGCCCCGTCTCCTGCTTGTGGAGGGTAGGCTGGGACCACAAGGAGGGCCCTGCACCTAATTAAGTGCTGGGGATGGAGGACAGCGAGTGGCCATCCTGTGCCACCCAGGACAGTGGTAGGGCTGAGAGAAACACTGATGACAATGACACAGGGTTAGCATTGGCAGCCACCGAGACTCCCCAGAGCCAGTCAGGGCGGCAGGCACTCAGGCTCATAACAGCTGCAAAAACATGAAGCCAAATCCATGATACCAGCACCACCCCAGGCGGCAGGGAGGAATGCACAGGGCCACACCAGCACGCATGTGTAAAGAGGAAGGGGCATCGCTTGTCAGCACACAAACTGGAGAACACCATGACCCCCTGACAGGAGGGACAGGTCACAGTGCAGCCTATCCTCTCCCCCAGGACACATGGGCGATGCAGCAGGGCCCTACGCTGTGACTGCCAGTAACCCCAAGTGTGGGTAAGGACGCAGCTGAGTCCAGAGTCACCTGGAAGCTGTCTCGTGGCCTTGGAACACAACACAGCGGGGAGCTGTGCTGTGGCACCTGACTGCTGGAGGGGAGGAGAGGGGAGGAACAGAAACAGTGTCAGAATGTAGCTGCTCTTAAGTATACAAACACAACCATGGGCCAGGGTCACCTGTCACTCAGCAGTAGCAGCCTTGTGGATTCCCTGCCACAGACACACGGTTTACTGCCCAACGCTGAGTCCCAGGCTCCCTCACTGCTGCCATGGCTCACAGGCTGCACCCCAGCATCCCAACAGTAGGGTGTGCAGACTCTGCTCATCTCAGGCACTCTGCCAGGCTCCAGATCTTCCGTCTCACTTGGACCCGTTCTGCACCTCGGCCTGTCCTGCCTCGCCCTCTCTGGACTAACCAGTGCTCTTTTAGTCCTTTAATCACCCAGAAAGTACATCTTGTACTTTGACTCGCTCTTCATTTGTTTTCACATGCACACTGGTGAAATCTAGGCTGACCAGCAGGTTCATGCTCACTGTGATGGTCGGTGCATGCCTTGTTTTTAAGGTCAGGGCTCCCTGCAGTCCAGGCTGGCCTCGATCTCCTAGGCTTAGGCACCCTTCTGCCTGATGACGCCTTCTGTCCCCGTGCCCTGTGCCACACACACCAAGCAGCTGCGCCACACGCCCTGACTCACTCGGTGGTAGCTGTTCACCCACCACGTCCTCTGGAGCTCACATTTGCTTTCTTTTTGATTTTGGTACGGGGAATCAAACTCACCACCTTGCCCTTGTCAGGCAGGCACAGTGCCGCTGAGCTGTATCCCCAGCCCTCACATTTAACTCTGAAGTTCAATTTTTTCTACCACAGAATCTTCCTTCTTCCTCCAGTTAAACTATGGCACCAGTCACTCCCTATCAGTCTCAAGTGGTGCCCAGCAGGCCACCCGGAAGTACTCTCGGGCCTTGGGCTGCCTGGTCATTGGGCTGCGCTCTTCTAACTGGGTGCGTCACCTGTGTAGTCTTTGGTGTTCCACAGGGGTTTTGTTGGTCTGTTTAACAACACAGCTGGTACAAACTTTCACACATCCTGCTCTAAGCTGGAACCGTTTCATCAGTAAAACAAAACCCCTCAGATTCTGAAAGGCTCTTCTCCCAGTGACCTGCCCACTGCACTTGCTGTCCAGGATGTCCACTCAACAGCTGCATTTCGTGTGGCTCAGCCTCTTTTTACACGGTTTGCACCTTTTTGTCTTGCTCCTTCCACTTCAGTAATTTTCTCCACAGATACCTTATTTTTAATGCATTCTGCAGGTTAATTTCAATGTTTCCCCAATATTTGTTATAAAGTTTACCACTGTGGAGCCAGGCATGGCAGCTCACGCCTGTAATCCCAGCACTCAGGAGGCTGAGGCAAGAGGATCATTGGAGTTCAAGACCAGCCTGGGCTACAAAGTGAGCCAAAGGCCAGCCTGAACTGCACAGCAAGACCCCGTCTCAAAAAAGACAAAAATAAATAAAGTTTACCACTGTGACCACGTGAAATACACAGTTCAGTGATGTTAAATATAGGCATTAAGTGTACCATCATGGCAAGTGCCATGTCCCCCTCACCAAGCAGAACCTCTGGCCCACCCTCCTCCACTGAGGCGCCTCCCACGAGGGTCCCCACAGCACGACATCCTCCATGTGCGCCTGTGTTTAGCATGACCCATGTCCTTTAAAGATTGGCTAGCGTTTACCTGCATAGGTAAACCATGAAGGGCTTCTCCACTCACGGTAGGACCCTTGTTTCTTCCACGTCTGAGCACTTGCTGGAACGCCACTGTAAACATCTCTCTAAGGACTTTGTTTTACTTTCTTTCTGTGTACATAACCAAAAGTGGAACTGCTGGACCATATGGTAACTTAACTTCCTTTTTCCATGGTACTGGAGATGGAACCCAGGACCTCTCACTACTGAGCGACATCCAGAGCCTTTTTTCATTTTTTAGTCTGAGACACTCGCTCAACTGCCCAGACTGACCTGCCTCAGCCTCTAGAGGTGCTTGTGATTACAGGTGTGTCCCACCACACCGGGGTATTTTTAACTTCTTGAAGAACCTGTTTTCCACATTGACTGCACAATTTTGTATTTCCACAACTAGTCAACAAGGGTCTCCAGTTTCCCCACATCTTCGCTAAGTCCTTTTGTTTTTATAGTTCCGCTGCCTACATGAGTCTCGCCTCACTGCAGCCGGCCGGGTTTCCTAATGACTGGAGACACAGGGATCTTTCTGTGTGGTTCCCGGCCACCTGCACCTCTTCTCTGGGAAAATGTTTATTCAATCCTTTGCCAATTTCTGAAGAGCTGTTTGCTTTGTTGTTTTCAGGAGTTTTCTGTGTATTCTGGATATTAACTCTTTATCAAATATATGATTTACAGATATGTTTTTACCATTCTGCAGGGTTTTTTTTTTTTTTTTTTTTCATCTTTTTCGTTTATCGGTACCAGGGATTGAACTCGAGACTGCACACTTGCAAGGCAGGCACTTATGCCTCTGAGCTAAACCCTCAGCCCCTGAAGGCTGCCTTTTTACAGAATGACATTTTGCACAAAACTTAAAGTCCAATTGGTCTACTTTTTCTTTTATTGCATTTAACTTCGGTCTTTTAACCGACAACTCAGTGCCAAACACACTGATGTGAACTTTTGATCTATCTCTTCTAAACTTTCTTGCTCTGTTCCTGATCTCAAAGGAGGCTTAGGCATTTTCCAACTGAGTATGTTTGCTTTGATGCTCGTGAATGCCTTGATCATACTGAGGTCATTCCTCTATCTGGTAAGTGTTTTTATCATGGAAGGCTGTGGAATTTGCCAAATGTGTCTTCTGTATCAACTGAGACCATTAATGATGTATACTGTTCAGTTTTCTCACTGAGCCATTCTCACATTCTAGCAATAAATCCCACATGACCAGTGATGTTCTCTTGATAAGCTGCTGGATCCAGTTTGCTGATATTTTGTTGGGGATTTTTGCAAGGAATACTGGGTCTGGTCTGTAGCTTTGTTCTCTTTCAGTATCTTGGTCTAGTGCTGGTGTCAGAGTAACACTGGGCTCAAAGAATGAGTTTAGAATTTGTTTCCTTCTCTTTGATATTCACGGAAGAGTTGGAGAAGGGTTGGTGCTGATTATTCAAATGCTTGGTAAAATTCAGCAGTGAGCCCATCAGGTATGCAAGATTTTTCTCTGTGATGCTGGTGATCGAACCTAGGCCTCAGAAGTGCTGGCATTACACTATAGCTAAGCCCACCTGCCCTACTGAGAGGTTTCTCAGCACTCACCCAGTGGGTTTGCAGTAACAAGGTAGGCAACATCGTCTACTTCCTGATTCAATCTTGGTAGGTTCTGTGTCCAGGCATTTGTCCGTTCTGTCATCTAATTTGCTGGGGCACAGCCCCTCACAATACTCCCTTACCACCCCCTCTTTTGTTCCTTACCTGGAATCAGCACAGCTGTCCCCAACTCTGCTTAGGATCTCCGTCACCTGAGTTCTCTCTTCCTCAGCCCATTCTTAGTAAAGGTTTGTTATTCTTGTTTATCTAGTCAAAGAACTAACTTCTGGCTTCATGGGTTCTGTTTTTCTATTCCTTGGAGCTATAATGCTCTGACCGGTCCATATTCAGTGACTGAAACTGCTCCTTCACAGCTCTGTCGCCAGGCCTTTCATCACTGATGTCACAATGTAACATCTTCATCTACTGTGCTTAAACTCTTCCTTTCAAATTCTTTAATCAGTGTGGAAACTAAAGGTGGGGTTATAAAATGAATTTATAGTATGTTTTACACAATGTTTTTACATTTCTTAAAAATGTATTAGGACTGGGGATGCAGCTCAGGAGTGGGGTCTTGTCTTGCATGTAGAAGGCCCTGGGTTCAATACCCAGCACAGCCAAAAGACAGAATTGTATTTGTAACTCAAATGTAGAAAGTTAAAAATCAAAGCAAAGTTCACATACAGTAACCGCCCTTGTGCATTCCCTCGCTAAGGGCTTTGTGTCCTTCTCCATGGCCAGTCACTAGCCACTGCTTTCCTCTTGTGCCCCTCAGCAGAAGCCTGCTGAGCACTACCCACAGGAGGCCCAGTGCAGCCAGCATCCTTCCTACCCCCTAGGTATGCCCCAATCTGCCCCTCACTTCTGAACCTTTGCTGAACATGGAATTCTGCAGGGCAGGCTCCTTCTGGATTAGTTGCCGCCACTGCCTGGCCTTTCTCTCTGCACACACTGCAGGGGGGCCTCCAGCCCCTGCCCGCCTGGTGGGACCTGCTCCAACTTCATGAGGGGCTCAAGTGGGACAAGGCTTGTCTGTCATGAAGCTTCTGAGACCTCCCTTGGCCTCTGGTTTTCAGCAGTATGGTCAGCGTGAGTTGTGTGGGTCTCCGAGTTCACTCAGACTCTTGAGAGTCTACATTCACGCTTGCATCCAATTGAAGAAGTTTTCTACCATCAACCCTTCACATGTTCTCTGCTTTCTCTGTTCCCTTCTGGCATTCCCACAAATGCATATTCCATACATGCCTGAGGTCTGTTTGCATTCATTTTTTCTTTCTGCTCCTCAGGCCTGATAATTCCCATTCTCCTATCACTGACTTTTCTGCCTGCTCAAATCTGCTTCTGAGCTAGATGTGGTGGTGCACATCTGTAATCTCAGTACCCAGAAGGCTCAGGCAGGAGAATCACTGCAAGTTCAAGGCCAGTCTAGGCTACAAAGTGAGCTCAAGGCCAGCCTGAATTGCATAGTAAGACTCTGCCTTAAAAAGACAAAACAAAACAACAACAACAAAAAAAACAAGGCATCTGCTTCTGTCTGAATCTCTAGAGAATTACTCATTTTAGTTACTATATTTTGGTAGCTCTGGAATTTTTTATCTCTTCAATGAAACTGCCATTTTTCTAGTACAGTTTTCTTGACTTTCTCTATGTCTTCATTGGTTCTCTTAGTTCTTTGTGTGTTCTTTTGTGTGTGTGTGTGTGTGTGAGAGAGAGAGAGAAAGAGAAACTGGTTCTTTGGAAACAGATCTTTTAAAATCTTTGTCTAAACCACACATGGTGGCACACAACTATAATCCTAGCACTCTGGGAGGCCTGAAGCAAGACGATTTGAGCCCAGCCTGGGCAACTTAGCCAAACCTGTCTCAAAACAAAAAAGGCTGGGAATGTAGCTCAGAGTGAAGGACTAGACATCAACACCCTGTACGCTGCTTTCCACAGAAAAATCTTCACCTAGATATCTGCCAAAAGAACTTTCATGGACACAGTTTCTGTTGGTTTATTTTTTTCTTTGAATGAGCTGTACCTCTCTGCTTCTTTGCAGGCTTTGTGACTTCTTAATTAAGAACTGGTGAGTTAACCCTCACTGCACTACCTTGGAGACCAGATGCCCCTTCTCCCCTGGGCTGCTGCCTTTTGTTCCTTGCTGACTGCTGTCAGCTGTTATCATGCTGAGGCTCAGCTGCAAAGACAGGTCTCCTTGGGTCAGCTCTAAGCCTGGGCCTTTCCCCAGACTGGCACTTCTCACTATCTACAGTTGTCCTGGAAGGGCCCAGCTTTGAATCTGCTCCCAGAGGCAGAAGGAACTGGGTGGCTGGGAGCGGACACTGGGCACACACCAGTGAGAAGCTCACAGGAGCAGAGGGAGGTGTAAGCGACGCCCCCATCCCTGTGGTCTGAGGGTAGGGCACAGGGCTGGCACTGCCTGTTGTGCCCACAAGATGTGACAGCTGCAGCTGCCCCGGTCATATCAGGTGTGAGGCACACACTAATCCCAGGTGACTGCCCCTCTGTCATCAATGTGAAATCCTCCAAGAAGTCCACAAAATGTACAAAACCACACACAGGCTGTGCCTGCTGTGAGCCACACCCCTCACACCGGAGGAAGTGTGCTCCACTTTGCCCTGCAGCACCACCCAGGATTGTCTGGACCAGCCAGTTGCTACACCTGCTTCTCCTTCCAGGCCCTGGAACTGAGCAGGCTGCACTAATAAGACCCAGTAGCACTGGGGCCCTGCAGCAGAGAGCAGCAATAGCTGATGGACATCAACAGTGACTGGAGGCAGAGAACACTGCTAACCCTGGCACCCAACAGAGATCTGCAATAGCAGGCAAAGCCTGAGAGGCTGCTGAAGCTGCATGAAGAGTTCCCTAGAGAGCCGCCAAGAGCTCTAAGGCCAATGGCGGGGAGCCACTGGCGCATATGCAGACCCCAGAGCTGCCAACAGACCCGCACTCTGCCAACTCATGATTTCTCTCTGAACCGTGGTGGTGCTTCCCACCCACATACCAGTCCCCAGGAAGCAGCACACACTGGCTCTTCCTCTATGCCTCTGGCCCCCAGCGACCCTTGCTCCAGGACCCAAGAGCTTTCCTATCTACATAGGAACGCGGCCCCCTCGGTTGTCACCCTGAGCAAGGCAGTCAGTCACAGCTTCCTGGGGTTGCTGAGGAGGTTCTTCTGCCATGTCTGGTTTCTGGCTCTGTGTGCCAGCACCACCTCCTACAGAGGCCCAGGTCAGCAGGTCCAGAAGGGGCACACTCTGACATAGCCACCTCTCCAGTTCCAGGACCCATGTTTTCCCACCCAGTTCTTTTATTCAAAAATATTTCAGACCTACATACAAAAATGGAGTAACAGAAGATACATCAATGCATGGTTCACCCACACTCTTGACCTGGACACATATGGCTCCTTGCAGGTTCTCTGCGCAGAGACACTCTGTCTGTAGGGGGAGATGTGCACATGCTGGGGAAAAGCACTCAGGAGGTGAAAGCGGAATGCACGTAGCTGCAACGCCAGGCGCAACCCTACAGGCCCCTCAGAGCTGTGCAGAGTGGGGCAGGGAGGCCCGCCCCATTACCTTGTCTATGGTGAGCATGTAAAAGTGCGTGATGTCGTTCTCATGTGCGTACTTGATCCTTGCCATACACTCCTCCTCGTCGATCAGCTCACCGACATACTCATTCACAAACTCTCCCTGGAAAGCACAGCAAGATCATGGTGAGACGAGGAGTGTGCTGGCGCGGCTTGGCACCACTCATCAGAGAAGGGGCGCAGGTGCCACATGGCTCAGGTGGCTCTCAAAAGACCTTGCTAATTCAGGAAAGTTCAGAGGACTCCAGGCCATTTTGTGAGTAAAGCCAAGAAGGAAACTACATGAGTGCTCCCGAAGACCCTGCTCTTACAGGACCTCAGCTCCTAGGCGTGCGTCTGACAGCCCAGTGTCCACACAAGTCACCTTAGACGTAGGTCACAGCAAACGCGATGGGCTTCACAGCAAGTGTGCTGACCAACAACCGAGGTGGGGGAGCAGCAGGGCTGTGGAGGGCATCGCCACTTGGGGGTTTCCGCCATGGAGGGGAGGTCGCACCCAGACCAGCAACTTCACTGGTCTCCATGGCAGTTCCTTCAGAGGGCAGAAGCAGGCTGTCAGTGTCACTGGTTCATAGACAGCTGCTTCCTGGACTATGCTGCGGTCGCCTCTAAAAACTGCCTCCCTGTGCTCCTGAGCACTGAGACACCAGTGTGGCGGATACAGGATGGCTGCTGGAGACTCTTCCCATTTCATCAAAGTGACCGTCATGGCTCCAACTGCAGTGTGCTGCAAGGGAGCTTCCCAGTGCTCAAACAGATCTCTCATTAACACTTTACAACACTCACTGGTAACAATTCCACTCAAAAAGGAGTTTTAAAGAAACCGTTCTCATGTGAATTCAAAGTGACAGCAAGCAAACCTAGGGAACTGTGAACCGTAATTTCTTAGCATTGGGGAGAAGAGGCAAAGCACACACCTTTCTGATGTCCCGCTTGGCCACCAGGCCCCACCCTTTGCCATCTGTCTTGATGATCTTGGTCTCTGGGTACTGGCGCTTGGTGAAGCACTGGTTCTGGCAGTACTCGCCCGCGGGACACACCTGCGGGTGGCACTCGAACATCAGCATCCTGTTCAAGCACTCTGAGTCAAAGCCACAGGGATTCTCGTCTGTGGGCTTACAGTTACACTTTGGGATTTCCGAGATATCAGCTGTGTAGATCTGGACCTTCCCATAAGGCTTATTCACCTGCAGGAGAAAAGGGTGTCTTGGCCCCATACCAAGGCCTTCTAGGTCCCACATGCCACTGCCGCCTGACCTGCTAAACCCATGGGAACTCCACACAGCCCTCTTAGCCTGAGGCACTGCAAGTCCTGGCCTGGAGGACCCCTGCGCAGAGGAGTCCAGGGCGGGCCGCCCTGTTATTTCATCCCAGTGTTTATCTTTTTCTTTCTTTCTTTTCTTTTCTTTTCTTTTTTTTTTTTTTTTTTTGTCTGTCTTTTTTGAGACAGGGTCTCACTATGCAGTTCAGGCTGACCTTGAGCTCACTTTGTAGCCCAGGCTGGTCTCAAACTCCCAACGATCCTCCTACCTCAGCCTCCTGAGTGCTGGGATTACAGGCGTGAGCCACCATGCCTGGCTAATGTGTATCTTTTTCATTGTGAACGAAAACTGACTTCTCCAGCCAGGGTTCTAACTCAAAGTGGGGGCACTGCCCTGCGTGTCACCTTGATGTGCTTGTAGGGCGGGGGTTTGCGCTCGCTCTCCTGTGTTTCCCGTGCTTCCCTTTGAAGTTTGACTTCACGAAAACGAGCTTCAGCTTCTTGCAGTGCTAAAACATCAATGAAATAAGAAGAAAATATTTTAGTAAATGAAAACTTTCAGGCTCTATCTCAGTAGCTCACCCTGATGTTCACTGCTAAGTTTAGCTACCAGGTATCTTTAATGTGGCAGAACCACACTCTAGTGCAGGCCATCCAGGAACCCACAAGGCTTGGTCACAGACGGCCCCATGGTAGGTTTCTAGAGAGCACGGCAAGGCACTTAGTGTCCTTGCTCAGGGCACACTGCCTGAGATGGAGATGAAAACACCTGTGCTTCCCCCCAAAGAGGGGGCTGTGAGAGGGGAACAGGTAGCAAGCAGACAGCATATCACTACCAGACGTGGCCTACAGCTAGCCCCAAGTTCGGTTTCTGGGGTCAGGAAACCCAAACTGGTATGTCACACCAAACCCAGCAGCCACCTCACTGTCAGGAGCCTCCTCTTTAGTAACCGATGAGAATCTTTTCATGACAACCAGTGCTCACTCGGACTCTTAAGCGTGCTGAGGCCATGAAGGAGAGGCTCCTGGCAGCACAGACCTGGCAGCTTTCTGGGCTCAGGCTTCCTCCTCTGCCCAGGTCCCCCAGCTGAACTGCAGGACCTTGGCGTGCCTGAAACTTGCCCTACTGTACTCACTGCTCTCCCCCTGAGGGAAACACTAACTCCTTCTGCAAGGCAGCCCTGTCTTTGTCCCAACTCCTGCCTGGGTCATCAGCCAGCCTCACCCACCTCTGCTCCTCTCGGCTCTCAGCCCAGATGCAGAACCAAAGGCCAAAACACCACAAAGACCAGCCCAGTACACTAAATGAGGCACATAGGCCCAGCCATGAACTCAGATGCATGAGGCCGCCACTGGAGGCTGCGGCACAAGGCCAGACATCAGGAGCTGCCCCCCCCCCACCTCTGCATGGAGGCCAGCCGCAGAACACACCTGCAGCCCACTCCCACATTCCCGACAGCTTTACTGCACACTAAAGAAATTACCCGCAAACCAGCATGACCAAAATTATTAAACAGGGTATCTTATCCTATGCCCCAAACAATGTATCAGTCCACAAACTTACTTTTTTCTGATTTAAAAGTACAGACAGGATGTTTTAGTACAGTATTTTCTACAAAGATCACATTTTAAAAGAACAGAAGTCAGGACCCACAAAGGGCAAACAAGAGCGCCATTCTACTCTCTTAGGAGAGCTCCGTACCGTTTTTGAAGACTCTTCCGATCCCTCGGACCCCATGGTAGCGGCTGCCCCGGTCCCCCTCCATGTACGGGAATACTCGCGCCTGATGCGTCCAGTAATAATCTTTAGACCCAAAGAAAAACACAGGGAATTCTCCAATCTCGTGCTTCATTTTCTGAATATTTGGGGGAACATTTTTGGGATGGCAAACTTCTGCCGGCCACCATCTATTATAAATATTAAAAACAGGATTCACAGACTCTTCAATACTTTAAGTACTGTAAAGTGAAACAAAGTCATTTGAACACAGATGAAAAGGCATAGGACTCTTCGTCACACCTGTAGTTGCCAAGTTTGACCCAGATGATGTCTTGGAAGTGCAGCTTCTTCCCAGCCCTGCAGTCATTGCAGAACCAGCTGCCATCGGGCATGTCGATATTCAGGCAGTCCGGGTGGAAGGCAGCTGGGCAGGCTTCACAGCACAGGAGGCTTCCGCCTGCAGAGGAGGCCGCGGCTCAGCCAGAGCAGTGGCGTCCAAGCCTGAGGCGCCTGGGCTGGCACCAGTCACCACACACACACACCCACATACACCACACACACACCTACACACATGCGCGTGCACCCACACAGCCTGTACAACATTTATGGTGAGAAACCGTGATGTGCTGAGGGAAGGTGTGGGACCCCAATGATGGAAACGGGAACCATGAGCACAGCTCAGACCAGTGTGGAGGATCCGGCACACCACACACAGGGCAGTGTGGCAGTGGCACGGCCTCACCTTTGGAGCATACGAAGCACCAGCTCACGTTGACATGGCTATGGTGCCGCTTCCCCTTCCGAGCGGTGAAGTGGGCCGTGCAGATGATGCTGTGGGATGCAATCACCGCACACCCAGCCGCCAGGCATGCATCCCCTCCGTGATAGGCCACCGGACAACGTACGCAGCGCATCATTTTACCTGAGGGCAAGAAACACCCTGGAGACCCAGACACTGCAGCCCCCGCAGAAACGGTGACAAATCAGACACCAGGAAAGGTGATTGAGGGACGCCCCCGAGGTGTCTGACTGTAGGCAAAGGACTTCAGATATCCGAGAAAACCACAAGCACCCAAGACACCACGCAACAGTAAGGCACCTGGACACGCGCCTGCTAGCTACTAGCACCACCATCCTCCCCCACCGAAGGGCTCCAGCACAACCCACTGGTGCAGGGCTGTAGCACCATAAAGACAGCAGAATCCGCCCTCCCAGTCCCAGAGCTGCCCGTAGGTGATGGAGAGGGCCTTTGCTTTCACAACGGTTCCCTAGTTTGTGAAGGGCCCTAAAACCACCACAAACAGGACCCATCCGAATGGTTTGCAGACCGCCCCTCTCAGAACTAGGAGCCTGCAGATAAGTTGGGATGGACAGAGGGGAAAACAGAAGCAGGTCCTGTATCACAGAAAAGCCTTGACCTGCCTAGGTCGCATAGAGCACAGGGACCACTCCAGAGTGTCAGTTTGCACTTGTGACAAACCTGACAGGCACCAAGTCACCCTTCTGGGGAGCCCTGCTGCACAGCCCAGTGCCTGTACCTTTTGAGGGCCGCGGGTTGGAAGGGTTTGAAGCGTGGCAGCTGACACAGCTGTGCAGCGGGCAGCGGAAGCCCCTGCTCTCGAACACAGTAAGGGGGAACTTTCTCACACAGGCCTCATGGTAGAACTTCCCACACTGGGTCACGACACAGCGCTTCACCTCCGCCTTGCTCTCCTTGCACACAAAGCACGAGTGGATCCCTAATGCATAGTTGAAGGTGGGGGGCAGAGTGAGACCATAGCTCTGGGCCCCACAAAGAGAGTGCTCTTTCCCAGAGACAACTGGCTGGGGCACCCTCCCCATCTTTGGACCAGTCCAGCCCCAAAGGCTGCCTCGCTGCAGACTGGCAAGAACTGAAGAGCATGCACTCTGCACAAGCTCCCCTCCCTTGAGCTGCCCCTGCTAAGGGGCAGGCCTGCTCCCTGGCTGCCTGGCAAGGGCTCCCATCTCTGAAGTGTTCCAGCAGGCGGAGGCTCACACGGCCTGGCCTACAGGTGGGGAGGGGCTGTCACATGCCACCTATATGCCCCTGACAACCCCAAGCCGCGATGACTGGATGTAGCGGCAGCAGGGCGAACACTGGGCCTGCAGTGGGAGCAAGGAGACCTGAACTACTGCAGAGCAACACTTTCTTCCATGTGAGTAGTCCTGCCACGGGTTGGGGTGGGGAACAAAGCTGAGGGGTGACTTGCCTGAGGTGCACTCCATGCAGGTGAACTTTCCCTCTGGTCTCCTGGGCAGCCCGAGGCACGCGAGGTGGAAGGCACCGCAGCAGGGGCCTTCGCACAGCAGGAGGCTCCCTGTCTTCTCGCACAGCTGTGGGCACAAAGGGGGGCATAAACCAGAGCCCTGCTCTATCCCAAGGGGGCTGGCTGGAGATCCACTCTGCTGCTCACGGCCTGTGACCCTCTGTGCAAAGGGACCCACTGGGCCACAGAGAGCCCGAGAACCAGTCCCTCAACAAGGGCAAACAGGGCCGCAACCTTGAAGCCCACACTCCAGATGCTTGAGGTCAGACGTGGAGGCCAGGGGAAGTCACAGTCAGCTCTCCAGCAGGGCAGGGCCTGAGGCACACCCAGGACAGGTCTGTGCCCGGTGGTCACAGTAGCACACAGTGCAGGCCTTGACCACCAGGTACTGCTGCTCAGGGAACAGCAGTCTGGTGACACTTTCTTGGCCCAGGCCTCACCCTCACCCACCCAGCGCTGTCAGCATGGGAACCATGTGGACCAAGTGCTCACTCTGCCAGCACCCCCAATGCCTCATCTGCAGGGGAGGTGCTGTGCATGGAGCCATGTGTGGCTGATCCTACATGGGAGCTGTCCCAGGATCCTGCTGGCAGCTTAGCCTTCAAAGCAGATCCTGGAGCAAAGGGGCCTGGGGAGCCCTGCTCTGTGCCCCCAGGGCCCGTGACAGACCCCTCAGAGATAGGCCAGATGCTGCTACGCCTCACCTGACACACATACTCCTTCTTGGCTGCCACTCCTCGTTCAGATTTTTTAGATGAGATGGACACTTCGGTCTGCGTTTCATCAGCACTTTCATAGGGGGACTCTGAGGGCTCATCTCCCGGGCTGTCTGAGACCTGAGGAAGAAGGAGGTGGATGGCGGCTCACTCGTCACAGAAAGCAGCGGTGGTGTATCCTCAGAGACGGGACCCGCTGGCCCCATCTCCCAGGAACTTGTCCTGGACACACAGCACCCACTGGCTCTGAGCAGTGGGTCAGCAGAGCCGTGCGGAGATCAGAAACAGACTTTTCAGTCTATCTGCACACAGATGAGGCAAGGCCTTACAACGGAGGAGTCCAGGCTGCTTTGGGGAAGGGGGGGCAGGACGGAACGGGCTCCGAGAAGGAGAAGCTACTCCTTCTTACCCACTCTGCTCCAGTCCCAACACCAGACACATTTTAAAGGGATGGGTGGGGTGCCCACACCTTAAGCACAGCCGGGCCCAGGCCCTGGGGAAGCGCATTCCTAACTGCGGTCCTGCCTGTGGCAGTCAGCAGTTGGGTTTGGTCTATTGCAGACCTGCGCCTACCCTGCCCACCCACTGTCTCTGCCTCCCACTGCTATACCACAGGAAGGGAAGGTCGCAGCCTGCACAGGTGGCACAGGGTCTGAAAAGGCAGGGAGCACAAACAGGAGCAGCTGAGGGGCTCAGGGACATCAGGCCTGGACCACAGCCTCCCATGATGGGACAGCGTCTTGGCCCTTGCTTGACAAGCAGTGGCAGCACACAAAGAGCAAAAAAAAACCTAAGAACTTTTGACTCCTATTTGACCTCAGGTAAGTAAGTGTTGGAAACTGAATTTGGGAGATGGAACGGGAGTACAAATGACATTTCCTGTACACTTCACTTCCTTAGTCACATTCATGAATAATGTTACAGTCGTGTTGTTCACCAACAAGCAGACAGATCCTGAACTTGGGCCACAGGAAGGAAATAAAAACAAACCCTTCCAGGGAAGCTGACCAGTTCTGCAGCCTTCTCTACAGTTAGCAAACTAAAATTACAGGGTGCAGTGGAGGAAAAAGAAAAGCTGGAGTTTTTGCAGAGTTGAACCTGATGTGGAAGTGCCTGGGTTAGTTCCCAAGGGCCATGGAATGAAGCCACCAGGCATCACTGTTCCTGTCCTGACACACAGCTCATGACAGCAGTCTGCTGCAACAGTAGCCTTTCAAGGGTTTTTGTTTGTTTGTTTGTTTTTTGCCTTTTGCGGGCTAGAGAGCAGTATTACCTTCTAAGGCTGCCTTCAGGTGGCCAATTAGTGGAACTACAGGGCCCACTGTCCCTCCCTCACCCAGCAGCTCACCTCCCACTCCCTTAACGTCAATGCCCAGAGAGAGGAGGCTTGAAAGGCTCCGAGCTCACATCCCAAATTTAACATCAGACACAACGTCACAACCAGGGATCTGAGTACTTCTGAAGTGAGACTCCACTAGGGAGGGTGAATCCGAACATCAGGAAGCTGGAGACACACAGCCTGGCCAGGGCCCCACTCAGACAGCAACCCCAAGGCTGCCCCACCTGCCTGACACAGGAAGCCAGGCCCCAAGAAGGGGCCTCACTGTCAGGGATTTAGCTCAGTGGCTCAAGCGCTTGCCTGGTAAGCACAAGGTTTAAGTTCAGTCCCGGTTTAAAAAAAAAAGGGGGGGGGGGCCTCATCAGGGCCAAGGGAGACAGCCAGCCAGAGGGAGAGCACCCTGTGCTCCATCCACCAGCCCTGTGCCTCCCTTGATGTGGCTGGAATAAATTTAAAAGCTAAAGAGAGGGAGAAGAGAGAGAAAAAAAGGGAGAGCGAGAAAGAGAAAGCATGGAGAGAAAGACAGAAAACACAAACCAGTCCTGGGTCAGAGGGAGGAACAGCACCTTTTATTTAAGATTTACAGAAAGTTAGCACGTTTCCACTTGGAGATATTTCCTAAATTAACAAAGTCTGTTTTGAGGAAATAAACACGGAATACATACTTCGAATGGAAATATAAATGTAACGACACACAGGAGGCTTGTTTCCTGCTCGGGGTCTGAGATCCACATACAGAATACAGACCTTACAATATCACAGTCCATGACACAGTGCACAAGACCCCTCTCAACCCCACAGCCCTCCCCACAGGCAGCGACAGACACCTAGCCAGGTCTGAGGGCCCCAGGGTACAGCTTGGCAACCCGCCAGAGTGGCCCAGGCCCTCACTTGAGCCATGGCTCCACCTCTATGCACAGGGACTCACTTGGAGATGTCACTGTGGAAGTGACACGGCCCCGTGGGCCCCAGCATTCCCAGGGTTCAGCCTGAAGTATCTGTGCTCTATTCCACACCCTATAAGGTGTGTAGGGAGAGGAGAGTGTAGTGACAGAATGGACATGGACTCTGTCAACAACTTTCCTGCCACTTCCCACCCACCGGCACGGATCTCCACATAGCTTAGGTCCTGACTTCTGCAGATTTTCTTAAGTCTGAAAATACTTTTTCTCTACTCTCTACTCCACATGTGACAGTACCAAGCTACCTATGTGCCTCAAACAGACATCCCTTTGGGGGCAGGGATTCTTGAGATGTCATTACCAAATACAAGGTGGCCCTGCAAGCATATGCTAACCAGCTGCGAGACAGCACAGAGGCCAGCCTGCTGTCAGGAAGGCTTGGCCCTAGGCCACCTGTGTGCCCTCTTGTGCGCTCCATAAACAGTGAGGTTTTCATTTTTGACAAAATAAATCCCTTCACAAGTGAAACACTACATCATTTTTGAAATACAATTACAGACCTTGAACAATAAATATTTCTATAAACTGACATTCTTTGCATGTGTAACTTATGCTTTTATAAAAGAACTGGTTACTAGAAGTACTTTTCACAGAGTGTTTTAGATTTACAAATAAGAATCCTGTGCTCAGTAAAATTAATGATTTTAAAATCAAAAGACTACTCTCAAATAGGTCTTCCAAGTTAACATCACAGTGAAATGTTAGAGAATGAAAATAATAAAATAAGTCATTCAACTAAAATACTATAGTCTGAAATAACCTTTTTACAAATGGCCATTCTAAGTTATGTAGTATGGAGCCTCCTCAGTGCCCCGCAACACTAGGTTAGGGGGGCATGGCCCTGAGGACACACAGGTTGCCACGCTCCATTTCCTCTTCTGGTCTCAGCTAGCTTCTGTGCAGTCAGGGCACTGGACCAGGAGGTGGGGGGACCAGGGCAGCTGTGGCCAGAGCCAGCCACCCATGCTGCCCTCATCAAAAGTAAAGCAAGTCTCCAAAGCATCCTACCAACCAACTGTGTTCCTCTGTGTCCTGGGCAGTACCTCCCCTGCTGGGTGAGGGGCTGTGCCTGGAGATGGAGAGACCAAGGGCCACCATGGGGCCAGCTTCTGCTCATTCTGCTGACTCATTCACAGACTGACTGCTGGCATGCTTTAGAACATGGCCAAGGAGTTCTGTGGCCAAAGCCCAGCAACTACAAGCAGGCCAGAAAGACCATGAGTATGGGTCCAGCACAAAGTCAGACAGTGACACTGGAGGTAATGGCACTAGGCCTACAGGCAGGGGTGGCCTGGCTGGTACAAACACCCCACAGAGAGTGTGCCTCTCCTCCCTGGATGAGAAAAACAAACACACACATCCTTTTCTGTGCTAAGAGCAGTCTGGTTCCCATGACTGACAAATCAGTGAAACAACGAAGACATTACCTAAGGGGACCAAAATACACTGCATTCACCAAAAGTCCTGCAACATTCGGGAGAGCCAGTACATTTCTTCAGAGAAGGAGAAAAATACAACCATAGGAGTCAGTAGGAAACTGCAAAAGCTCTGAGAGCAGGCCAGGAAAGCCCTTCTGATGCAGTGGAGGAGCTTCAGCTCCTCCAGCTGAAGACTACAGTGGCAAAAATAAACAGCAGTCCTCAGCAATCACCTTCTGTTTCTCGGTTTTCAAGACCTAAGGAAACAAAACTACTGACTGCCAAAGCATCAAGTGCCATACACATCACACTGAGTCTATGCGGCTGCCCCTGGTAGCCGCACAGAAGTCACTACCCTGGTCTGGCAGCTGCAAGTGCTGGCTATGTGAGAAGCCTTTGGCTCTGGGTCAGGAACATCTGCCAAGTCCTGGTGGCCTTGTTTCTTACCTGTACTATCAGACAGGCACCCCAGGGTGCAGGGCGCCCTGTGGGCATCTCAGGCTCACCTAGCTCTCCCCTGTGAGGGCACCAAGGGAGCGAGGCTCCTTGGGCACCCCCATTCAGTCCCACCTCCCAAGATCCCCACCAGGGCACTGTAACCCTTATGTCTGGCATGGACATGGACAATACTTTTTGCCGGGCACCTTGATGCTAACCTAGAACCCTGGTTTATCTTCTCTTCAGGATGTTTCTGTGATATACCCTTGGTGGGTAACCAAGGGTATTCCAAGGCTTACCCATCACTGCTGGGCCACTGCCACAGACTCTGGGCTCAAATCCTGGGCAAATCCACTGCTGACAGTTTTCCATCGAGCCTTTCCTGCACTGTGGCCCACCATAAAGGAAACAGCCATCTCAAGCCAGCTTCTCACACTGCACAGCCCCAGCAAAGCCTCCTGTTTTCCGCATGAACCAGGTCAGGCACCCCAAGGCCATACTCTGTGTGAGAGCAGGCTGTCCCTCACAGGAAAGCGGCAGGACCTCCCTCCTACACAGCGTAGGCCCCTGCCTGAGGTCCTGCTTCCTTGTGGTAGAACCTCCCTTAGGTTTCTTGTTGGTTTTTAAGAACAACTTCTTAAAACACTAGAATTACACTTTTCAGTTGGGAAATATAGATACAGTGAGTACTGAGGAGAGTCCTGAGGGGCCACTACACCCCTCCAGGGCTCATGCCTTTCACCAGCTCTGCAGAAATGCCTGCCAAGATGTCAAAGTCCACAAAGATCCCAAGGATCCCATGACCCACAGGGCTCAGGCCTTTATCCCAACACACACACTAACCAAGCAATGCTCTGGGACAACAGAGGACTTGCACTTTTAGAACAGCTACAGCCAAAATGTCCACACATTCAGACAAGACTTTACCCCTCTCAAATGCCAAGTTTATACAAGTCGGCCACATCCCTCGCCAAGCAAACAAGGTAAATGAATGATGGTTTGAAGTCAAACAGGATCAGTAAAGTGATTTATGTACGACATGAGCAAAACTCATCTCAAAGGGGACAGTTCAAACATGTCTTGTTGCTATGCTGATTTTTTAGGAAATGAAGGGGATTCCATGCTAAAATCGTCATGTAATGAATGTCTATACTGCTGGCAAAGAAGCTACTACTCCTTCCAAAAGCCTGTGGAGTAACTAACAAGCCCTTCTAATCTGCTCTTCAGAAGCCAAGGAGGAGCTGACCCTTCAGGACTCAGTTCCTCTACAGTGGCACCACAACTGGCCTTGGGAGCAGGACAACTGTGCCAGCCGTGGCCTGTCCCTGTCACTGAAGACCACTGAGTATCCCTGCCCCTGCCTACTAGAGGCCACCTCCCTACTGTCCTCAGAGGGACGCGGTCTCCCCTGGCATAGGAACACTGCACATTCCCTGCTGAGCATCTCACTCACCCCCTGCATTCAGCAGGCACTGACCATGCTGCACTGTGGGTAGTGCTCAGTCACCCTGCGTTCTTGCCTCTGCCTCACAGGGCAGGCGCTGCCTCCTGAAGCATCCGTACACGCTCGCCACTGAAACCCCAACTCATCATGTGAGTGAAACCCCTTGGCTCTGGCCCAGAGACTCTCAGGCCAGCATCTTTACTTCAAGAGATCACTATTAAACCAAGGCAAAAACATTTTTATATCATCTTTTTGTTCTATTTTTAAGTTCAGCGATCATTCTTGAGAATTTTAAATCTACCTGAGTTCTCTCGTGTCTAGGAATAGCATGATCCAGACTCTCCTAGGCCACAGAGGGGCACATCTCCCACTACATCTGCACGGGGCTGAGGCGCATGGCCACCCACAGCCACCGTATCCGCACAGGACTGTGTCACACAGAGACCTGGGGCTCCACCACTGCTAGGGTTACTTCATCTTCACATGCATGATGCAGTCAAGGTCACTTCTCATGCCAAAATAAGTTATACTTTCGGATAAAAATGGAATGGTGGCAACTTTATTTTTTTATTGTTATAACCATTACTGTCACAACAGTGAACCACTGAGCCCTCACAAGGCGCCAGGCAACCTAAGCATTCACATGTGTTACATCACTTAACGGTTTAGAACAGAAGGGTTGGTCAGAACTCTCATCACAGGCCGGGCACATCGGAGGTGTCTGCTGGAGCGGCCCAGGAGCAACACGTGCTCTGCTTCTCGAGCTGAGGCAGTGGAGCCTTTCCTCCCGTGTGTGTGGGTGAGCCATGGGCTGAGCCCCGGCTGGCACCCGAGCCCAGGACAGTACGGGGCGCTGATACGCTATGAAAGCAAGTGATGAAGTGGCTGGCATAAATAACCTGGTCATGGTGTCCCCTATATCAATCACTGAGTTGAGAGTTGAATGGTTCACAATGATACTGCAAACAGCATTTTTTCCTAAAAATTGACTGTGTCTAGTGTTATAGTAAAACTGTTTAGTAAAAAAGGACAGAATCGAAACTCCTCTTGCCTTTTATGTTGGAAATTAGTTTAATATCTACAGTATTGAGTACATTTCACTGGCAATGAGAATAGTTGACAAGGGCCCCTTAATGTGTGCTGTTTGTTGTTTGTTTCTGAAGGAACAGATGCTGACATTTCTCCATAAAAATTCAGTAGGTTATGAACTAGAGGGAAAAATGACTTCTACAGGAAGGCCCCATCAGCGGGTACCCCTGTCTCGGTGCTAGGACAGCTCCCATTGAACAGCCTCAACTTGAAATCTACATTGATCACTGGAATATGAATGTGTTTCTATCATGAGATGAATGTGAATAAATGGCCTTGATTGGGTATCTTACCTTGGTCTTAAAATTTGTTATCTGTTTTCTTCATTGTATGTGTTTATTAATACCAGTAAAAACAGATTATCACACATCTTCCATAAAATGATTGTGATAGAAATGTCACTTAGTGTGTACGATGATGCGCCACCTGTCGCAGACATCTTGGGACATTACATCACTCTAAGTGCAGTACAGGGCAGCTGGGTTCAAGTCCAACTTGACTGATGTGGGCTCCCATAAAAGCTGTTACCAGTGAAGGCAAAAAAATAAGAATTTGCTCTACTAAAGGAATAAGAAATGAAGTTATAAACACTTAAATCACATTAATTCCTTCACAGGCCTTTTGTCATGCAAGTGTGTAAGTTTAATCTAGTTTCTTTGTTAGGGTGATGTAGTACCATGTAATCAATTATTCCAATATAAACTTTTTACATATACATTTTTCAAGAATTTAAACCACAATATAACCTAAAATGTCTTCAACTATCAGCCCTATGAAAACCCCTATTTTTCTCAATCAAGGGTAAAGAAAGGAAAGACATAAAAACATGTATAAGCCAAGTGAACCAAATGAGGGCCAGGCCAGTCCCCAGAGTGCAGCTGGCACGTCTGAGCTGGTCGAGGCTCCAGACCTGCGTGCTCCCCGATGTGCTTCCAGCCCCAGCACTGTTGCCCACACACACTTCACGTGCTCCCGCTGGGCTGGTGTTCATCAGCTAAGTCTACCTGCTTGTTTGCAGTGTTTGATTGATAGGAGAATTCAGTAAGAAGGAATGCTAGAGGAGGGTTGGATAAGCCACACGAAAGCAGTCAAATGGTGAAGACCTAGCACACTGAAGGATCTGTGCACCACCTTCAAAATGGAGGCGGACATGTGGATCTGACGCACTGCACCATAGTACAAATGCAGTCAGTCATCGACCAGCCTCTGCAGTTCTCACTAGTAACAGATCAAGTTAGTCTAATGAGCACTCGGCCAGCCCAGCTGTCATCACCTCCGCCCTCGCTGTGCTGGCCTTTCCTACACAACCCAGACCATCGAGGACGATGAATAAGACCACAGCAGCCTCAGTGCTTTCTCCCTCCGATGTCTCAGTAAAATCTCAATCACAGAGTGGACCAAATATGATCCAAGGAAAAATCATTAAAAATGTATACAAACACAAACACCAATTAAGTACAAAAGCCTACAGAACTATTAACTTTTTATTTATAGTATTTTTCTTTGGAATTGTAGACAACTTCTCATGTAATCTTTAGAAACCTATCCTGAATCTAACAAGCAAGAAGAAAAACTGTATAAAATTTGTCTTTCATATTCCAGTAAGTTCCTGGATAAAAACTGAATGAAGAACTGCATGTGTCCAAATGTAAGGAATGCTGTCAGCTACACATAGTAAGCACACCGCCCACCCCAGTTTCTCCTATGTGCCACTTCTGATCAAGACTGAGCGGGGCTGAGTGGCCAGGGCAACTCCCGAGAGAGCAGCAGTCTAGACTCACACAACTACTGTGGTTTGGAGTGGGGACAGGAAGCTCTAAGGGTGCTGACCAGGTCTCTGATCCTCACTCACTGGCAGGCCCAGCCCCACAAGGAGGAAACAGCTAAGGCATCCCCACTAGGGATCCTTTGAGGGACCATGGCAGAGGCCAGGCCACAAACACAGCCTCCACCCAAAGGAGGAAGGGGCCTGTTTACCTCCATTTCACTACCAGGCTCCAATAAAGCCCAAGGTCATCACCACCTCACATCATAAAAACAGAACTTGTGTCCACAAGAGGAAAAAAATAAAATCATAGGAATCAAAATAACAAGGAAGTCTAACTGGAAGTAAGCTCTACGAAAGCACACCACCAAACTACCTCTGGACAAGAAGTGTCACACCTGCCTTTGGTGTCTGACTACTGACTCTGTAATGCCATCTGGATGTCAGACCACTAAAATGGCAGCAACAGCCTCAAGAGAGCCATTGCTCTACTACCTTGACCTTTGCGAGTCCAGAAAACAGGAGTCGTGACCCAGTGGGAGCTCAGAAGCACTCCACACTCAAGCACTGAAGACACTAGAACTCAAAGGACCAAAGGCATGGAAAGCTGGGGGGCCAAGAAAACACTGGCTTCCTTCATGCCCCTGTGAACCTCACTGCCCACCCAGGAGAGGGTACACAGAGAGCAAGGTCAGCTCAGCCAACCTTGTACATCCTGTGAGAACCAGAGTGGACTTCCTTTTGAGACCAGAACATAAGGGGTTCCAGAACATACTACAGTAAAACGCACTGCAAGAACAAACTACATCAAGAGTGAAGGCTATACATACATTTACAGAGACATTACATGTGCTCATATTCAAAGTACTCAAATAGACTACTATGGTGCCCATTTCCCATTCTGTGAATTTTAGATGGGTTAGACCTGAACTCCCCTCCACCTGTGGAAGGCACTAGCACTCTGCTAAGTCTGAACTTCACTCAATGCAACTCAAGTCATTAATGGCCCTCCTTGGAATGCCATGGTATGATTATTGTCATGATTTTACCTCATTCTCAGTTAAGGATGCAGAAGGAGATGAACTTTTGCTAAACCCAAGAGTAGAAGACGCTGCTGCAGAAGCCCGATTTCGCTTCTTCAGTGGTTTGCACGCATCAGATAGATTTTTCGTCACTGTAAAACAATTTTGTTTTGTAACATTTTAAATCCTAAACCTTCACCTGTTTGTTTGCTTTTATTTTTTAACCCTCAGCTCTTTGCTGCCTTAAAATTATCCCTCAAGTAAGTGAACTCCTCCAGATCAATTTTCCAAATTCTGAATACAAAGGCAGGCAAACCACACAGTGAGTGCCTTGTTCCCTCCACCTGACCCCCAATCATCAACCCAGGGCCTAAGCAACTCCCTGACTGGGTTATTCTGAACCAAAGGCTAGGCATAGCATTTCACCCAGAAAAAGTTCAGTGGGTAGCACTACAACACAGTTTGTTTTGTTTTGTTTTGTTTTGTGGTACTGGAGATTGAACTCATGACCTTGCACTTGCCAGGCAGGTACTTGTGCCACTGAGCTAAATCCCCGGCTCAACAACCAAGTTTTAAAACAACAATGCAACCATTATACTTAAAAATAACAATCCCTTTGTATCATCAAGTATCCAGTCAACTTTCACTGTTTGCAAATATTTTCTTTAAAAAACAACCTATTTAACTGATTTCTAAAAACCAGCACAGCACTTGGTCCAGGACAAGGGAAACTGAACCTTGCCAGACTTCATGCCAGCCCCTCCTCCAGGGTCTGCTGCCTAAAAGGGCTGGAGAGGATCAGTCTTCCTTGGTAAACTACCCAGGTATTTCAACAAGGTAATTAATGAAAAGTATAGGCATCTGATTTCCCCTTCCAAGTTTTGGTAGTTGTTTTCCATAAACATTTTAAGCTAATTTCTTTAAGCAATGAGTTGAAACACTGGTCAGGACTTTTAGTTTCAGTCAATACACATTGAGGTCCTAAAGAGCAGAGCAATTTTTAGCAGCAACTGTTATCAGTAAGAAACCTAAGTTGCCAGGCATTTAGCTCAGCAGCGTAAGTGCCCACCTGGCAAGCACAAGGTTATGAATTCAATCTCCTGTACAAAAAAAACCCAAAAAAACAAAACCTATGTTTCTGGCTTGAATCACTTTTTTAGTAAAATTTCAAACTAAAAACAGTAAGGTACAAGAATCACTAGAAAAATGATTTTTGTTAAAACTAGAACCTTAAATTTGGGGATGACAATGCACAATGTATGTACCATTGTTGACCTGTTTTAAAATTTTTTAGGTTTTTTTCTTCTTGTTTTTTTTTTTTTTTCCTCCTTGAAATAAAATGAATTTGAGCGGGAAAACTGAACCTTAAACAAAATATAGGCTGCATCTGTTTCTGTTTGCAGGAGCCCCTCTTCCTGTCTTCGGCTCCAGTCTCCTGGCTGAGGTCTGGGCTGTCCTGCACCTTCCTGCCAGCCCTGCTCCCCTCTGTCCCTCCTCAGCTGTCCTAGCAGAGGCCCCAAGGGCAGGGCCCCCTGGCATGGGTACCCAGGAGCATCACCACATTACCTGCCTGGCTCTTGAGTGAGGAGGCTGCCTCCATAGCCTTGTAAGCGCTTGTCCTGGCCATCTTGTCAGTGCTCATCTCTCTCTGTCATTTAAAAAAAAAGAAAAAACAGAAAAAACAAAGGGGAAAAATCGAATGTGAATGGACACAGGCTGGTGAAAAGTGTGCAACAGGTGCTTGTTCCTGGGGCAGTGTGCTCTGCACACTGCACCCACACCCAGGGCTGAGCTGCACCCTATTCCGCCAGCGAGGTGCTGTGGCCTTCACGCACAGGACTGTGTCTGCCCACAGCAGACCACAAAGCAGAGGACACCTGGCCTTCTATGCCGGAGCCTGACACGGCAAAGTCACCCAAAAGGTCACCGTCAACTTGCTTAGTCTCACATGCTGCTCTGAAGACCCCCAAGTTTGAGACAAATTCCAGAGCTACTTACAAAGATCAGCAATAAAATATATTTCACAACTGAGAGAGGCCAAAACAAAACCAAACAAAAAAATGGAAGATCCTGAACACCTGAGTGCTGATATTTTAAATAACAGAGTTAAAAGGTCCTGTCTCAAAAGTACACGGACAAGGCCAAGGATGTAGCTCAATAATACAGCGCCTGCCTGGCAAGCACAAGGTCGTGAGTCCCCTTCCTAGTATTCCACCCTCCCCAAAAAAACCCACAGGAACAATACTGCCCACTGGTCACCAGACCACTCCAGGAGATGGTGTCCTGGCATCCACACTCCACCCACCCAACCTGGAGCAGGATGCTCCTTGCTTCAGGAGTAGTGAGGATGTGCACAGCACCTGGGAATGGAAATGATTGGAAGAAATGAACACAAGGAATCCCACGCAACAACCTCAAGGCTATAGGAGGCCAGACTAAAGGGGACACTGCGATCTGCTTTCATCATGGGAAACTTCTTGAGCTAATGGTTAATATAAATCATTCCTACCTAGCTACTTAATGTTAACTTTGATGTTTCAAACGCACCTTTTTTTTGGGGGGGGGTTACATCATTTACATAAATATTTCAAAGCAACCAATTCCAGTGAGATTGCCAAGAAAGGGCTACTTTAATAGCTGGTGATCAGAGGAAAAATGAAGTATTATGCATCCCCTGGTAACTGTAAACCTGAATCACTCAGTGACTTTTATCTCACTTAATGCTAGGCCCTGGTCATCAGACCAGGCCATCTGATGGCAGGTGCTCTAGAGAATACTTTGGCAGCCAGGAGAGTGAGCAAAGCCTGCCTGCTCTCCTCAACTCAAAGCACAGATTTTTAAAGAATTCAGACAGATGTTGTGGGCTACACAGCTGTACTTCAACATGTGATACTTATTTTCCATTCTTCAAAACAAACCAGAAAAAAAGGAAAATAAATTTCAATTAGTAAAGGACGGTAGCAAGCTTTAGTCAAAACCCTAAATATGCAACTAGTCTGTGTGAACTATTACTGAATAAAGATAAATTCAAATATAAAATATAAAGTCTAGGGCCAGGGATTAGCTGGACACTTGTCTAGCATCCTCAAGGCTCTGGCTTCCATCCCCATTACCACCCTCAAAAAGAAAAAAGACTAAAAGGCCTATTTAAACATCTGTTTTTGACAAGTGAACTGGCCACCAAGACATGGTGCTCACAAGGGCTCAGTCTGCGGCATGGCTGAGCTCCATTCAGCCAGAATCACCGCTTCTCTGCACACTTAGACCTGGATCAACCGCTCACAAGATGCCAGGTACACACTGCCCTGATAGGGCTGAGACAGGGCAAAAAGAACAGGCTCCTGTCAGTCTCTGCCGCCTCCCTGCTGTGCAGCAGGGCTGTCACACTGCAGAAGTTCCCAGCCATCTGACAACACCATGAATTACTAACAATGTGAATGCATTTACAAATCTTTTCAACGCCTCTATCATGGATTCTTTAACTTTCTACTGATGCACAACATCTAATGGACTGTCATACCAACTAATGATGTATTTTCACTGCAGATGGTAAGAATGGTGTTTTCTGCCCACTGAACCCAGGGCCCCACACACATTAGACAGGGGCTCAACCACTGAGCTATATCCTAGCCCAAGAGTTCTTAACGTACAATCTTACATTACGTTTGCAACAAAAGTCGCAACGTACCGAGACTGCCTGGATACCACTTTCTCAGCGAGGCAACAGCTGGCAGTTCTGGAAGGACACACACAGCCTTACTGCTGAGTTCCTCACTGTGCAGAGCTGGGAGCATGCTGCCTGCTCCTACCCACATCCTGAGACCCACACATCACACGCTCTCCAGGGTCAGGCCCACTGGTACCTAATTACCTTCCGAAGACTGTGCTTGTCAGTCCTGAGTCTCTTTCTGGGTGCATCCTCAACAGCAACATCTTCTGGAGGGTTCTCTGTCCTCTTTGCGTGATTTCTTTTTTTCCCATTTACATTACCTGGGAATGAGTTTGAGAGAAACACACATGAAAACCACTCTACATACTAAGTCAAAAGCACCGAGACCCCGGGCAGGCACTCAGAAGCACACCAGGCTGCAGCAGGCTTCCAGACCATGCCCACTGGCATGCGTTTTACAGAACAAAAACTGAAGACTGAAAATACTTTACCTAGAAATTACACCAACATTTGTTATAATTTCAAAGTACTATAGCATTAAATTTAAATATAACCCAGTATTTTCAAAAGTCTTTTACTAACATTTAATGACTGAAGGAATTAAGGTGAACATAAACATAAATAAAAATTGCAACTATTCATATGTTCCCTAAAAGAACCATTTTAAACAGCAACACCACACCCATATCTGTAAACTACGGGCTTCTCCCCAAGTCTGCTTGACTGTACCCCATCCTGGGTCCCTAGGAGGACCATTCAAAAGACAAGGGGCCCAAACAGAGCCAACCTAGAATGTGGAGGGAGGACTGCTTTGAATATGCCAATGTTTATTTAAGTATGAACCTAGAATTTTCATTTATACAAGTCCTTTGCAGTTTCTTTCTCTTTCTCTCTTTTTCTTTCCTTTTTGAGATAGTGTCTTGCTATGCAATTCAGGCTGGCTTTGAGCTCACTTTGTAGCTCAAACTGATCTCAAACTTGTAATGATCTTCCTGCCTCAGCCTACCGAGTGCTGGGATTACAGGTGTGCACCAACAAGCCCGGCTTGGGTTTCTTAACAGACTATCCATCAAGCTCTTGTGGAAGGACACTGTCATCCTCAAACTCACTCCAGCGAGACACAACACACTGGCACAGGTGTGCTCAGCCTGTATCCAGAAGGAGGCCCATACAGACATCCTTGGTTATCACTGCTGGAGAAGCCTGGCTGGCAGCCCTCACAGGCTCCGCTCCTAGTCACCCACTGCAACACGCTTCCAGGCTGAGTCAGGAAGAAGCCTGCAGAATAGAGGACAGCAGAATCTGCTCAGCTCCAGCCTGACTGCAGACTCTCTGTGTCCACGTGCCCTCAGCAGCCCTGCCTACAAGGTGACAGGCACTAGATGGCAGCAACATCACTCTGCCGCCAGGCTTCCTAAGGTCCCTTCCCCAGGCACCACCTGGGCACTGCCTCTAGACCTCAGAGAGGCAGCAGTCCAGCCATTCAGAAGAACTGCTGCATGCACCTGGCCCCTCCTCCCTCCTGCTGTCTAAAGAGTACTCAGGGACAGCCCAACAGCAAAGTGCACACACATAGTGCTGTCCACGCCTGCTCAAGAGTAGGCGGAATGTCTTGCCCATTTTTAAACCAGCCACTCTGGAAAGGCAGCACTTCTCCAGACAAGCGCACAGAGGATGCAGAGTAAGGCAAGCCTGCCTTCTGAAGGAAACCCATAAATTCTAAACACTCCTGATCCTGTGACATCTGTAAGGAGCGCTGAGCAAACCGAACCAAGTTCAAGGCAAATGCAATCAGCAGCTGTTGAGCCTAGGAGCCCCCATGAGGATCGACACATGCCAGGCACAAAGGCACCGTAGTGCACACGGGCCACAGCCCAACACACAGGACCTGGCCTCGGGTCAGCAGGTCTGAGAGGCTGAGCATCTGCCACTCTAAGAGATCCCTCAGTGATGGGTCTGAGAGACACATATGCTCTTGTGTAGTAATGCACACCCAAACACTGCACATTTACTTTCACATCGAAAAGGCAGTTTCCACACTCATGTGCCAAAGCACACAGGTCACACACCTGACCACTGCTACTCATCTTCTCCACATCTTACTGTTTGAGTCACCCTCACTTTTGCCTAAAAGTAAAGTAGTACTTTTCATTTTTTAAAACTGGGGGGCCCAGGAAGAATCAAAGGATACCAAAGTTTAAGGTCAATCCAGTGACAATCTCACCTGTGGGCTCCCAAGCACACAGGACAGGACATCCACTTCAAGGACAGAGCCCAGTCACAAAGGCAGACTCCAGCAAGAACCACAGGCTGCAGGCTGCCCCATCACGGCCAAGCCTGGAGGCTTAGGAAGTGCCTGGCTGCATTCCTTTCCCCTTCTCCCCCACAACCCTCTTAGCTATAGTGGTCACTAGGCCTGCCCTACATGAATGAAGACCAAGGGATCCACAGACCAGACAGAGGATCAGACGTATCAGCCTGATGACAACAGAGCAACGCAGACAGCAGGGCTTGCCCCATGGGGACCACACCCCATGTTTCCTCTTGCTCCTGCATAGAGCTCAGCTTGCTCCCCTCCACAGGTCACACCTGAGCACAGGACACAACACAGCTATATGCGTACCAGGATCTTCTTCAGAAGGGGCTGAGGTCACAAGGGCAAATTTGGTGTTATAGCGAGCTTTCTGTTTCTCATTGAGCATGTTCCACTGGGACCCCAGCAATTCTTCAATCTCCTCGCCTGATGCATCTGGGTGCTCAGCAATGACCTGTGAACACAGTTAAGGGACAGTAAGAACCTGTGCACACATAGCTCATTCATGCGCTGCACAAAATCAAGTGCATGACCACTGAGAGCTTGGCGTGTGTCATTTTTACTGTTCCATCAAGGAGACGTGTCCCAAATGCAGCTTCCAATACAAACAGCTCTTAACTGAAGCTGTGATTCATTGAAACCTAAGGTGAAAGTATCAGTAAATGTAAGAGAAAAACCTATACTTTTCCAAACCTTCTTGAACTATATGTAAGTTATCCTTGAAAGCTCAGCAGTACAGCAAGCCCCACACAAGGGGTCACCTGTGAGCAAAGAGCCAGGAACTGGCCAGGCTTCCTCGCAGTCACCGCACCCTGAGCTCCCAAGCTAAACGCAATTTACCAATGCACTCTTCACACTGCCAAGGTAGCCCTTCAGGATCAGGGCATCCACACCCAAGGAGGGCACTAGAAACGCAGGCTCTGCCTGCCCCCACCAGAAATCTGCATTTCCACAAGGCCTCCAGGTAGACCAGACAGACAGCAATAACCTAGGGAGTTTAAAACTTACCATGGTGAGGTCTGCCCAAGCTCAGTGGCCTGCCATCTGCATGCCGAAGGCTTCCCACGGGCTCCTAACGGCCGCTGGCACACTTGCTTTGGCAGCACATATACCATCATGCCCTTGAGTCTGAGAGGCACTGACAGAGGGCACTGCCCAAGTGCCTACATGATACCATCTCTGACACACCTCTTTTTAGGGTGACACAAGCGTAAAGAATTATTTTTGTACTTTTCAAACACTGAAAAAAGAATGTTTTATCACATGGAAAAAACAACTTAAAAGCTCAGTGCTTAGACGCTGCCACAAGCCCTTGCTGCTGTCCTGCCCATGGCTGTTTACCCTCTGGTGTCACTGCCTGTGGTGCCCTTGTGCACTAACCAGGGTGCTCTGGGAATTATGCTCTTCTGCTTGCAGTTCTGTGAATCTGACCAGGTGAAGATGCTATCTCCACCCCTTGTGAAATGAGGCAGGTGGTAAGAAATCAACAGGCTGGGGGCTGGGGATTTAGTTCAGCGGCATAAGCTCCTGCCTTGCAAGCAGGCAGTTGTGAGTTCGATCCCCGGTACCGATAAAAAGGAAAAAGACAAGAAAGAAAGGAAAGGAAGGAAAGAAAGGAAAGAAAGGAAAGAAAGGAAAGAAAGAAAGAAAGAAAGAAAGAAATTAGCAGGCTGATGTACAGTAGTTACGACCATGGCCTGGACCTTCCTGCTACCTGCCCAGCCCACGCCCTTGCTCACTGTGAACCCTTCTCACAGTAGTATCTGCCTTCCTGCCACCTGGTTGACCACATGATCATCCTCTGCCCTGGTGCCCCTTGTGAACACCAATACCCCCATCCCACCTGCCTCTCCAGATGAAAGTGAAGGCAACCTGTGTGCCATCCCTGGCCGCCTATCTGTGACCTCCCAGCTTCTGTGCTGGCCAGAGGAGTCTGACCCAATATGCCTTGCCCTTCTTCTCAGGGTCCCATTGCTACTATACCCTGCCTAGCAGTTTCCAGTGCTATACCCCAGCCCCAGCCACCTGGGCTTTGTGTCCCCCATTTGCTGCCTTACTCCACCCAACTCCTTGGGCCTTCTTCAGCCCCACACAGCACACTCACTTGCTGACCTTCCTCAGGTCCCCAATCTCTGCCCCATCCCCTCCCACCCCACCCCTGTATCTGTGATCAGCACAAGCATGAACAGACACAAAGTCTCCACAGCCCATGCTCAGCTCCAGCCTCCTGCTGAGTAGGCTGATCTCACCCCTGAAGAACTTCACGACTTCAGATCAGAGGGTCAGCAACCCTCTGAACTGAAGTTCTGAATCCCTGGTTCTCCATCGTGTCTGTCCACTTCCTGACATTCCCAATTCAAAAGGCCCCTTCCAGAACCAGCCATTGAAGCCTGTCTCCCCATTCCCCAGCCTCAGGGCTCCGCTGCAACTTCCACAGTCCTGCTTACCCAGCCCTGATTCTCTCCTTCTCCCTCTCCTGACAGCACCACTGGAGACAATAGTGTCAGTCTCTGGCCCATGACGCATGTCCTCAGGTCTCCGCTCACAGTCTGCTTAGGGGTGGGCAGAAAGTAAAGAGCAGCACCACCCTGCACCAGCTGCCTGCTGCCCATCCATTTCTCATCTCTCACCTATGTGCTTGAAGGATGGCAGTGAAAAGGTCTTCCATACCTAGGTCAGTAACTTATGACCACATGTGCCAGTTTGCATACCAAAGCAGTATCCAGGTGTCCTCTGATCTACAATTTTTCTACCCAAGGATGCTGTGAAAGCAATGTGCTCAGTAGAAACCAGACTTCCAATTTGAATTCTGATCGCTCAGGGTCCTTTCAGGTAGTGCCAGGCAGTAGTCAGTACACACAGCTCCAGATAGCACAAGGGGAACCGGACCCTTAACAACTGCTGGGAGGCTGAGCTGTGGCCTTGGGTAGGATGATTCATGAAATTTCCACTTTCAGTATTTTCAGTTTACAGCAGGTTTCCTAGGACACAACCCGTGGTACACTGCAAGCGTCTGTATGCAGCACACTGCTTACCACACACATGTGCCACAGGCAGGGCTGCCTCCTGCTGCAGCTGCTCACTAGTGAGGGAGACCGACTTGGTATTCCTGAGTTCATACTCAGGAGTATAACTTTATACTCCAGCGGAATCAGCTAGAAACAAGTATAAATCATTTATATCCACCCCACCCCAGAATGCCATTACAGCTTTCAGGCACAAGTTTGCAACATAACAGACCTAACACAGAGATATCTAAGAGATACCTAACACACAGCACACAACTGTGGCTATTTCTTTATGTCTAATGAACTATTTCAGGCAAACCAAACAAATATGGAAAACGGCAGTGATCCACAGGTCCACGCACAGCTCATTGAAGCATCACCATCCAAGACTGCCAGCCCTCCTTGATCGCCCTCCACAGCCTGCACACCTCCTTCCAGAGCTTCCTTTTGCTTTCACTTTCAAACTTGGAAGAAGGATGTGGCCATGGCCAGCGGCCATTCTCCAGGACAGGCCCATGAGCCCCCAACCCATCAGGCCTGAATTTGTACTTGCATCACAGTGAGGATGGTGCTGTATGACCCCCACGTCCAGCAGTGAGAGCTACTGCCTGTCCCTTTCTCAGATCCCCTGCTCTGGGGGAAGCCAGGGCTCTCAACCATGGGGAGAGCCACAAGGTGAGGAATCAAGGCCTCCTGTCGCGCCTAAGTGAGGACCTGGAAGCAGGCCCTCAGGCCCCAGCCAGCCTGAGAGGATGCAGCCCCAGCTGGCATCTGACTGCACCCTGGGAGACACTGCAGCCTCTCTTTCTCACCCAGAGATCTGAGGAGATGGTGTTACTGTTGCTGCTCCAAGCCACTATGTCTGGAGGCAACTCCCTATGTACAACCAGTAACTAACAAAAGTACAAAGAATTTGGGCCAGGGATTTAGCTCAATGGCATAAGCGCCTACCTGACAAGCACAAGGTCATGAGTTCAATCCCCAGTATCAAAGGAAGAGAAAAAGAACTGGCGCACAATATCTGTTAAATTCTGATGAAGTTTTTTTCATCTTTAACATAAGATTAGGACAGGAAATGGTGGAAAAGACTCAGAAACTCAAGCCAAAATCTGCTAATGAAACTGCTGCTAACACTGCCTAGCCCAGTGACAGTGAACCTTTTGGAGCTTCAATGACAACAAACAGCTGACTGTGGCTCGTGTCCCAGAGTTCCCACCACTGACTTAGGCTTCTGTTTGCGCGTGTGCAGGTTACTGAGCACTGAATCCAAGGTGTTGCACTGAGCTATATCCCCAACCCTTTTTATCCTGAGATGGAGTTACCCAGGCTAGGCTGGAACCTGCAGTCCTCCCTCAGCTGCCCAGAGCACTGAGATTATAGGCCTTTGCTATCCAGCTGCTGCCTCTGGCTTTCTCAAGAACAGAGACTCAGGGAAAAACTGGAGGAGACAGTCCACACATCTGAAGATCCATTTTCAGTAGGTCAGTACTATTCCTGATTCATAAGGAGGAGGCTGAAAACCACCCTTGCATGCTTGAGAAAAAGCCTGAAACCCCCCTCAAAGGCTCCCTGGCTCCTGTCTCACGATTTCCTACAACGTGAACAACCATCTCTGTCAATGCCTGCTGGTCCTGCACTGTGCCAGAGCACCTGCCTCAAAATGGGTGCTGACCAAATCTCCAGTGACAATGTTTGGAAAACAGGTACGATTTGTTACTGGTTCCTTAATCACTCTGTGTAGTTGGGGGAACTCCTAAATAGAAAATTCCCAAGAAAATAAAATTAAACTATAATAAAAAGTCTTTTGGAGCTGGGGATTTAGCTCAGTGGCATAAGCGCCTGCCTTACAAGCAGGCAGTCGTGAGTTCGATCCCCAGTACCAATAAAAAGGAAAAAGACAAAAAAAACCCACACACACACACAAAAGTCTTTTGTTCTACCCTATAAAATGGCTCACTTCAAGAAACAGTGAACTAAAGAGAGGGCTTGGTTCCTTACAATAGAACTGAGCCTTTACAATGTCAAATAGAACATGTATTTTATTAAAACAGTAAAATTTTTTTTTCCCGTCTTTTTCCTTTTTATCGGTACTGGGGATCGAACTCACAACTGCCTGCTTGCAAGGCAGGTGCTTATGCCACTGAGCTAAATCCCCAGCCCCTAAAACAGTAAAATTACTTAAATATTTTAATCCTAGGCATGGTGGTACATACCTGTAATGTATGTACAGCCTTGCACGCTGGAGGCTGAGGCAGGAGGATGGCTCCAAGTTCAAAGTCAGCCAAAGCTGACCTTAACCTTTTGAATGCAAGGCCACCTGAACTGCATAGAGAATCTATAAATTTGTCTATAAATAAATATTTTAATCACTAGTGTATTATTGTCCTTTTATATCTCATGGAAGTAATCTTTAACATGCTCACAGCCAGTGGATCCGTAAGCTTACAAATGGGTGCACCCCATATCTGATGCTCCGAAAATGTTCCCCAGAGTTGGACATCAAGGGTGCAGAGCTCCCAGCAAGGTGGCCCAGCAGCACCACTTCTTCCTGAGAGGAGCTGGGCAGCAGGCCAAAGACAAGGTAAGTGTCTGCCCCCAAAGACCCAGCTGGTGCCCTACTAACAGGTGTTAGAGCCAAATCTCAGTGGAACTCACTGCTGAAAAGCAGGTCTTCTTACCAAATGACTATTCCTCCAATCTAGAAACTACTGCAGGACGCCCTTCCGTGCCCACCAGAATACTGACCTCATCCCGATGCTTCTGACAGAAAACTAAAAACTGAGATGCTGCATCTCCCTTCCTGCTGCGTGGAGTAGAGGCCGAGACCTTCTTCCTTCCAGGGGGAGACCCAACTCCTCTTTTGGACTCAACCTCTGTAGACTTCTGTGGAGTGCTAGTCTCCGGGCCGGCATCGCTCTCCTGGCTCTCAGCACAGCTCGCCTGCTTGGCTCTGCGCCTCCTTTTCACGGGCACGCCCTCCTCTCGCGCAGCCCAGGGGTCTGTGGCAGCCACGTCCCTGACCCCAGTGGGCTCTGCCGCTTCTCCAGAGCCCTCGGTGGCAATGCCAGCCTCCCTGGCTACCTGGGGGTTGAGGTGCAGCTGGTCCCCCACATAGAGGAAAGTGAATTTGGCCTTGCGCTCCTCCACCGACATGCCAGCAGCCTCCTCTGCCTGAATGATGCCCATGTCCCACTGAGCCCTCAGCTTCCCGGAAATAGGTTTCAGCAGCTGTGAAGACAGACATCAGACATGGGGAGTTTTATTACATGAACATAAGACGTCAATCACTTCAAGACATCTTTATAATTTCAGATAGACTTAGAAATCAAAACCTAGTAAGACTAACCAACTTGGCAGGGTTTAGCTGCAATTCAGCCAATAATTATTGTTTCTTTAGAATTCCAATCACATTAACTAATGTGATCTAATATACATAAAAACGGAGATAAAAATTACAAAGTAAATTATTTCTAGGAGTCATCCACTGAGTAAAAGAAAAATAAGTTGTCTCTAAAGACACTTTCTATATTTTATAGCATACTTGGGGAAAAAGAAAACAATGACACAAAAAGTCATTTCAAACAGTTATGATCCAAACAAGATAAATAACATAAATAATAAAGATTAAAATCTTGGTCTGTGAGCTCACTGAAGGAACATCTACCACCTTGATTTTCTCGGCTTTTGTGGGTGCCTGCCTGGCACTTTCCTGGCATAACTTTTCAAACTGTCCTTCTCCTTCAAAAGCAACAAGGCTCTTCTCAAATATCCACGCTCTTTCTGGGGCATCACCAAAGAACTGTACGTGATACTGGCGTGCGCTCTTCTTTTGACCTTTATTTTTAAAATAGAAGGTTAGAACATCAACATTAGAATCTGGGGGGACTAAGATGACAAAATGTAATCCATTAACTAGTGATTTCCTACTGTTTATCTTTTTCTGTAAATCTGTATAACTTGTACCCTTTCTCTGCTTTTTTTTTTCTTTTTCTCCTTAAATAAAATTAAAAAAAAAAAAAAAAAAGAATCTGGGGGGAAATTAGGCAAGTCTATTGTGGTTTAGACATTGTCTTACTTGTTGCTGTGTGAGTCTATTACCCTCAGAAAGGTCCAGGCTGCATCCCAAGAGGGAACCTCACTGAGGAGAAACAAAGAAATTAACTGTGGTTCACCCCTGTAATCCCAGCACCCAGGAGGCCGAGTTAGGAGGATCTCTATGAGTTCAAGGCCAGCCTGTGCTGCACAGTGAGGTCTAGGCAGCCTGGAATACACAGTGAACCCGTTTCAAAAAAAGAAGAAAAATCCCAAAGATTAAAATTAATTTTAAAAGGGCTGGGGATGTGGCTCAGCATGAAAGGCTCATTACATGGAGTGGGGGGGGAGGGAGGAAGTGAGGATATGCAAAGCTGCGTAAGAAGAAAAGGACTGGCCAGACTCCTTCATCTCCTCCCTCTGGAGTCCCCTCAAGGAGAGGCCAGGCAAGAGCACAACAGACAGCATGAGCAAGGGGTACCATAATAGGGAGGGCACAATGACCGTGCAGGGGACATACAGCCAGGACACAGTGGCACCACTGCTATCACTCCTGGCTGAGGAAGAAACCACATCCCTCCCACTGGGCAAAGAGAGCCTAAATGGGGAAAAGAGACTCCAGGACCCCAAACCAAGGGGACGTAACCTGGGGGTGCCTCAGAGCCGACGTCAGAGTCAAGTAAGGGAAGCAGAGTGTCTGCAGCCCCTCTCCTACCCTTGGGAAGGAAACTCCCGAAGAAGCCTCTGCGCCAGCTCTCAGAGAGCCCCAAGGAGAAAAAGGCAGTGCTGGAGCCCCCACAGCCTCTGTGCCCTGCAGCCAGCCTCTGAAAAATGAGCCCCAACAGAGTTCAGGGCAGCCCTATGGAGCCCCAGGTAGAGCACAAGGAAGCAGACAGCCAGCAGAGACACTTTCTTAACTGGTGATGAAAAGAGCACAGGAAAAGAAACAAGCAGTCAAATTTTTAAAATACAACCAGGAAAACAAAATTCATCAAGAACACCTGAAAGTCTGGGTGCGGTGCACACTCTTTGTAATCTCAGTACTCTTGAGAGGCTGAGGCAGGAGAATCCCAAGTGTAACCCCAGCCTGAACAACTCAGTAAGACCCTGACTCAAAAAACAAAAAAAGATTTTGGGATATATCTCACTGTACAGGTTCCAGATTCAATCCTCCGTTCTGCCAAAAAAAATTAAAAGAGGGTTGGAAGATAAGAAATCTCTCCAAAAGAAAAAGATTAAAATGAAAAATATCTATTCCCATTAAAAATCTACAAGATCAATCCAGAAGGTTCAAAGCCCAAATAACATCTTCTTTGGAAAGAGGAACAGAGAAATTCCAAGAATTAACAGAAAATCACGCCTCGGAACTTAAACTGCCACTTAGGGCTTTACCCAATCCACACCCATAGCAAGGCACAGTTCTGTGAAAGCCACACCACAGACAGCAGGAAAAAGGACAGAAGCCATGAAAGAGGAGCAAATCATGCAGTGACAGGAACCTGTGGTGACAGGCTCCACAAGTACAGCCCCGAACTCTGGGTTCTAGAGGGAAGTGGAGCAGAACCTCTCAAAAGCCGAGGGGAATTATTCTCAGGGCAAGATTCATTGCATCTAAGGACAGAAAAGCAGCATTCTCTGAACCACAGGGACTCGAATTTATCTCCCCTACTTTACCCCGCAGAACACACACACTCAGAATTAAACCCAGGCCTCTCTTGTTTTTGAGACAAGTTGCCCAGGCTGGACTCCAAATGTAGAATCCACCTGACTCAGCTCCCCACGGTGCTGGGATCGCAGGCATGCACCACCTCAACCAGCTCCACAAACATTTTCTTTTCTTTTTTTGTCTTTTTGAGACAGGGTCTCCCTATGCAGTTCAGGCTGGCCTTAAGCTCACTTTGTAGCCCAGGGTGGTCTCAAACTCGAAATGATCCTCCTGCCTCAGCCTCCCGAATGCTGGGATTACAGGTATGAGCCACCACGCCTGGCTTACACAAATTTTCTGAGAAGGCCAAAATGTCTTCCTGGGGATGGGAATGCAGCACAATGGTACAGCACTTGCCTAGCAGCCCAGCTTCCATCCCCAGCACCACAAAATAAACAAAGAAAACGTGCCAAGAAAGAGGACAACATGCCACTACAGAAGACAACGTGAGTGACTCGGGCAGCGTGAGCAGCACACAAGGACAGCACCAACAAGCGGAACTGCACGGCCAGTGAGCCAACACTCACCAGGAGCAGAGGCAGCAAGAAAAAAGGCAGGACTCACACACAGGCTTTCTTCTTTTTCTTCATATGGAAAAGCAAACACAGTACACCTATCTGTACCAACAGAAGAAGCTACATGAAGGGGAGGTCTGGGGGCTTCAGCAGTATTGGGCAACTGTTGGGAGCCCTTGCAGCTGGAGATTGATCACATGTGTGGTGCTAAAGCAAGGCCAGCCCACAAAAATCAGAGACCAAAACAAGCTATGTAAACAAGTTGTTCCAACAGGAAGAAGGCAAGGGGCCCAGGCCTGCCAGGCAAACAAGTTGCTAGGCAGTGAGGTTGAAACTGACATTCTCTGGAGGCTATAAATCCATGTGCTATAGTGGTTGAGCAGTTCCCTTCAGGAGTTCCTATCAGGAGGATAAGGGCTCCACCTGACCCCAGCTTTGTCTTTTATTTTTCACATCCTCTCCAGGTCCTTAATCCTAAGAACCTCAGGAGCTGCATTGAATCTCGGTAGGCAATGGTGAGCTGTAGCCCTGGCCTTTTTTGAATTTTTTAAAGACAGGCTCTCACTGAATTGCTGAATGGCCTCCAATTTACAATCTGCCTGCTTGCACTTCCAATGTAACTAGAATAACAAGAGTGTGCCACCACAGCCACAGAAGGACAAGTTTCAAAGTCATGGGTTTGGGGGCCAGGGACACAGCTCAGCAGCACAGTGCCTGTCTGGCAAGTACAATATCCTGAGTTCAATTCCTGGTACAAAAAAAAAAAGTCAGGGAGATACATACTTAAAAAAACTAAGGCTTTCCAGATTGCAATAAATAACTCTGGAAAAACAAAAGATTGCTCAAAAATGCAGGGCTTAGCTCAGTGGCATAAGTGCCTGCCTGGCAAGCGCAAGGTTGTGAGTTCAATCCCTGGTGGAAAGAAAGAGAAAGGAAGGAAGAAAGGAAGGAAGGAAAGAAAGAAAGAAAAAGAAAGAAAAGGAAAGAAAGAAGGGCTGGGGATTTAGCTCAGCGGCATAAGCGCCAGCCTTGCAAGCAGACAGTCATGAGTTCGATCTCTGGTACCGATAAAAAACAAAAAAAAAGAAAGAAAGAAAAGTAAAAAATACGCAATTATGGAACACCACATGGCCTGAACTGGTATTTATGGAATTGAAATTATAATTACTTTTATTTAATAAAATAGTGGCTTAACTATATATGGAGAGAACGGAGGCAATGGTTGGAGAGTTTAATACTCATTTTCTATAATAAAAACTCAACAGAAAACACACAGAAATGACAGCTGCATTCGCCACGGCCCACCCCCTCACAGGAGAACATTTCAGCCTTCTGGGAAAATATGTGCAGAGCTGGGTGAGGTGGCACAGGCCTATGCGACCAGCACTTGGGGGACTTGGGAAGATTGCCACCCCCAGTTTGAGGCCAGTCTAGACTACACAATAACTGTCTCAAAAAACTCAAAAATAAAAAAATTCCCAGGGCCTCATAATACCAAATGAGTAATCTACCCCCTCATTTAGTACCATCTGATTTGTTTATAAGTGTGCAAACTTAATTTGAAAATACCCAAGATTCAGGAACATGTTAAGGGATCTGTGACTTCTTCCAGTAATTTCTTTGAGAGAGCTTTTTGAGACAGGGCCTCACTATACTTCAGGCTAACCTTGAGCTCACTATGGAGCCCAGGCTGGCCTTTGAACTTGCATCAATCCTTCCTCCTCAGTCTTTTGAGGGCTGGGATTACAGATGTGTGCCACCACACCCAGCTCTCCCATAATTTTAATACTATCAGAGAAGCCAGTCGTTGGTGGCACATGTCTACCATCCCAGTACTCTAGGAGGCTGAGGCAGGAATAAAAGTTTGAGCCCACCTTGGATAATGCAGCAAGACCCTATCTCAAAATAAAAAATGAAAAAAAGAGCTGGGAACACAGCTCAGAGCAAAGGCTCTGGGTTCAATTCTCAGTACTAATTAAGACAGATATATGAGCTGGGCGTGGTGGCTCACGGAGGCTGAGGTAGGAGGATCATAGCGAGTTCGAGACCAGCCTGGGCTACAAAGTGAGCTCAAGGTCAGCCTGAACTGCATAGCGAGACCCTGTCTCAAAAAAGACAAAAAAAAAAAAAAAAAAGACAGATATATGTCACAACAATTTTATAATGAAATTTTATAGCACATGTAATGAAATAATATGGACTTGAATTGTGTTTATAAATAAATGATACAAAGAATGATCTTGATATGTCATAACACAGAAGAGGCATTACTATACTCAAGTTTACAAAATACATAAATACTTTTTTAAGTTCTTTCCAATCTATGAATTTGATAACATAACCAAATTTTCTCCTTTGCAATGTCTTTAATCTGTGTAACTGTCTGTGGTCCACATGGAGAGAATTTACAGTTTGCTTTGTCTCATATCAGCCAGCTAGCTTAGAACAACTGTCTCGACCTTGCTCTGCTGTGCCCATGGCCAATCAACTTCCTCCCTGCCCATGTTCTCATTCCGGGCAGGTGCCTTGCAGGGGACTGAGCTCCCTGCCCCAACTCATGTGGCCATAGGATGCCCCACCCCTCTCTTCAGATTCTGTGGGACCTGTGGAGTTGAGCAGCCATCCCTGCATGCAGAATAGAGCCCACAAGAGATGAGGCTGGGGCTCCAGAAGGAAGAGCAGCCATAGATGCAGACCAGAGTTACACCCCAGAAGCAAGAAGGTATGATGCACAGAGCAAAGTCACAAGGACAAGAGATTAGACTGCTTACTGGGAATCAGCACAGCATGACCACGAGCTTCTCAGTTCATTCCCAGTGGGGGCGCCAGAGCCCCACAATAGGCCAAGCAGAAATTGAAGGAACTACCAGCAGAAAATGGCCACCCACTATCCAGGTGGGGAATTCTCTAACAGCTTTGTATAAACAATAAAAAACCTCAGACACAGTGTTGAGCCACAAGCCAGAAGACCTGCTGTTGGGGACTGTGCTCAGTGCTCAGGACCAGATCTGGAAGTGGTCCCTGCATGTACCTGGCTCCAGGGCCACAGATGATACCATCCTATCAGAGGGGTAACAAATGCTACTTCCCTGTCACACTGCAGACCTGTAGCCTGATTAATCTCACCCTTGGGTTCCAGCTTCCCTGGGGAAGGAACCCTCCCTTTCTGGCAAGCCCAAAAGTCCATGGGGGACAAGACCAAAGAAAGCAGCAATGTTGTGGCACTCATCTGCCTCTGAGCCTCTCGTACAGCACAGCCACCCACAGGCTGTGGAGCCACTCTGGTCTCCACCACCCTGGCCCAACCCTTCCAATCTATGTCTACACAGCCCACAGCACTGCCGTCCCTGACTCCCCACAGTTGCCTGGTTCACAGCCAGTCAAACAGACCTGTGTGGCACACAGGCGACAATGTGAGGACCCAGGCCTAGTGGGGGCAAGCCAGTTGTCACAGAGCGCAGGCCTCCAGCAGAGGCCAACAGAGGACATGACTGTGCGGCCCAGAGGCCTGGCCAGGCAGCAAGCTGCAGAAGCTCAGCCCGAACTCATACCATCTCATCTCCTGCAGATCAAATTTCAGCTTTACTAGGGAGGAACTGTCTAGAACAACCTCAAACTAGCCAACCTTTGTTTACATTTCCTCCAAAACTATTTGCTCTCTACTGATGACATGTTCTTCAGCTGTTCCATCACCAATTTAACTACCTTGATTTTGTAAGACATTGATGACCATTTCTAGCCATTTGCCTCTTCCCACCAGTCTAAAAAAACAAACCTAGACATTTTAAGTCAGAAGTACTAAATACAATTTGTTAACCACACTGAAATAAGTGCTAGTCAAAAAACACATTCTTTTTCTTTTTCTTTTGGTAACAGGGATCGAACTCATGACCTTGCACTTGCCAGGCAGGCACTTGTGCTGCTGAGCTAAATCCCTGACCCTTCAAATAACAAATTCTTTATATAAAACCTGAAAGTAGTACAAGGCCAAACCATTTTTATAACCCTAATTCAGCCAGATGAAGTACGTTATATTTAAGAAATAACAGAGTAACCAGGTGTGATGGTGTACACTTGTAATCCCAACACTGAAGAAGCTGAGGCAGAAGGATCACCGCGAGTTTGAGGGCAGCCTGGGCTGCATAGTGAGTTCAAGGCCAGCCTGAACTGCATTGAGACCCTGTCTTAACCCCACCCCAACCCCAAGAAAGAAATGATAAGTGTTTCACATCTAAATCACTGACCTCAGGAAAAGTTACAAAAGTAAACTAGTGCCAGGGATTTAGCTCAGTGGCTTAAGTGCTTGCCTGGCAAGCATGAGGTTGTGACTTGGATCCTGGTACCCAAAAAAAGTGAACTATTGTAGGGCCAGTTAAGAAGTATAGGCAAGGAGCATGGAGATGAGAAAGATTACATGCAGCCAAAACCCCAATACCTTTAAGTTTGGTGTAGCTGTGGAGGAGTGGATCAACAGAAACCATGCAAGGCCACCAAGGATAACCCGACACTTTGGACCACACCAAGTCACCCACATTGTATTTCAACAGGTGATCTTTGTCTCTGCCAGTGTTTGGACAGGACTCTTTCTTAACTGGAATCTGCAAGGGAACAACAAAAGATTAATCAGGCTACAGGTCTCAGCACACATGGAGGGCTGGGGGTATAGCACTTGCTTGGCATGCACAAGGCCTGTGTCTATCCCCAATACTGCCAAAAAAACAAGCCACACAAACACAGACCCTAACGAAGGTGCGGTCCTTTTGCTGTACTTCAGTTCACAGCTCCAGTCTCTCTCATGACCGCTGCCCTGACCTAAAGGGTCTGTATTGGGCCTGGCACAGAGACAGCCCAGCATTAGCAAGACTACTAGTCAACTCCTTAGTCTGGTACAGTCTTTTCATGGTGCTTGAAGCCCAGAAGTCCAAATCCACATTGGCCCAGCCTCCAGCCAGCTGTCCATCAATCTCTGAGAGCTTGTGCTTCACCCAACAGTGAGGCCCTCTGCTCTACATTCAACGTTCTGAGCCTTCGCTTCTCCCTGTACCACTCTGAGCTTTGCTCTCTAGTGGACATGAGCATAGCAGCAGGGCCACAGCCTCTTGAGGGTGAACCCCAAAGAGCAATACAACTGTTTCAGGCCTCAGTTTCCTCCTCTGTGAGCTGAGAGTGACACCCTGAAATTAAACTCTCACTGGCTGTTAGAGAAGCATGAGCATGGAGACACAGGCTGTATAGTCACCACATTACATGCTTTCAAGAGATGTCAGCACAGAGATGATCCCACAGCATCCTGGCCGTACCCCACCATGCAGGCAGAAAGTCAAAATGCAAGTAACTTCCCCAAGTATTAACAAGACCAAGCGGCAGAGCTAGGAGTAAAAACCAGATTGCTAGCAACTTGTACCATAAAAAAACATAAGGTTCACAGCAACCAGTTCCAAAACCCATATAAATGGGTTTTCTTAAACAGCCTGCCTTTGAAATTAGATGGGCCAAAGTGGCTCCTGAACACTCAAAAACAGTTTTAAGTCCTTCCACTCTTGATGTAATTTTAAGGATTCCAAAGAAATGTCAACAATTCCTCCTGTGTGTGAAACTCCTAAAGGAAATCCCAACTGTAATTGTAAACTCGTCGTTTACAACCTTATTGTGGCACAACTCATACCCCTCAGGGGTTCCCTGCCACACTCCTCTCAGAAGCCTGGCTATGGCCCACTGAGTGGGAATGGGGAAGAGCATCACCTGGCATCCCTCCTTCCCTCTGCAGGGCCAAGGTCCTTCGGCTGTTTACCTCCTGGCCTATCCTCCTGGAAGTGTGTGACAAAGCATCTGCAGAATAAACAGGATCCAGCAACCTCTACCTGAAGGCAGGACTCCTTCCAGCCTGGGGAGTATACCTGTGTTCACCAGTGTTTGGAATGCCAGGCTCTGCCCTGAGAACCAAGAACCAAGTCCTCCAGGAAGAGGTCATCTGGTGGACCACTTAGCAGAGGAAAAGGCAGCCGCTCAGATCTCTGCACGGCATAGCACAGATTGGCTCCTACCCATCAGTAGCACAGACATCAGTCTCACATGAGGCCCAAATATCAGCCTGCAGAATGCTTCCAGGGGGCAGACCCAGGGAAACAGCACAAGCTAATGGCATCCAGCGAGGGCCAGGGAATGGGCAGACCTGGGTTCAAAAATTGGCACTGCCTCCTTTGAGTCATTTTAATCCCAAACACCTAAACTCTTACACCTAAGTGGCCCACAGCCAAGACTCAGCCAGCAGCAGCCACGTAGGGCCAAGACCGCTGGTCACACTAGGCCTGTCCTCCACAGCCTCTGGCCACCATCACAGATGCAGAGGTGTGTCACATGGTCCTGTTGTTACAGCACCATCAGGACATGACCAAATCCCTCACACATACCTTCTTATCTGCAGGACTCGAGATCTTGGACACCAGAGCTGCTTCCACGAGGCCTTGCTCCAGTAAGGAGTCATACTTTATGCTTCTCTTTCTGCTCCTCCTCACCTTGCTCTCTGATTTCTGCCCATCTTCTTCTGACTGAGACACATCAGCAGTACTATCACCACAGATAGAAGATTCGAAAAGAGGTTTCCCATTCATGTATGTTTTGGTGATCTTTAGCTTGATTTCTGGAGAGCCATTTTTGATAGGAGTAGTGTTGGGTGGTGTTCCAATTCCTTTTGCTTCCTGGGACTCAAAACACAATTTGGCATCAGGAGCACCAGGTTCGCCATTAAACACACAGGAAGTAAGATCTTTCAGCTTCTCGGCTGGAATAAAGGGAAGCGCGTCATGGCCATTAAACTTCTGCATGACCCCCTCCTGTAGGCTGTTAGAAAGCTGAGCTTTGCTGAGGAATACAGAACAGTCACGATTCACTTCACAGTTCTGAGTCTTTCCATTGGTACTGCCAAGGATTTCTGGTGCCTGCTTCATCTTTATGCACTTTACAACTTTCTGCACAGAAAGAGGACCTTTTTTGATGCTAAATTCCATCCAGCTGAGACGTGTCAGTTCTTAGAACACTACATAATAGGGGGGAGGGAAAGCAACATATTACACTTAAAACCTAGGGTAAAAAGTTAGAAATCACATTCCTGCAATTTCTGAAATAATAGCAACTGAAGTAAAGAGATAACTTAGTGCTTATACTGTTTGATAAATTTTGCATGCCTGTATCTCACCCAGAACAAGTCCAGGAGACACGAATATAAAGGAAATCAGGAGGCACACACCTGAATTTCTCAGATAATGGCAACTGTACTATATAGAAAGAACTTAGTGCTTGTGCTGGTTCACTGACTTTGCACACCTGTGCCTGGTGGTCCAAGCATCTATTTAGAGTATAACAATGTGCACAACAGTGACTATGGTTGATTTCCTACTGTCTTGGGTTGGTTTGGTTTGGTTTGGTTTGGTTTTTAGTAGTACCAGGGATCTTATTGCCTTGGGGTTTTTTTTTGTTTTTGTTTTGGTATATTTACCGGTACCAGGGATTGAACTCATGACCACACACTTGCAAGGCAGGCGCTTATGCCACTGAGCTAAATCCCCAGCCCCTACTGCCTTGTTTTTAAAATCTGATCCTAAACCTTGATTCTACATTTGTTGTTTTGCTTTGTTTCATTGTTTGATTTTTCTTTTCTCCTCTTTAAAATAAAAACTTTTAAAAACCTACGATAAGTATGCCAACACCTCTACCATATAGCTTTATGGAAGTTGAACAAGGGGGGGCTGAGGCAACTTATGATTTTTATATAATGAATTAGGTTGCCGGAGGCAACTGTAATGCCACAAAAATGATAAAGCTGAAAGAAGGTCACAAGAAATCATTTGTAAAAGGGGTAATATGACTGTCAGGACAGCAAATCCCAAGCTGCCACGACTACCTATAATCAATGTGACAGAAACACAACTTAACCTGTGTATCTGCTCTTGACACCAGATTACCACGCACTTCACAGCACAGGGACATTTGCAAAGAGCTGGTGTCAACCCCCAACACCAGAAGAAGAAAAAGAAGGATCAATGCATGTGGACAGCTCACACCAGACCTAGGAAAGGATAACAAGGGAGAGCACAGCAAAATCAACACTAGTGGCAAAGAGCCATGCAAGTGCTTCTACCAAAGCTGAGGACTCTGGAGCAGGCCAAGGTCACCTGCTCAGCAAGGTTTAGAATCAGATCTTCCAGCTCCTGACACAGTACAGCCCCAGACTGATGAGGAGGAAGAAAGCAAAGGAAAAGAAAAAAGAAAAGCAAGAGAGAGTGACCATGCAGACACACGCCCAGCGAGCTCAAGCCTGAGCGAGTCCAGTGCTCTTCCCTCTGCTCAAGCCCTCCTTGCACAGGCCCAGACTAAAACTTCAAGTCAGGGACAGCGTGTACAATGACAGCAAATGTAGTTTTACACATTTCATTCATCTGTCACCCCAAGTTTTGCTATCAAGGGCACCACTGCTGGGCTAAAGAACACATGACCCTGCCCCAAGAAGCAAAGAGTGTGCCACACTGCCCACGCAGGGCCGAAGCACAGAGGGGATAGTTTACTACCCTACCTGCTGGCTGCACATGGAGTGGTGACATGGAACCTTCACTGCACAGCACTAATCCCCACTAGAAACACCAATAAGGGACATAACCTCCAAGCAGGGAACAGACGGAGGCCACCCTGCTAGGAAGACCGAGATCACAACATCTAGACTCCCAACAAAATCCTCAGAGAAGGCAGCAGCTAACTGTGCCAGCACTAGGGGAACACCTGAAAACAGGAAGGCTGGAGGTGCCCACACATGAAGACCGTGCAGTTCTCTCTGGTGTGACTCTGCTCCTTGGGGAGCAGAGCCCTACTGGGAAAATCTCACCACTTGGGCACTACTACTGCCTATCTCCTGAAGAGAGGAGAGCCTGCTGCTAAACATCCTTCAATGATCAGAATAGTGCTCACAAAGAACCATCTGACCCACAGTGTCCACAGGTCCAGATGGAGAGAAAATCTGACATCAAAAAAGAGTCACTGGTGTCTCCACAGAAGAACTACAGCGCTGAGGGAGGGGACACTAAAAGAAAAGCAAACAGCCCAAGCGCCAGCTTAGCCTCATGTGTAACACGAAACACACATAAAAGTATATTGTTTTAACCTTTGTTCAATGTATTTATTATTGCAGTGCTGAGGACTGAACCCAGGGCCTCATCGTGCAATTGAGCTACATGCTCAGCCATTTTTAAATTTATCTTTTGAAAGGGGTCTCACTATGCTGCCCAGGCTGGCCTCCAACTCACAATCCTCCTGTCTCTGCCTCCTGAGTGTCCCCACCATACTCAGCCACATCACAGATATAAAGACACGTGTATCAGGAGGCTCCACTTGCAGCACATGTCACAGACCATCCCATGGTGAAAGCCTTCATGAACTATGGGAAAAACACCTGGAGGGGTGAAACCTCACAACACACCAAGTTCCAGGCTGACACTTGTACATAGCAGATTATAAGCATCCAAGCTTATAAAATAATAGGGTTCCAGGCAGAAAACCCCCACAAGAATATAACAGAATCCAGTGCCAGTATATCTATCATCCATGATACTGTATCTAAGATATTATCCAAAATTGCTAAACATACTAAACAGAATACAAACTAACTCCCAAATGATCCAAATACTAAAATTTAGCAGACAAAGTATCTATTACAGTAACACTCAAGGAAATAAGGAAAATACAGTCTTAACAACAACAACAAAAAAAAAAAAAATTAGAAATTACAACACAGAAAAAGAAACCAAAAAATACCAAATAGAAACTCTGTAACTGAGAAATACTATATCTGGTTATCAAAGCATCAATGCATGGGCTCAACAGCACACTGGAGACAAGTCAAGAAACTTAAAAATAGATCAATAAAAAGTAGAATGAGGTCCAAAAAATTAAGATAAAAAGGAACAAGCTTCAGCATTCTGAGCAACAAAGTCACAAGTCTGAATTCCCACCAAGGAGAAAAAGGATGAGGCAGAAAAAATATTTTGAGGGAAAAAAAATAGCCAAAAATTTCCCCCAATTTGATGAGAGGCAGAAAAGAGACTGAAGATGTGGATGTAGCTCAATGCTCCCTGGGTTCAATGCTCAGTACTCCCAAAAATTTTTTTAAAAGGCCTTTACATTTTGAGAGAAACACAAAGTCATCAGCACCAGACAAACACTACAAAAAAGTGCTAACGGAAGCTCTTCAAACTTGGAGGGAAAAGGAACCATGCTGAAACTTGGGTCTTTAGGAAAAAATTACAGGTTCTAAAAATAAGTAAATGTAACACTATTTGTTCCTATCAGTTTAACACTGGTACATCTAAGGCAAACTGTGTAGTCCTGTAGGTGCTCGGATTTATGTAACTGTAACATACATAACTAAGCTTACTATAAGGAGTTGTAAACCTAGGGTCTTATATTTAAATAAAATGATACAACTGTAACATTAAGCAGACTAAGATGAGTTATAGGAACAAACTACAATGGCAGCTAAAGTATCAACGATAAAAATAAAGTATCAGAAATAAGACAGATTAATATGCGCAATCCCAAAAATTAAAGTGCAGAGTATTTTATACTACAATTGGGTTTCTGGCATCTCTTAGAATTTACTAAGGTCATATGGCTAGGAAGTCATGGGGCAGGATTTAATTCCAAACCTACCTGTTAAACAGAGTGGATGGCCGGGCGTGGTGGTTCACGCCTATAATCCCAGCTCTCGGGGAGGCTGAGGCAGGAGGATCGTTTTTTTTTTTAGTTCGAGACCAGCCTGGGCTACAAAGTGAGCTCAAAGCCTGCCCAAACTGCATAGAGACCCTGTCTCAAAAAAAGACAAAAAACAAAACAAAACCAGACTGGATGAGAACTACTTTGCAAGGCTGCTTGTTCCTTTTTTTTTGGTCTTTTTCGTTTTTATCGGTACCAGGGATTGAACTCATGACTGCCTGCTTGCAAGGCAGACACTTATGCCGCTGAGCTAAATCCCCAGCCCCAAGGCTGCTTGTTCCTGCATGTATTTTGAGGCATCTTTAAATGCTGAACTTGCTAAACGAATAAGGTTAAATACCTGGTACTTGCTGGTCTTCCCTTGGGAATCACTGTCTTTTTCCTTTCTGGGGGCCTGTTTCTTGTGTGTGCTGACACTTTTCCTCCCAACCTGGCTATGGCAGGCTCATTTTCCTATGACCCTGTCTGAAGGCTTCTGGAGAGGTCCAGTCACTGAACACGCCACTAATCTTTCTAAAAGGTTTTCTCTTTTTTTCTTTCAGTACCAGGGACTGAACCCAGGCCTTTGTGATAAACTACATCCTAGCTCCCCACCCCCACCCCCGGCTTTTTAAAAAAAATTTGAGTTGGTCCTGCTAAATTGTTAAACTGCCTAGGCTGGCTTGAATTTGGGATCCTCCTGCCTGCATCTTCCAGAGTGCTGAGATTACAGGCCTATGCTACCACACCTGGAAAGTTTTGGGGCATTTTGTTTTGTTTTTTTAATCAAAACTACACCAGCAGCCGGGCATGGTGGCTCACACCTATAATCCCAGCACTTGGGAGGCTGAGGTGGAAGGATCATTGCGAGTTCGAGACCAGCCTTGGCTACAAAGTGAGCTCAAGGCCAGCCTGAACTGCATAGGGAGACCCCATCTCAAAAAAGAAAAAAGAAAAAAAAAAAAAACTACACCAGTAGCCAGGGATTTAGCTTAGCGGCATAAGCGCCTGCCTGGCAAACTTGAGGTTAAGAGTTTGATACCGAGGGGCTGGGGATTTAACTCAGTGGCATAAGCACCTGCCTTGCAAGCAGGCAGTCTTGAGTTCGATCCCCGGTACCGATAAAAAAGAAAAGACACAAAAAACAAAAACAAACAAACAAACAAAAAAAAAAAAAAAACCAAGAGTTTGATCCCGGTACCAAAAAAAAAAAAAAGAAAAAAAAGAAAAACGTAAAACCTAATAAAGCTAATATGAGGTTAAAAAAAAAATTTAAAAGCCCAGTAACTACAGAAAAAACAATAAGCAGAGTCAAGCCCAGAGAACTTCACTTGTGAGCTTCTCCACTCCTTTGGTGAGCAACCTTTGTACACAAGGAAGACCACAAGGGACAGAGGATATTCTCAGACGCCAGACAGCACAAAGAACTCTGGGACAAGCACACAGCCCCACCAGCCTCTGCTCCAGCCAGCTCTAGGTCCTGTTGGCAGGAAACCAATCATGACCATGTCTTGTTTTAGATGCCTTTTGTGGCTCCTGCTTTGTAGCCATCTCCAGCACAAGAGGCAGGGAGACGGTGGGTGGGCAGCCCACCCCAGCTCAAGCAAAAACCCAGGCTGTGCAACACCATCCCACTCCACCAGGCAGGCACTCAAACCCACATGCTCTCTCAAGCACCACCTCCCACAGGATAAAGTCCTTAGATCCCCACAAATCCAGGCCCAGTGTCACCACCCTGAGCTCCCACAGGGTCCCACAGGTCTGCAGTATGTTCTGTCAACATACACATGTTGTATGTGGCCAAGTCCAAAACTGCTACCCTGTGATACTCTGTGCCCTGCTTCTGACCAGCCGACAGCCTTTATTTCCCTGTGCTGATATGCATAAATACAGCTGAGACAATTCCACACAGACTGTGTATTAATCATCATGTAAGCATTTCATTCCTATTAAGTTATTCATAGATGGAGGAAGCATACAATGTAGAAAATGATGAAAAGTTTCCTACAATATTATGCAAGGCTGGCACAATCCTCCTACGAAAACTAGAGGGGGAAAAAAGACATGACTTAAAATCAGCCTATCAAATTTTAATAAATCATAAAAATAAAAGGAAATCAACCCAAGGGGTCTAGTGTTAAAATAATTTGATACTATTGATCAAAGGATTTATCCAAAAGTATAAGGACGATTCAGTATTGGGAACCAATCAGGCATGGAGGTGCCACCTATCATCCTAGTGCTGGGGAGGCTGAGGTAAGAGGATCACAAGTTCAAGTCCAGTCTGAACTACACAGTGAATTCAAAACCAGCCTGAGAGCCAGGGATTTAGCCAGGCAGCATAAGTGCCTGCCTGACAAGAACGAGGTTGTGGGTTTGATGCCTGGTACCAAAAAAAATAAAAAGCAGCCTGAGCTACATAGCGAATTCTGTCTTAAAAAAAAAACAAGTTGCAAACTTTATTAATGTTGTTATCACGTTAGTGTATTATAGAAGATTTCTGGTAGAGGTGGCTGAAATATTTTTTTTTAAAGATAGCCATCTTGCTGAATTCAAAGCAAGGAAAGAAAACCCCAGCTCCAGAAATAAAGATGGAACCACAGTTCAAGTTTTGTGGGGTGCAGGCAGTCCACAGTGGTTGGAAAACAGACAAAGCACCTGAGCAGGGGCCTCACCTAGCCTGATGAGCCCTTGGCAGTGTGTCACAAAAATCCTAGGGGCACTGGCTGTAGTGTTCAGGCACAGAGTCTGTGCCCCAACTCTGCAGCTCACCCAGCTTGGGACCCTGGTCACGTGACCCCCACCTCCCTCTCAGCCCACGTCCTGGGACAGCAGATTGTGAACACAGAGGATGAGAAGGTTCTGCCAGGAAGGACTCTCCCTCCCTAGGGCAGTGGGCATCACTGAGCCCACACACGAGGAAGCTGAGGACTGGGCCCTCAGCCAACACCAGTGAGGTCTCTGAGAGTCTGAATCCCACACCCCCACCTCAGAAGACTGTGGCATCCCAAAACCTGACGCAAGGACTGATGTCAAGACAGATTCCAAGAGTGGCACCTACAGCCCTGCCAAGTAACCCAGAGACAGATCCTAGAAGCCCCTGTGACCTCCCTGCTGAGAGAAGCTGGGGCTGGAGACACAGCCCTTGCCCATGAGGGTTCCCAGGGAGCCAGTCCTAGGGTGCCCAGGAAGATGCTCTGCAGAACAAGAACAAGAAATTACTGTTTTCATTAACTTTAGACTTGGAAAGGAAAAACAGGCACTGAAATAAACTCAGTTGTTATAGCAGACCAGACACAGCTAAAAATATAGTAAGAAAATAAATCTGAGCAAATCACCAAGGAAAAAGCTGATAAGATGATGAAAAACATTAAGTGGGACTAAAGACATAACATTCATGTTTCACTCTTTCAAATGTTTGGAAAACCCACTGTATACCAGACACTATAGTTCGGCCTGAGTGACTTAGCAAGTCTGTCTCAAAATTAAAACATGGAAAGATCGTTCATTAGCACAGCTCAGAGTGAAGGCCCTGGGTTCAGTCCCTAGGAAGAAAGGGAGGGAGGGAAGGACAGGAGGAACACAGGCAAGCAAGTAGTGCCTGACTGCATTTATTTGAGGAACCTAGTAGAGAAAAATCATAGAAACAGAATGGCTGTAGCTGGGGGCTGAGGAAGGGAAATGGGGTGGGGTGAAAGTTTGGGCAGAAGAAAAAGTTCTGGAGAGGGATGGTGAGGATGGCTGCAAAGCGCGAGTGTGCCTAATCCCACAGAAGTGCATACACTATGGCTTTTGCATGGCTTTGCTCAAGATGGAACCCAGGGCCTCATGCATGCCAGGCAAGGACTCTTCTCGTTGCCTCACTGCCAGCCACTATGGTATTGTAACATAGTACCAGGCACCTCCATAGCACAGAAGATAACAAAGTTTACTTTCGAGGAACTCGCATTCCCAAGGAGTTCTAGATGAGATCAGAAGTGTGGAGAAAAGGGGATTCTCAAAGCAATGACAATTAAACAAGACTTGGTTTTCAGGTTAAAAGAACTCCCTGGGCTCTGACCAAGATAACAATAAATCAATGCCTATCACACTGCAACCACAGCGCAGGAAAGGTAAAAGAAAAATCTTAAAAGCCCATATGTACATACCCCAGTACCACACACAAAAAAAGAAAAAGTGACTGCCTAAACAGTAACCATAGTTCTGGGCTTAGCCTCAACATGGAGTGCAGACATCTGGTTATTATGCCAAGAGCAAGGGGAAAATCATCTTCCACCTAGCTAATTTACCATCCTCCACGAAGCACTGAAAGACCCTGTCTCAGAATAAAGCAACACAAAAGGTAAAAAGAATAAGAGGCTTCCTTTTCCATACTCCATTCCTTCTAAAAATTTCTTTTTTTTTTTTTTTGTACCAGAGATCAAACTCACAATTTTGCAATTGCCAGGCAGGGTCTTGTACCTACTGAGCTAACCTCTCAACCCCTAAGAATCCCAATTTAAATGACAACAGACATTTTTTTAAAAATGTATGCCCAGAAAGACAAAGAGAACACGAGGGATAGGATGTTGAACCAGGGCCTGGATATGGCTCAGTGGCACTGCATTTGCCATCCACATGTGAGGGCCTGGGTTCCACCCTCAGCACTGCGCACACACACATCCCACCCTTATACTGCTCTCCTTTATTTCCTCCCTTTGTCTAATAACAGACACTCTTCTACTTTCTTGCTATCTCTTCTACAGTCCACATGGTAAGAAGGACACATACAGTATTTTCTTTCTGGGTCTGTCTTATTTCATGCAACACAGTGACCTCCAGATCCACCCATTTTCGTTCTTTTTGTGGCTGAGTAATATTCCACTGTGTATTTTCATGCCACATATCCTTTATCTGTTCGTGGGCACCCAGGCTGGCTCCATATCGTGGCTGCTGTTTACTGGGCTGCATTAAACAGGGCCCTCGGGCTCCTGCTGTACACTGATCCTAACTGCTTCTGGTGTACAGTGAGGAGCGGTACAGATGGATCAAATGATAGTTCTGGTTTTGGCTTTTTGAATGATCTTTGTACTGGTTTCTGTAACAGCTGTACTAATTTACATTTCCACCAGCAGGGTAAAAGTTCTTTTCCCCGCTTATCCTTGCCAGTATTTATTGTTTTTTGTATTTTTGACGATAGCCATACTGACTTGAGGTAAAAATTCTCAATGTTACTTTGAACATTTTTGCAAAAACTTATTGGCCAGCAAATGGCTGTGTTTAGGGACTGCACAATGAATCACTTTGACTTCAAAGACTATGTACCATGTGAACACCCATGTTAAGTGGCTGGAGCGCTGAGCAGCCTCTGCTGGATCTCATGGAACAGATAGGGTCCAAAACCTTTCCCAATGTCTCAGAGAGAAAGGGACCTGGGCAGCAGCCGTCACTGCTCAAAGCAACCATGGTCACCAGGCCCTGTTCTAGGACTGAAACAGAGTAATAAACAAAATGCCTCCTTTATGTCATGGAACAAATGGTCTGGACGAGAGAAATTAAGAAATACAAGATACGACATACCGGAAAAAGAGGAAGGCAGGAGGGAGCAGGAAAATCACCCTTTACTCTGGAGGCCTCCCTTTCGCTAGATGTCAGCCACAGCCAACCTCGCATTCTGTGACTCCAACCACAGTCCCCTTGGGAAGATCCCGACACTGTGGGGAGGGCTGCAGAACTAGCCCCAGAGCCAGGTGGTGAGACAGGTCAAGCACCGAGCCCTCCTCTAGCAGCTGATGACAGATATCAGCTGAAAACCTAAGCTTGCAAAACACAATTTACACACACCTGAGCTTCCTCTATTTTCTCACATCTCACCCCAATCTACCCAACACTCATTCTGGCGCAGCCACAGCTGAAAGTCAGTAGAACCTCTGTTCTTTAGGACAAAGTGACCTCCAAGGAATGGAGTAGCGTTTGCTAGTAACAAGGTACCAGGCTTTGACCACTGTTACTCCAACATTTTCTCCTAAGTTTACCCTTAAAAAAAGCTCAGATTCCCCCACAGCAAGTGTGCTTATCCTGTAGGAACACACCCACAGGAAGAACTGTGTAACTGGCCTACTTCCGTTTTTGTTTAGCCTGTGAAACTTTGCTTTCCTCCTTCAGATCCATCTTCACCTGATGGTGCATAAGCTCATACACTCCCTTTTCCCAATTGGTGAGTTTTTCCCATTATACTCTGTGATTTCTTGTTTTGGTTTGGTTTGCTTTGGGTTGCCTGAGACATGGTTTCTCAATGTAGATCAGGCTGGCCTCACTCATGGCACTCCTCCTGCCTCAGCCTCCTGGGTGCCACAATTACAAGCATGTGCCACCATGCCTGGCTTACTCTATATACTCTTAAGGAAATATGTCAAGTCCTAGTCCCCCTCAGGCGCTGCTGGTAGGGACGTTAAATTGTGCAATTGCTTGAAAGAGTCCAACAGCTCCCCAGAAAGTTAGCCAGATGGCAATGTGCCTTGGCAAGCCCACTCCTAAGCACCCGCCAACCAGCAGAAAGCATGGGCTCACAAGGGTATGCACAGTAGCATCCACAGTGGCATTCACCATTCTGACAGCACAGGCCACCTGAATGTCTGTAGACTGAGGAATGGTAAACAGATTTGATCTATCCACACAAAGGGGGTTACTCGCCCATAATGCACGAGGTGTACCATGTTAGGCTGTGACAGGGATGAACCTCAAAACATCAAGCTAAAACAAAAAGAAAAAAATCAATGGTGAGCATCAGATTGTGTGTTCGACTCCCGGTACCCAAAGAAAAAAATCACGCTAAGGGAAGGAAGCCAGACACAACCACTCATACCCCATTTATATGAAATGTCCCAAACAGGCAAATCCATAAAGCTAAAAAGCAGAGTCGATGCTAGGGCAGCGGGGGAAGGGGTAGGAAGTGACTGTGTAATGGCAGAGGGTTTCTTACTGGGATGATGAAAATGTTTAGGAATTAGGTAGTGGTGATGGTTGCACAACACTGAATATATTAAAAACCACTGAACTGCAGCCATGAAATGGTTTATAAATGACAAACTGTATCTTGCTAAAAGGATGTCCAGGGCTTGGGGTGCAGCTCAAGGGCGAGCACTTGCCAAGCACACGTGCAGCCCTGGGATGGATCCCCAGCACTGCCAAAAAAATTTTTAAAAACCCACCTCTTCTGTTGACTGCTGAATGAGAGGTACTATAAACATTAAGCTATCTCGGTCACACAGCTGTAACATGTTTCCCTGTTTTCAGCTGAGCTATACTGAGAGTACAATGTACCTTTCCAAATGCAAGAGGGCACCTGCTCTGCAGGCTGCACCAGCTTAGTATCCACAATAGCCAACCCTGCGCCACCAATGCATGCCAAAGACAGACATCACAGGGCTCACGCTGATAGGGATGGGGCTGCAACCGACTACCAAGTTGAGGTCCTCTGTGTCTTTCAAGCACAGGCAGAGCCCCAGTCAGGTCCCCAAGCAGAGAACCACCAGGCTCCCTGAGGAGCCTGAATTTGAAAGCAGAGCACCAGGACCTTGGAGGATGTGGCACAGAATAGAGAATGGGAAGGATCTCAGAAAGAGCATGCCCATCCTCAACCAATGCACCCTCTTCCTTGGGAGGTGTGGGTCCCGGACGGCTCTGGCTCTGGCTCTGGCTGGGTGGGTGAAGAACAGTGTAGAGAGAACTCTGGTCTGTGGGCTTAGCCTATGTCTTCTGCAGCTTGGAAGGACGTATGCTCTGTCACCAAGAGGCCCCAGCTCAGCAGGGAGACTGTGTTACCATATTTTAACTTGAGCCATGTGGAAGTTCTCACAGTTTCAAAGAAATACTATGAAAATGTAAAAATATTTCCAAAGCAGTTAAAAATTTCAGCAATCTCCAAAACATTCATAGTTGATAAGGAGACAAGAAATGGCTAGATACTATGGGTCTCCTACAGGCTTGCCAAGAAGAGAAGACAGACAGGAAGAAGCTATCAGATGTGCCCTGGGAGGCTGAGGCAAGAGGACCATGAGTTCAAACCCAGCCTGGGCAATTTGGCAACAAGACCCTGTTTCAAGTTAAAAAAAAAAAAAAAAAAAGGAAGATAACAAAATAAGAATTTTTAAAAGAACTGGGAATGTAGCTCAGTGTGAAGGCCATGGGTTCAACCCCTATTACCAAGGGAAAAAGAGATATAAGAAAAAAGATATAAGAACAGGCCGAGGGTTTAGCTCAGTGGTGTAAATGCCTGCTTGGCAAACACAAGGTCATGGGTTCAATCGCCAGTACAGAAAGAAAGAAAGGAAGGAAGGAGAAAAAAAGAAAAAATGTCAGGAAAAATGGATAGTGAGATGAGAAAGTAGAAAAAGGGAAAAGGACAAGGGGATTGGGGATTTAGCTCAGTGGCATAAGCACATGCCTTGCAAGCATGCAATCGTTCGATCCCCGGTACCGATTAAAAAAAAAAAAAGGGAAAAGGACATGAAAGGGGGAGAAGGGAGGGATGAAAGGAAAAGTAGAGAAAAAGGAAAGCAAGAGGTAGGAAAAAAGGGAAATAAAACAATGTTAATGGCACATCCACATAAGAGCCCCGAAAACTTAGGAAAGAAACAAGTGAGGACTGTCCCAAAGGAAAAGGCTGAGTGACCCCTTAAGGGTGTCCACAAACTGATCTGTGGCCGCCAGAAAGGACATCTCAATTACAGCTTACAAGCAAGAACTCCAAGTTCTTGAAGAGCACACTGTGCTCCTGAAAGTGATGCCTTCAAATTTTTCAGGAAAAAATTACCTCCAACCTAAAGGCTACACCCAGTTAACAGGACACGTAAGGTTTCAAATAATGTTTCCTCCCACGCTTTAGCACATCTATGAGGCGTGTCACCATATGGGAGGGTAAACAAAGGACAGGACCACCAAGAACCCAGGAACACAGGCTCTGCCTCAGAAGAGAGCATCGATGGGGGTGCAGTATGGAGGGAGTACAGTCCCCTGTTCAGAGAATGGTCAGCAAGAGAAAAAAGACAAGGGCATAGTGACACACCTGTAATCCAAGCACTAGCACTCTGGGAGGCTGAGGCAGGAAGATTGAAGCCGAAGCCCAGCCTGGGCAACTTGACAGCTCAGTGAGACCCTCTCTCTCAAAATAAAAATTCTTAAAAAGGGGTGAGGATTTAAGTTCAGTGTCAAGGCCTTGGGTTCAATGTTCAGGGTCAGGAAAAAAGCTTAGTTTTCTACTTTGCCAGAATGATATATCTAGAAATCGCACACCTTTGAAAAAATAAGACATACACAATGAAAGACAGATAGACAGAAGAGACACACACACAGACACACACACACTTAGGCTGGAGCTCTCTTCTCAATTTCCACTCCATCATCCCTGTCAGGAACTCAAGTCACAGGGAAGAACGAGAATAGGCAACTCTGTGGAATGCCCAGAGCAGTGTCTGGGCTACAAGACAGTGGACAAAGAGGACCAGGTCTGAGCGCTGGTGTATGGTTTTCTGCCTCCAGCATCACACCCAGCCTGAGGGCCACCTGAGTCTCTACTGGAAGCAGCGCTCTACAAAGACAAAGTCCTATTAAAATACACTTGCCAGATATAGTGGTGCTTACCTGTGATCCCAGCTACTCAGGATCACAAGTTTGAGGCCAGCCTAGAGAATTTAACAAGATGCTGTCTCAAAACAAAATTTACTAAAGGCAGGGCATGTAGTTCACTTGCCTTGTAGGCATGAAGCCCTGGGTTCAATCCCCAGTAAAACACGCACACGCCTCTACCTCTACGGTCATCAAAACACAGCTTTCCGTTTCCTCAGAAGTTCACCACTTTACAGTAATAGGAGGACCCTCGCCTCAAGCTGGAGAAGATGATATGTTGTACTTGTGGCACTATTTGCTCTGTACCAGCAAGCAGCTTTCAGTCCCACTCCTCTAGCCTGCAGCAGGGCCTGACAGGGTACTGGCTGTCTGGCATCTGCCCTTCAATGACTCAGTCAGGGAACTGAGATCCCTACAGCAGCCAACAACAGACTCATAACTAAAAAATACCCGAGTCCAGCTTCCCAAGGTAGACACTGAACAAAAAGAATCACAGTACCTGTCTCAAAGGAACCATACAAAGTTGAATTTTAAAGAAATACTTTTCACAAATTTCAGGACACAACAGAAAAGAACCCAATAACGTGTTAACATGACATACCTCACCCTCTACGAATGAATAATCCACAACTCATTTCACGTAAGAACAAAAGGCAGAAAACCTGTTCTCCCTCCCTGCCTCTGTCCAGCACACCTCATCCCAGGAGATCACACTATGGTGATCTCTCTCCCTCCTGAGGAGAGAAAGCTTCCTCAAGTCAGGCAAGTTTCTCCCAGCTACCACGACAGCCTGGGCCTCCACCTCAGGCCACTGGAAGAGGACAGCCAAAGGGTCTGACACACAGACCCAGAAAGGCTGGGCAGCCACCCTGGCCCGGCCCAGCCCTGACAGTCCCAATGGACCACATCCTTCACCACTGTCCAGGCCTAACTGTGTGTTCCTCCAGCACAACCCCAGGACCAGACATGAAGAGATCAGGCATCTTGCCTTCCTGAGCTTCCACTCAAGCTGGGAGGGCAGGCAGGGACACCAAATGGGGAGATTCTATGAAAAAACTCAGCCAAAAGATCAGGAGAGCAGAAGGGTACAATTTTAAATGGTCAGGGCGCACGTGGGCTTCTTTGAGAAACTGGCACTTGGGCAAAGAAGTCAACAAATTATTATTTCTTCATGGGCTTTTATTTCTTGCTTCTGAGAATGGAAAAAAAAAATTACCTCATCTGGTGGCACACACTTGTAATTCCACGTTCTGAGAGGCTAAGGCAGAAGACTCAGTTTGAACCCAGTCTGGGTAACTCAAGAGGCTTAGCAAGTTTTTGTTCCAAAATAACAAAAAAAGGGATGAAGGGATGAGATATGTTTCAGTGCAAAGGACCTGCATTCAATCCCCAGTACGGGGGGGGGGGGATCACTTTATCTGGTTAGTGAACACAGCCCCTGCCCCAGTTCTGGCACATAAAATATCAGGGGCCATCACCGACAGCTTTCCCCCACGTCTCTCACTGTCCCAAATGACACATCCTGTCACCTGTACTTCAGAGCCCTTCCTAACTGAACCCACCTACTCTCCATACCAAGGTCCCCAGGTTGGCCAGCCACCAAATCTAACAGGAGTTTCCTCAATGGCTCACTCACAGGAAACCTCCAGACAGCAGCTCTCAATGGGACAGCATTAGAACTCCATGCAGGGCTTGCTACAGCACAAGCTGCTGGGCCCCAGCCCAGAGCAGAGGGCTCTGTGAGTCCAGGATAGGATCTAAAACTGCATTTTGAACTAGTTCCCCAGCAGACTCTAAGAACATTTGAGTATGGCTATAATACAAGAACAGGTCCAAAACTGCTCTTGGTTTATCCCAAACACTCTTTCTCATTCAGGGTACATCTCCATTTGTTTCTACAATTAGAAACAGGGAAATGGGAAACTGGTAAAACTTATCTCTTCAGATTTCAGTAGTGACATTTCAGATTGCTACACCAAATTTCAAGAGGACAGGGCTGTTCAATCCTGCCAATCACCCAAAGCAGGGACAATGGAAAGATTCTGACCTGAACAACGCAACTGCAGACTCCTGAACCCTTCCCCATAAACAACTCAACCCCAGCGGTTCTGGGATACACTTTCTAGGAAACATGGATTTGAGCCCCAGTCCAGACAACCCCTATAAAGCCTTCTGAGGACCTCCCATTGCCTTACAATAAAAATACTAAAAGAACATGCCAAGTACTCCCCACATAGCCCAGAACCTTGGAAAGCTCACTCTCTGCTCCAGGCTGCTGCTGCTCCTGTTGCACAGCCTCAACACAGGTCCCTTTCTCCTCCCGAATCACCACACCTTAGTGAGTTTACACTGTGCCCCTTCTCTCTGCTCCATCAGGGATCCTATCAGGAAGTCATCCCTGGTACTCTGTTGAATATAACCTCCATACCAGGCACAACCTCCATACCAGGCACAACCTCCCTACCAGACACAACCAAAGTTCCTTCAGGACTTTGTGGTACTGGGGATTGTGAATAAACGCAAAGGTGGACAGGATAGTTAGAATCCACCTAGCAGATCACAGTCAACCAGGGTAGTCCTGATCCAGCCAGATACTACTCTCTCTCCTAGAGTATGGAGCAACTCACAGGTGGTCTATCATCAGTAATACTTCTTGCATCTCTAGAAGGCAGGGCTTATTTTCTTTTTTTTTTTAATTTAAGGAGAAAAAGAAAAAAAAAAACAAAAAATGGGTACAAGTAATACAAAATTTAAAAGATAAACAGTAAGAAATCACTAGTTAATAGGTTACATATTCTCATCTTAGAAATAGTTGTTCAAGTTACAAAATTAAAGCATATAAAGTGGACTTTCAAACAGTGAGAGTGCAAACAGTTTTGTTCAATGATCCAAAAAAACTCAGTAATATGATTATCCATCTTATACACTTAAACATATATGCAGTTATAACCTTTAGAGCACTTTCTTTTCTTTTCTTTTGTACAATGACAATTACACATTTTGGGTTTTATTACTCCCACAGTTCTTCCTACTTTTTATGAAGAAAGTAAAACCAAATGCAACATATCAGAACAGAGTCAGTCAAATCAAAAGGATGGACATAATAGATAATGTAGAAACAAAATACAAGGTGATCAACAATGGTTACCACACTGCCTCTTGCTATTTTAAGAAGAATTGCCAGTTATAATAAAATTGAACAAAACAGTAAAGAATAAAAAACCAAAGCATTGGAGACATTACAGGACTTTAAAAGAAGATAATAGTCAACCAGAATGGGCGTCATAATGAATCATATTGTCTTCACAGTTGTTGCCTATACTTTCGAACTTGGTACTATCAAGCAAAGCAGAATAGGGGAAAATCAGTCAAAACAAGATGGTGAGGGCAATACAGGATTTCAAATCAAGTTAATAGGAAATCAAAGTAGGTTACTATAATGTATCCTGCTATTTTTTATTTATTTTTAGGGCTTATCTTCTTAAATATAGCAAAATCACTGTAGCAGAATAAAGAGCCAAGGGGTTGGAGGTTTAGCTCAGCGGCATAAGCACCTGCCTTGCAAGCAGGCGGTCATGAATTCAATCCCCGGTACCGATAAAAATGAAAAAGACAAAAAAAAAAAAAAAAAAAAAAAAGAATAAAGAGCCAGTTTCTTAATAAAACATATCACTGTTTCAAATTCTTTTCTTCTCAGATGCTGGAGGCAGGGGCAGGGAGGTGGGGATGCAACCTGGGGCCTCATGCATGCTACCCCCACCACTGCGATCCCCAACCCCACCAATTCCAAACTCTAATTGCCCCAAATACTACAGTCACATTTACTCATGTCTCTAGACAGACAAAGATACAAACCAGGG